CCTTTTCCACTTCCCTCCTCCTACCTTCTCCTACTCCCCCCATCTTTTATTTTCCCATCTTTTCAATTTCCGCTACTTTACTTTTTCTCTCCCTTCCTTCCTCTCCTGTTTACGCGTCCTTTCCCCTTTCAGATGGTCGTGCGCACACCACTACCCTCTCTCGAACTCACCCCTTATCTATTACCCCTTTCGGTGTTCTATTTGCACCTCCTCTACTCGTCCACTTGACCAGTACCACCTTCTACTGCCCCTGCTCTCACATACCCAATCCCTATCGCATCATTGCCGTTAGCGCGCGGATTACTCATCCGGCGTCTAGCTTAAACCGTTAATGCTTACCAACTCCGGATTCGTAGTGGGCTGCTACAACGTCAACGTTTTTTTTTTTTCCCGAACTGCGATACATCGTTCTGCGATATAATTTCCAACCAAGTCGCGATAAGACCATGCGTTGTTTAAATACATCCGCATTTCTCCTAATTTATCAACAATTTTGCACTACGTTTTTTATGTCGGAATCCACAGCGAGTGTTATCAAGGAAGTCGATGCTTACGTTAGTACCAGAGAGATATAGGCCGAGATCTTCATTAAACAGGATTTTGTTATCGCTTTTTGAAAGTCCAAACTAGTTTTCTACACGAACTTTTCCCTAAGCCCATAAAAAGGTAATAATGCGCCATCCACGAAGAGGCTCTGGAGTTGGCTCTGGCTTGCTGTGATAATCATCGAAAAGCTCAGGAAGACAGATATCTTGCAGTTGCCACTGTTCTGTTCGGTAAAACAATTTCCAGCCTGCGTAGAGAATAATGAAAATCATTGGCGAACAATACGAGGACACCAGAACCGAAGTATCCCAATGTCCGTGCATGAAAGTTGTGAAACCTCCCGTAACAAGAAACAGGACAGACAGTAGCAGGGAGATCCAGGCACCAGCAATACCGATTGGATTTGTGTATGGTAGATCTTTTCTGGTGTACCCTTGGGCAACCAGGGCCTTATTCATCCGAATATTCGATATTGAGATAATTATCCATTCCAACAATAGAACCGACGAGCTGAGATTTTGGAACCAACTGAAAACATTTGAAGCTGTCGAGTTCAATGTCATGTAAGCTAGCGCACAGAAAAGCAATGCAAGCACGACACCAAACACTGGGACTCTGAAAAGTTTATTGGTTTTTAGGAACGCCGCTGGAGCTTGATGTTTTGCAGCAAGTGAAAACATGATTCTTGACACCTGCATCACGTTGAGGTTAGCCTCGGACCAGGCAGAGCAAAGTGTCAGGGCGTTCACAATGTGTGGCAAAACTTTAATTCCTCCTCTTTCAAAAGCGATAACATACGGAGAGTGGGCGGCTGTACCATCGCTGGTGGCAATGTTTTTGTCATCGTAAGGCACGATCAAACTTAAAATGAACACAGCGAGCATGTACAATCCAACAACTCTGTACAATATTCTTTTGGCAGCCTTGGGAATGTTGGTACGAGGATTTTTAGTTTCCCCCGCAAGTAGGGCAATGGCTTGAACGCCTCCGTACGAGTAAACCACAGAGGATAATGCCGACCAGAATCCAACAAATCTGCCAACACTTCCAGTTGCAAAGTGCTCTGCAAATGGTCCTGGATGTTTCCAGTAATGGAATCCAAGACGAGGCTGCTCTTTGACACCTCCAAGATCGAGCACTAGTCCTGCTAGAATCAAAATGAGGATCAACGCAATTTTCAATAGCGCAAAGACAAACTCTATCTCTCCATAGAGCTTAATTGAAAAGATATTGGTTATTGCAATAGGGACGATAAACACCGTTATCCAAACGCCAGGAGAGACTGTGGTCCAATATTGCATCACAAGGGCTGTGGAAACAAGTGCTCCTGGTAATATTGCATTCCACACTTTTAGCCATCCTAAAGCAAAGCCAACGGCTTCATCAATAAAAATCTCAGCATGACGAATACTTGACCCAGTCAGTGGAGCCAGTGCTGCAACCTCGGCAAGTGCAATTTGGTTCAAACCGACAACAACACCAATGATCAGGTATGCAAGGCACATTCCGACAGGTCCAGTCTTGGCAAGTGTTCCACCACTACTGAGGAACAAACCTGTACCAAAAACACCGACTAGTGTGATCATTCCAAGCTGTCTCTGCTTGAGTGCTTTTTCAAGTTTGGTGTCATCTTCGTCGAAAATGAATTGCTTAGAGATGCCAACCTCTGTGACGCTGACAGTTTGCAACAGTTCTGCGTTCTTGGCAGAACTGACATTTTTAAGGGATTTAACTGAAACAACTTCGTCTTGCTTCATGTTTTAATCAAATTGCCCTATTGCTGCCTCTAGATATATAAGCTGGTTTGAAAAGCTTATCTTTTATAGAGATAATGTCAAATAATGCCGTAAAATGGATGCAACCACATTTTTTGGATTCTAAGTAACCGTACGTATCTGTTATCTTGGAACCGTCAAATGAAAGAGATAACAATTCAAATTTGTGCACTGCACATAATTTTATGCGCTATTGAGCTAAAACTTGCATGTCAACTAACAAATTCGTGGTAAAAACACCTGTCTGATCATTTTGTGGGTAGAAGATAGTAGCGGCTGGCAAGGCTGAACGGCTCGCAGGGAATATTTTGCCCTGGAAGTCAGGACGGTCATACGCGCTCTCCAGGGGCGTTGGCTGAGATAGATCAAAGTAGTTGCACTGCTTGAACAGACATGTACTATGCTAGATAATGTATGGTTGAATCTAACGCAGGAATTGATCTTAGAATTGCAATAGTTATCGGTTCAATGTCGGTTGTGGCACAAACTGATGGATAGTCTCTTTCGATAATTTGTTCTTAAAGGAAGATTCTGTGGTTGTGGCTACTCCTGAATCATGTAATAATTTTGAACAAGCAACACGGCATTATTTCAAAACGCTTATCTGTATACGCCAATCTTACTCGGAAAATTCCCAATCAAAATGATACACCACTTTGTACTTCCATCAATATAATTCAGCTGATTCCTGTTGTTATTGTAAGAAATCTCATTGGAATGCCAATTGCTGACATGTTGATATTACAGAATCTTTCGCCAAGATGCTTGGCATACTTTTCACTGGTCTCTTGCAGCAAGATTGAAGTTCTAGTGCAAATTTCCAGGAGACACATACAGTAAAGAACTTTCAACATTGGTTTCACACTTTAGTGCTCAACGATCTTATAGAGTATGGTGTCTCAGACTAAGTCTGCTAGCAAGTAATGGTATCGCACTGGACTTTGAAAACAGTTGGGGCTCGTCCGATGAAGAAGCTCTTCGATACTTTTCTGCATCAAATAATCAACATTGACCGGGGCTTTCGTGTGACATCCCCATGAAACAAGGTCAACGCTGATGCTAAGTGGTTGGGTTTCTCACATTTCCTCGCTCCTCACTTCAATTGATAAGGGCCATTCATTGAGTTCCGTGGGATAATACCGGATTTTGGAGGAGATTATCGGCGGGGATGGCTGTAATCAACTATTATTCTTTTTCGTCAAAATGATAGAATGCGCCTTTTGAGAGGGGGGACACTCGCATATTTATACAAAGACCGAAGCCCGGTCACCAGCTGCAAGGGTTTAGGTGTGACTCATCAGCGGGAAATTCCCGCTAAACTACCGTGATGGATACCGTTGAAACTCACTTTGCTTCGATTGACTTCGGTCATTGACCGATCCAGTCTCATCTCGGGAAATGACACATTTAATAAGGGAGCCCTGTCAAAATTTCTGATCAGTGTTTGACTCGTCTACGAAATTCCAGTGCAAGTCACAAATTATCTTGAGAATCGTTGATGTAATTCCTCTTTAATACAAATTAAAAGCAAGACAAAAGTGATTGAAATGTTACTTTACAAAAGGTACCTAAACCCTTTGTTTTCAAAGTCGGTCTTGTCCTCAAACCCAGCAAGAACCTCTTCCCTATCGATCACAGCATAACCTTTCTTGTCTCTAGACCGGTTCACCAAGAACAAGTAGCCAGCAAACGCAATAGGGCACGCTATTAACCATCCATAGCAGATCATGAGTCCGATACAGGCTCTCCAATAACGTGGTGAGTCACTCCCGTAAAAAAAGTGTGGACTGGTGATATTTGACGCTGCGTATAGAACAAAATTGAATCCGAGCACTGCCGACTTTTTTGTGTGTCCCGAAAGATTGATGGATGGGAGCGACCACGACAGAATGATACTTGCGCCAAACGAATTCTGAATCCAGCAGCATGCAGCAAGACTGTATTTCTTGCTGAGTGGCAGTTTGGTAATGCCAATAAGTCCACCAAGCCCTGGAATTGCGGCAAGGGATATGCATAGCAGAATTGTATGAGGAATAGTGTTGCAAATTAGTCCGAAAGCAACGCATGAGACAAGCTCTATAGCTCCCCCAACCATTTGAAGTTTTGTGGATTGCAATCCAGTGAATCCGAAACCTTTAAATAGTGACGACTGAAAGTTTGTCACTCCACCATTTAGTAGCCCCAGAGCTATTTGAATGGACCATAAAAAGTAAGACTTAGGATCCATAAAGGCTTCCTTGATCTGGTACCTTTTATATTCTTTGTTCTTTGCACCGCTTCCGTTTTTGGAAATGCGATGCATGATAACAACTTTTTCATAATGAGTAAACATTTTTGCGTTCTTAGGGGAATCTGGAAGTAGGAAAACGAGAACTCCGCTCCAAACAACAGTTATTGTTCCAACAACAAGATATATGAGCTTCCAGGGTGCAATTTCTGCACTCGCGTGACCACATCCCCACGATAGTAAACCTCCGAGAATACTTGCGATTCCGTTCACACCTAGCCACAGAGACATTCTCATTGATTGTTCATCTCTTTTATAAAACATTGCCGTAATAGCCATACATGCAGGAGCAATCACCGCTTCGACCATACCCAAGAAAAATCTTGCTATGAACAGCCCTGTAAAGTTATGCACACCAGCAGTTGCCATGCAGATCATTCCCCAGATAAACACAAGCCCCGTCAAAGTTTTACCGACGGGGTATCGTTGCAAAATGAAGTTGAAGGGATAAGCTGCAATCAGGTACCCAAAGTTTGCTGCACTTGCAACCCATGAATAATCTTCACTCGTCATGTTGTTGTCGGCTTGTAAACCGTAAGCATTGGAGTAATTTAAGGTTTGCTTGTCAAGGAACGAAAGCAAATACGTAAACATTAAGATTGGAAGGAGCAAAACATCTGTTTTAATTCTAACTCGTCTAGAGTCTGCGTCCAGTTGCTCCGCTGGATACTGCTTAGTCTCCAAAAAAAGATCAAAGAGCAAGTCGGTAGACTCAATTGGATAGTCGTTATCCGACGTCACCTCGACAACGCTGCCTTTTTCCTTTTCATCCATATTGTAAGTCCTATGTTTGAAGTAATTGCAAGTAAGACATAACTGGTTTTTATAAAGGTTTTATCGCAAAAGTATTTGCGTTCTGTATTAAGTTAATCTCCACTTATTGGAATTATATCAAGGCTCTTATCTCAGATAAGAGATTTCGGTACGACCGTAAGCGATTGGATATTATTAGTTAATTTATACGTAAGTTCCCGGGCCAAATAGTCGACAATTGGCTAGAAACGAACGACGGCGTTTACGAGGGCAAAACCCTGAATTCTTTGAGCTGACTTTTTATGAATCGGTATTAACTGTTAAAAGTGTATCTTATTACATTGGAGATAGCCCTCAGATTCAGGGAGAAATACATCCATCACAGCTTAATCATTCTGCCCTGATATGACTCGTACTCTGCAACACACTCCATCTCGACTTTAATGTCGGAATTTGGAAATTTCACAACGACGCAAGATCTAGCTGGTTTATTTGGAAAGTAAAGCTTGTAGACACTATTAATAGCAGCTGCGTCTTTTGGGTCTGCAATGAAAAGAAGAACCTTCAACACTTTTTCAAGTGAGGATCCAGATGCTTGGAGAACTTTTTCCAGGTGCTTTATAGCTAGATGTGTTTGTGCCTTTGGATCCGACGGAAATTGCCCATTAGAGTCTTTGCCGGTGGATCCTGAAGTGAAAACATGACCATTGCTCTTATAAGCTGGCGAGATCAGGGTGTTACCGGTAGTGTGAAGGTCATCCCAACTGACTTTTTGCATTTTTCGTTTGAGATTATTTTTTTAGGCTCGCTCTATTAATTAGAATTGTCGGGCAAACAGTATTTCCGTATTGGGAAATTTTGATTGATAATCAAAAATCCGATAATAAAGCTCACTGCCCGCGTTTCCCGATTGTCCTATTTATCCATAAGTACCCTTTACTGCAACCAGGTTTATGCTGCTTTGAGAAGACAGACAATGTCAACCACATAACACGAAATTTAATCGATCCCAGTTTTTTCTTCGAACAATCATTCGGACACTGTCGAGTGTAATGTAACGGTGGTCTGATAGGCCTCTAATAGCATATTTCATCGAGTCCTTCGTCGAAGATTCACCCCAAATTTTTTGGTCGGGCCGAGTCGGGCTCTTATATTCAGATAAAAAATTATGCATTATCAACATTGGAATATAAAGATGGACTCGAATATTGTTGTTCAGCTTTCCTTTCACGATGAGTTTCCATTTACCTAAAGATATTAGCTCCCGAGCACTTTGTGACTTGCCATTCACTGTCTACCATGGCACTTTGGTTCATACACCAGAGCTCGATGTTCTGGAGACGATTCCCAATGCAAGGGTCGGTGTTGATCCAACAGGAACCATTGTGTATATCAAAAAAGGACGGCTCGATTGTTCAATCAAAGAAGAAGCCTTGAAGTATGATAATGAGCTTGCTAATATTGCTGTTGTAGATATCAGCTCATCGGGATTTTCTAAATTTTTCATTCCTGGGTTTATCGATACGCACATTCATGCTCCTCAATACCCTAATTGCGGTGTCTTTGGGAATTCCACACTTTTTTCATGGTTGATCAAATACACTTATCCCGTGGAAATGGCACTAGAAGATCCACATAAAGCTCAATCTGTGTACAAAAAAGTTGTGAAGAAAACCCTAGCCAATGGAACTACCTGTTGCGCGTACTACGCAACTATTCATTCACAGTCAACAAATATCTTGGCAGATTGTGCTTATGAGCTTGGTCAGAGGGCTTTCATTGGAAGAAGTTGTATGGACTGTGCTCGCAAAGAATATACCGATGAAGGATTTGAGGGAGGAGTTAAGTCAACAATGAAAGTCATAGAGCATATCAGCAAAAGAGATCCGGGCTATGATCTCATAAAGCCAATCCTAAGTCCACGTAACGCCAACAAGTGCACCAGAGAATACATGAAGTGGCTAGCGGAACAAAGCGAGAAACTATCAATTCCAATTCAGGCACATCTGAGTGAAACGGAGGATGAGGTCGAGGGAATTTTGCAAATGTTTCCTGAATGCAAGACCTACGCTGGGATCTACGACTCTCAGAACTTGCTCAATGAAAGCACAATTCTAGGTCATTGTGTATTTATATCAGACGAAGAATTGGCACTAATCAATGAAAGGAAAAGCTCAATCTCGCATTGTCCTACTTCTAATAGCTGTTTGACATCAGGCGAAGCAAGAGTTCGGTGGATGCTCGATCACAACTCCAAAGTCGGATTAGGCACAGACGTCTCTGGTGGGTTTTCTCCTTCGATACTCACGACTGCCAGACATGCGGTGCTCGTATCTCGTCATGTTGCTATGAAGACCAGATCTGATCATGATAAGCTTTCTGTTAATGAGTCTCTATACCTGGCTACTTTAGGTGGTGCGAAAGTTATTGGTGAGGAGGAAAAGCTTGGTTCGTTTGCAGTCGGAAAGAAATGGGAATGCCAATTGATTGACCTCGACGTTGAGGACTCTCCAATCGACTTGTTTGACTTTTTGAATCCATCAATTTCAGGAATCATGCAAAAAGATGAGGAAGATCTCCGCAAATTTCAAGATCTAATCGATAAATGGGTTTTCAACGGAGACGATAGAAATGTCAGAAAGGTCTTCGTGAATGGAAGATGTGTAATCGATAAAGATTGAATTAGACAATTTGAAACAGATTGATAGAGTATATTCCTTTAATTAATGCCTTCCTATATACGCTATTTAGCTTGAAACCATCTGCAACCGCTCAAAGTTTTTTCTCATTGCCTCCTCGATGAACTCCTTTCCAGTGACAGCAGGGTACTTTTTGAGCGGACCTTGAATAACCACATCAGTGTTTGCTTGGTTGAAAAAAGCGATGGTATATCTGTCAGACTGATCTTCTCCGGGCAATGGCAATCTGACTCTGTGGAAATTTGATTTCAAGATATCATCGGACCATGACATTAGCATATCTCCAATATTGATCACAATCTCTCCAGTGAATGCTGGAACAGGGGTCCATTTGTCTGAATATCCGAAATCAGTATGAGTCTCTCTTCCAGGGCAGACTTCTAACCCATGGCTTCCAGACTTTTGAAAAAGCAGTGTCAAGCAGTCGAAATCAGTGTGTGGGCCTGCTCTCCAATGGTTACCGGTGAAGGTTTTTCCTGTCGTGTCAAAATAGTGAAGAAGTCTGAGTGTTGTCTGAGCGGTTGGCTTTGTGATATCGTGAGCCCTCGTAAAAAAATCGCTTGGGTATCCAAGTGCTTCTGCAAACAACTCCATAACAAAGTTACTAATCTTCTGACATTTTTCCATGAACTCTTGAGTTTTCACTCTCCACTCACTCCCAACATCTTCTTCCTCTGGCCAATTTTGGTTGATCCGGTGATACTGAAGTTGCAAGGATTCTTTTTGATCTGCAGTTCCGGTTGAAGGTCTAATTTGCGAGCAAGATTCAAATCCTGAGTTCAGAAGCTTGATATGAGGGGTCTTCGTTTTCTTATCCAGTGGAAGTCCAAAGAACTTTTGGGAAAGCAAGAACATTTCTTCGATATCATCTTTCGAAGGACAGTCCTGTTCGTAAAGGGTGAAGAAGCCTGCAGTTTTGGCAGCATCAAACAATTGTGATTTTATCTCCTCCCTACGATTCTTACTATCCTTCAGGCTAATCTTTGGAATGTCTCTCTCGATGTATCCGTCTTCAGAAACTGTCATTCAGAAATCTTGAACCAATAGACGAGACAAATGAGCCAATTTATATCCTCATTATCTTCCTGCATTCATTGATAGAAGCGACTTTTTCCGACTCGGGCCGACTTGCGGCCCGACCTAAATTTTCACTAAATGTAGATATTTTTTAGCTCAGGGCCAATTAACTGGCTGTTCTACTATTCATGGCAACAAGAGTCCGTACCGCTTGTAAGAAATGCCGGTCTTTGAAGCATAAATGTGATTTCAGATTTCCTCGCTGTTCTCGGTGCCAGAGACTTGGTATTGAATGTTTAGTTCAAGATCCGTTGACAAAAGAGTATAAATCAAGAGATCAATTCGCACAAAATGATTACTACGAAACTCCGAAAGAAGTTGATAAGACGGACCTGAGTAGAAGAGTGCAGTTCTTAGAAGAAAAAGTAGCGAAATATGAGTCGATGTTTGAGAGAATGAATAACCTTTTGGAGAATTCCTCAAATAGCATATCCATCGATCAGTTAACAGTTCTTTCAATGATTCCATTCAAAGGATCACTTTCATCAGCGGACAATGAAATTACAAAATCATCGATTTTTGGCAAGATAGACTCTAATCAACACTTGGAAGAGATCGAAAAGCCACCCGAATCTAAAAGGGCATGTGATCAGATAATTTTCAGCTACTATCAATTTGCTTGGATTCAGCACCCAATAATTGAAAACCAGGATACACTCTACCTACTTTCGAGCAGATATTATAACTCCGGAAATGAGCTCTCTGATTGGGAACTGTTTCTTCTTTATATTTCATTGGCTATTGGCACCGCCATCACTGGTGATTCAAGCTCCAAGGTTCAAAAGTACTATCTGTCTTCAGTGGTTTTTCTAAAAAGGTTCCTGTGTAATATCCCTACGTTGCAAACTCCACACAAAGGTAATCAGCTACAATTGCAATCTCTTCAGTCACTACTGCTAATATGCTCATTTGGTCTCCTCAAGCCAATATCTCCTGGAATATGGTATGTGGTTGCAAATGCGATGAGGTTGTGCGTTGATTTGGATTTTCAAGATGAGAATATGATAGAGAAGTGTGCTTCCAATTACGAGAGGCGTCTTTTTTGGTGCTGCTATACTCTGGATCGTCAGATATGCTGCTACGTGAACAAACCTTTCAGTCTGAATGATGTGGATATCACGACTAAAATGATTATACCAGACAAAACTGACGTACGGCTTACAGTTTCGTATCTGTTTTTCAAAATTCGCAATCTTCAATCACTGATTCAACAATACGCGCATACCAAGACACCAGTAAGTGTTGGTTCAACTGTCGATGACTGGCGAGCAGATATGCACGTTGAGCTCAATAACTGGCTATTATCTGTTATTGAGTGCGAAAATACTCCGAATACAGATCTTCACCAAATCTTCTACTTTTCAAAGAAGTTTCTCATTTTGACTTACTTCCAACAGATGCTTACGTTGTACCGTCCTGTGGGACAGAATTTGAGGACCCTAACCTATCAGGAATACGATCTGCTTCTTAACTGTGGTACCAAAGTTATTTCCATTTACAACGAGCTGGACTTGTCTGGAAATATTAATTACAAGTACCTCTCAGTTTACTCTATTTATCAATCAGGGCTTACGATTTTTTATTGCATCATCAACTCACAGGAGCTTGCGAGTCATTCACAGATGTCGGACAGGGTTGAACATATTATGCAAACTACCTCTAGTCTTCTTCAAAGTCTAAAAGTTCATTGTCCGCCAGCTGAGAATGCTATCCATACTCTAGAAAAGCTATATCACACCACACGTGACCTTATTCAAAAACGGAAGCAGAACCCGGTCATGCATGCTTCTGTGTCTTCAAAGATCCAGTATGGACCATTTGATAATGATCAGTTTCAGAAGCTTGCACAGCACGAAGCTGTTCCATTGGTTGAATTGGCCGACACTTCAGGTCCTGGTTACGATCAGATTGAAAATGATGATTTACTTCGAGAGTTGGACTTCGAAAGCATGTTTTCTCCTTTACCCCAAAACCACGTGTTGATACACAAGCATGATAATCTATCCGGCACGGATACTGCTCACCTTAATACCCGAGATTTATGGGAGTTCCTATTTGAGGAACCATTCAATCTCAAGAACATAATGTTTGATTAATTATAATATTCATATTTTATTTTAGCTTCTTACACAGATCTGTGTTTGGATGGTTCAAAAGGAAGCAGAGCAGAAACAATAGCGAGAGAACCAATCACACCTCCACAAACCCAAATTGGAACAGATGAACCTGACTGTTCACCAAAGTAGTATGTCACTGGAGAAAAAGATCCGGACACTCTTGCTGCAAAAAGAGCTAATCCAACACCGGTTCCGCGAGCTTGCGCGGGAAGGACTTCTGGAGTGTATGCATAGAGGCAACCATAGTAGACATTGATAAAGAAGTAAGTTGCCGAACTGAATCCTGCGTCACCGGCCGCAGTTCTCACAGTCGTATAGCCAAATAAGATCGCCATAGAAGCAAGAGCTCCGAAACTCATCGTAAGCCTTCTTCCAACCTTTGGAATGAGGCACATATATCCTGCAAGAACAGGACCAAAGATACCCACAAAATTTGCAACCGAAGAGTTTCTGTAAACGATGTACGTTGAAGTTCCAGTATCTCCACCATGCTGAGCAATATAAATATAGAGGAAGTTGTAGAAAATGCTGTAAGAAATGCCAATAAAAAGCCATGAAATGAGAATCAACGAGGTGGACCAGCCATTAATTTTGTCTTGATAAAGGATCTTGCAATGGTGACGAACAATGTTGAGGATTTTCTTGTAGTTGAATCCATCATTCTCAACAGAGTAGAACTCAGATGTAATTGGACCACAAGCCTCAAGCTGCTCCAAAGTGAGTGAGCATTTTCTGTTGTATTTCTTTGCCAATCTTTGCAAGTTATCGACGGCTTCGGCATCTCTTCCAACAGAGACCAAGAACTTTGGAGTTTCTTCGAGCTTGAACCAGAAAAGACGAAGTAATCCAGATGCAAGAACGACGGCACTGTTGACGTACCAAGTGTATCTCCATCCGCGATTGATACTCGAAGGGCAGTAGTCTGGTCCTGAGCACGAAAAGTTTGGTAGAAAAGCCCAAGCCAAAACGTTAGTAATAGTTTGTCCAACACCCCACCAGGCTGCCATAATGGTATTCATGTACTGGTACTTGAACGGGAGATACTCGAGGAAAACGGCCACATCCATAGCCAGGTTTCCACCAGCAGAAAAGTTAGCCAACGCCATAAAAATACAGTACGTCGACATGGAACTCATACCACCTGTCAAGAAACCAAATAATGCGGTAAGTAGCAACGAACTGTTGAAACAGACCTTTCTGCCGATAAGGTCACCACCAAAACCCCAGAAGATAGATCCAACCAACAATCCCACGTAAGATATCTGGGTATCGATCGGGTATGTAGCACCAAATTGGTAAGCAACGTAGGTGTGAACCGATGACTGGATCATTTCCATTTGAGAGTCGACAGAATAACCATAACCTGCAATGCAGAAAAGCTTGGCGTGATACCAAGTGAATCCGATCTCGTCGATAGCGTTATTGATCAAGAACATTTTTTTGGCGAGGACTGGATCACCTTTCTCGACCGCAGTCATGTCAATCTTGCTGACCTCTGGAGACAAACCTGACTCCAGAGATCCGGACTCATTTGCGTTCACCACGACTGGGATTTTTTCTCCGCTCATTACTGACAATTTCTCAAACGTGAATGCGGATAAGAAATTCATTTAAATGTTCTGGGGAGCGTTATCAGTATCAGAGTTGTATCTTATCAAGCGTCGACTCGTTCTTTTTGTCCACTATTTTTCTAAGCGTAAAGATTCTTTTTTCCTAATTCTGGAAGAAAATCCCTGGTCGGGGACAGATAGAGCGATAGCGATAATACGATAACGGGTCAAAAAAGATTAAAATCAACACCGAATGAGATACGGATATTCCTGTTACTTTTCTCGGTTAGGTCATTGGACGACTTTCCGTGACGAGGAAGACTTTTTGGAATCCTATCATGATTGCCGAGGAGTTGGAGTTAGCCAATGAAGCACGTGGCCGACCTTCCCTCGAGCGTTTATTTTTTCCCGACGGACGTCATACTTTCCTTGCAATTGCTAAAATTATGCGGCATATACCGGTTAATTGTTATTATGTAATACGGAAACTTATTTAAGTAGAATCTTTTCATCAGAACATAACCAGACCAGGAAATTCGTAGTACCTGACGGCCGCCCAGTTCACGAAACTACCATCTAGCTCATCACGATCCCATATGCTGACAAGTAATTGTTCGAATCTCTGGACGTAAGGAAATCTCAGTGTCCTACTGATATTATTCATCCTACGACGAATAAATTTGCGATCTTTCTCTAGGGTAGCAACGGAGCCGGCTAGAATTAGTGGTACTAGCAAACCTCCTTCAAGCTGTGATCTCTCAGGAATTGACTCGATTGCTTGGAGTATGTTTATTAGGCAGCTTTTTGGTCTTGAATCATCTCTGTTGTAGCCATATCGGATTTGGTGGAGACGTAGAAAGCACGCCCATTGTAGAGCTAGTGCATACTGCGTTCTCTGGAAATCGGAAATATTTTCAAAATTAATCTCCTGTGGAACATCCCAGTTTTGCAGTTCCATCTCAATGTCGCTAGCAAACTTATTGAATTGATATTCGTATTTCGGGTCTTGTTGGCGAAGTTTACGGAGACTTGCCAGTGTAGATATATTACCCATAATTTTGAATATGTCACCAGCTATTCCAAACTTGAACCCGAGTTCAATCTTTAATATCGCAGAAGTATCCCTGTCTCCAAAAGAAGATGCTAAAAAATGTGATTTCATGATCTTGTCGAGATCGATATCGTCTGATTCTACCAGACCAACGATGTTGAATTCTCCCAGGCTCTCTGGAGATACTCCTTCCATCTCAAGCCGGTCTAGCTGTTGCAGCTCGAGGTACGGTGGGTTGCAAGTGCTCAAACTTGAAACGAAATCGAGGTAGCAAAATAATTGGATATTAATCAGCTTCAATTCGTCCTCGGTATCGGAAGTGACCGCTTTGATGCCTCCACTTCTCTCCAGTATTCTGTTGGCTTTTTTCAACAAGGAGAACCAGTCCAAGTTGTCCCCGACCAGTATTTCCATCATAACCAAGAGAAGAACAGAAATCAGTTCTACATCTTCACTTGTCGGACCATATTCGGTGAGTTTCGCTCGAGATCTGTAAATGTTTGAGTCCCTTAAGGCTGGAGAGAGAACCCTGGTGGGAGGAATATCTTGGGCAAGAAGACAAGATCGGTGAGTGGCGGCGATCCCAATTATTGGATCACGTATTTGCTCATAAACCAACGCTAAAGAAAACACTTTGTCGAGGAACACATGCACATGGCTTTTTGCAAACAGTATGGGTGCAACCTCATTAACAAAATACTTTAAATAGAGCTTTTCATTCTCCTTCAATTGCATGCACTGATCAATTTGTTGTAACAGAAGATCGTTCTTCGTGGGTAAGTTCGACAACTGGTTCAGGCCACTACATTCTAGACCTAGTCTGGCGCACAGTTTGCAAGGCCAAGCTTCATTCTCACATTTTCGTTTTCGCTTCTTGCATGATATACACCCATTCTTGTTATATTTCTTTGGTTTGATGGGCTTATCAGAAGCAGGTTTCATCGGGCGGCCCATCTTCTTGAGTGGTCTATTTATAACGCAGTCCCATCCGTTCCTAGCGCATCGGTTGCATGGGATGCCACCTAGACATACCTGTTTTGAGGAGTGGCACCAGTCACAGGCTCGTCTTTTTTCGGCAACAGTCATTAAATCCGAATTTATCGCACTGATACTAATAAATAGATACGGATTTGAAAAATTACTACACTGCCTTAATTCGAGTAATATAAGAAGCATCTGCGATTAATAAAGATATTTAAAAGAGCGATTTTCGAAGTCGGTTTTGTTCAAGTAAGCGTCTTCAATTTCTTGAGAATCCAAATCTCTCTTTTCAGATTCTCTGGATTTGTTTCTGAGGTAATAAATCAGTGTGATTATTGCTGCGATCAAAATGGTTGCAGCCTGAGTTGCAAGCATGCTGATTTTGGCTGGCAAGTATTCAGGTTTGTCTGCTGCTCTGTAAGACTGAGGACCTAGAATATTAGCCAGTCCAAAGCCTAACATCACAGAGATATTGAAACAAATCTTCTTGGTGTGGCCTGCAACACAGTTTCCAACCCAAGCGTAGATTATTGCGAGAGGAGCAACGATCGTGTTGATCATGTAGATACCGACTAAGAGACCAGCTCTATTGGACTTTGGAAGAAAAGATAACAGTGCCCCTCCGCAGACTGCAGGTAAACATAGTATCATGATAGACAAGCCTCTTGGGAATCCTTTCATAATGAAGAAAGTTGAAAGCAGTGTTGACGCAATCGAAACAGCTCCTGATGGCATGTTTAAAAGAGCAGCTTGTTTAGAAGTGAATCCGAACGACAGGATGTCCACCGACGAGAATGTCGTGATAGTGTTCGACGAGAACGAGATGGTGCACGCGATAACAAAGTAGAGGTAGAAAGTAATGTCGGTTAACGCCTCCCACACTTGAGACTTGGAAAACTTTCGGCTTTGGACACCAATCTTGGATTCACTAAGCTTTGTCAAAAGGGCATATTTTTCATCGTCTGACAGAAACTTACAGTCAACTGGATTGAGAGGAAGAAGGAAGTATCCCGTAAGACCGATCACAAGATTTCCAAACCCAACGACTAAGAACATGATCTTCCATCCAGGGAAAGAAGCTGCTCTAGAGATGTGCTGAAAGATGAACGAAATGAGTCCTCCAATAATTTGACCCATACCCAGACCGCAGTACCAAATTCCCATTCTGAAAGCGGCCTGACCTCTGGTGTACCATGAACTAGTGATCAGGACCAGGCATGGAGCAATAGCTGCTTCGGAACATCCAAGCAACACTCTCACAGAAATGATTCCGCCAAAGTTATGCGTTGCACTGCTGCACATACAAAGAACACCCCAAAAAATCACGTTGACCGACAGAACCCTGGTTGGTGACAACTTTTGAATGAAGAAACCTTGGATAGGCTCAAAGATCAAGAATCCAACGAAAAAGTAGGTTGCCAAGTCGGAGAACTGATTTCCAACAAGATGGAGATCTTTTTGTAACCCCATGATGTTCGCATAATTCAATGCCACCTTGTCTATAAATTGACAAGTGTAGCAAAGAAACATTATAAGCATCAACTGCTTGTCAACTTTCTTTGTCACCTGACTGAGGTCAACATTGACAATCGAGTCAATACCATTTTTCTGATAGTTTTTGATAAAGGCCAAGGTGATATCTTGATCTTCCTCGGCAAATATATTACTCTGGACACTCAGCACAGATGTGATTGGATGAGTCTTATGTTCCATATCTTCGCTTGTCACCTCAACCATATTCTTGTCCAAACTCATTATTGGATTAATTTTGAAAGCTGAGCTTGTGTGGCTCCATATATATGACTTTTGAACCGCAATATTTCTGACTAACACTAATTGATACGAAAAATTTCTCGAGATAAGATAAACAAAAATGTCCGTGCGCAATATTACTGAAAAGTGGCCGAGCGGAATCTGGACAAAAACTTGCCGTAACAAAATTTACAGACATTATTTAAACTGACACAAGACGATCGTTCCATGACAAAATGCCTGAAAAGAAAGACTGTATGAATGTTGGCGTGATAGGCGGTGGAATTGCCGGTCTCACAGCTGCCTTAAGTTTGAGGAAGTTTGGTCACGAGGTGACCATCTACGAAAGATATCATTACGCAGGAGAGGTCGGGGCCAGCTTATCGTGTGCCTCTAATGGAGGTCGTTTGCTCAAAGAGCTTGGTGTTCCACTCCTGGATACTAAACCGGTCATTCTCAAAAAGCTGATCAAGCGTAATTTCCAAGATGGAGAAACCACCGGGGTTTACGATCTTGGAGATTATGAGAAGTCGTTTGGTGTTCCTTACTACAATCTCCACAGAGTCGACATTCACGACTTGTTGCTCAAGTGCGCTCTTAGCGAGGAAATGGAAGGAATCCCATGTAAATTGCTGGTTGACCACAAAGCTCTCTCTGTGGACGCGGAGAATGGAAAAGTCAAATTTGAAAATGGGTATGAAGCCGCGCATGATCTGATCGTGGCAGCTGACGGTATCAGATCGCTTACTCGTGAGCAAATTGGCAACGAGCCAAACTTTACTCCTTCTACATCATGTTGTTTCAGATGTCTGTTTGACACGAAGGAAGTGCTTGCTCGTGGTTTGACTGACTACTCCAAGAATGAGGCCATCGAGTACTGGTGGAGAGGAACTCCAGGATTGTCTGGAATTGATAAGATTGTCATGTCTCCATGTAAAAATGGTGAGGTGGTCTCCTGCTACTGCTTCTATCCATCTTCTAAGAACGATCTAAGAATGGGTGGATGGAACGATGAGGCATCAACTGAAGAGCTCTGCGGCACATTCCCCGATCTTGATCCTAAAGTGCTCGATCTCTTCAAGATTGCCTACGACATCAAACAATGGAGACTTTATGTTCATCAACCATACGAGCACTGGCAGAAAGGAAAAGTGGTGCTGCTTGGAGATGCGATTCACCCAATGATGCCGGACCAATCTTTGGGAGCTGTCACTGCTATCGAAGATGCTTTTGCTATCGGATACATCTTCAGCAAAGAGTTCAATTTTTCTGTTGAAGATGGCTTGAGACTTTATCAGGAGGTCAGAAAGCCAAGGGCTACCAGAATTCAGGCCGCTTCCCTGAGGGCTAGGGAAAACTTAAATGAACGTATCGGATGGTCTTCCAAGGAAAACGACAACCCAGATAAACTTACTATTACCGAGATTTGCGGTTACGATATCAAGGAAGACATCAAAAACACGGCCATGAAACTGGGAATTTTATAGCTAACTACTTTCGTGCGATACAATGAACAGTAATTAAGATTATCCTAGAAAATCGTAAAGCTGATTGACAAGATCAACAACTGGCTCATTGACTGGTCTGAATGACATTCCTAATACTTCAATGGCCTTAGTAGAGTCTGTGGTAAAGTGTTCCGGGTCAAGAATTTTGTTAGGTGTTCCAACAGGAACCTTCTTTGCTCTTGCTGGGCTCAGCTGCTCCCTCAAAGCATCACAAATTTCTTGGTTGCTGAAAACACCTGCAGAAACCATAAATCTTTGATTGGATGCTTCAGGAACAACCAATGATTGATAATGAGCATATGCGAGATCTCTCACGTCCACAAAAACGGGTCCCTTGGTTGGTGGAACACTTGAGTTGGATCCGCTTGTAGCCATATTCCATATAGTCGAATTACTAAAGTTGAGCTGGTCCAGCGATTTTAAGGTCTTAGTACTGACCAGAGGGCCGTAAACCATTGGTGGACAGAGCACCACTATATCAAATGCCGGCCTCTTGTCTTTCACGAAATCCCAGGCCGCTCTCTCGCTAACAATTTTGGAAGCGCGATATGCAACAGCTGGGTCGGAGGTCTTGATTCCATCCTCGTATGTAAGAGGTGAGAAATCTCTTTCGGTTAAGGCAACTCCTGGTTGCAACCCTTTGGTTGCATCAAACACCGCCGCAAAGGAAGAAGTGATCACAATGCGCTTGATTGATTTCTCTTGATTTGCTGCCTCGAGAATTGTCAACGTTCCCTTCAAGGCGGGATCAAGTAGCTCTTTCTTGAAATCATTGACGGCATAAGTATATGGACTGGCCAAATGCAAAATTGCAGTGCAGCCTTTGACTAAATTGACTAGAGAATTGTAGTCCGTAATGTCCTCAATAATGCCAAAAGAGAGTTGATTTTTATATTTGTCGAATACTTGGGCCATCTGGTCAGCCTTCTCTTGAGATCTGGCTGCAGCTTTGACGTTGAATCCTTGTTCGAGTAAAATCTGAATACAATGGGCGCCTATGAATCCAGTTCCACCAGTCACTAGGACGGTTGAGCCTTCGGGGACAAAAGAGTCAGAAGTCATTTCTGAAAGAATTGTGCACCATTCGAGTTTTCAGATATAAAGTTTATCGGAAACTTTGAAGGCGGAATTATTTTCTATGCATGAAGAACTAAAATGTCGCCGATCGATAATGCAAGTACAGAAGATTTCCGCCGGTTACTAGTTTATTCAATTCCGCATATTTAAAAAGTCAGGGTTTTGTGGGCCAGAGCAAGTTCCAGTGCTGTTCTGTAGATGAAATCACGTGCTTGCCACAAATTCTTGTTCATGTGTTGGAAAGGATGTGGCACACCTTCGTAACACTTGTAGACAACTTCAACTCCGTGGTCCATCAAAATCTTAGCATACGCGAGACCCTCACTTCTCATTGGATCCAATCCGGCAGTAAACACCAACGTTTTAGTAAGATCCTTAAAGTTGGTAGCAAGAGTGAGGTCTCTGAGCCATCCAATTTTGTCAAGTTCTTCCTTTTTCTGCTCCTCGGTCAGGCCTTCGAGCCATTGCCACTTAATGTTATCAAACCACTTAAGACGAGCCCAGTTCAGTGTTGGAGCAAACTCACACTCCTTGATAGAATCGTACGGAGAGTCCTGAGCTGTAGGAATATTCGAAATATCAGCAATTTGAGGAGTTCCGGCACAGATCAAAACCAGCTTAAGGCCAATGTCCCTGCAAAGGTGGTCAACTGCTAGAGAGATGTGACCACCAGCAGAGACACCTCCAACAGAAATCGAGTTTTTGTTAAATCCTAAAGTCTCGGCATTTTCAAAGACATATTTAACTGCTTCGAAGCAGTCCTTAACTCCGGTCGGAAACTTGTAGTCGGGAATTAGTCGGTATTCAACGTCAACAACAGCAATCCTAGCTCTCTCAACGTACTCTTTCAAGATATGTGCCTCTGTGTCAAGATCTCCAACCGCAGCACCACCTCCATGGAAGTCGATATGGACCGGTAGTTTTTCAGTCTCGGAGAACCCGTTTGGCTTGTAGATTCTCAGTTTGACAGGCACTCCATCGAAGCTTTTGAAAGTGATATCTTCAATGCTTTTGATTTCAGGAGCTGGAGCAATACCATAAGAGTATATCTTGTTGTAGTTCTGTCTCAGGAGTGGAAGATCGATTGGACGGTTTGGAGTGTTTGCAACGTGTTCGTTGTACATCTTCTCAAACTCTGGATCGAGCTTTCCCACCATGGTGGGATGGATAGGGTTGATTGCTTCGTGACCAGTAGACATCTGCTAAATGATTGTTTACCGAAAAGTGTCCGGGACTTAAATATGATTTTTGGAAATTTAATCTGGTTAAATCCGCCGGCAGGTTTTTCCAAGTTTCCGCACTTTGATAAGGAAATTTATCCTGAGACCCGCAAAAGTCTCAGGGCTGCAAAAATAAAAAGACCGGCATTTCTTCATTACTGCTGAATCAAATGTCGTGGGATACAAAGTCTATACTTATTTCCGGTGCTGGAGTCGCTGGCTTGCTCACTGCGCAAGCACTGAAGCAGCTCAACATTCCTTTTATCATCTTTGATCGAGACGACTCGGTCACATCTCGAGGTCAAGGCTGGGGAATAACGCTTCACTGGGCCCTTAACGATTTTCTCTCTTTACTGCCCGAGGACATTCGTGCAAAGGTTTATGATTGCCAGGTCCTCGAAGATTTTCACCTAAATGATAGTGGAAACTTCGTTTATATCAATGCATCTACTGGTCAACCACTGGTCCACATCCCTCCTTCCAAGAGACTAAGAGTTAGAAGGGAGCAAATCAGACGGACTTTGTTGGAAGGTATCGATGTTCAGTGGAGCCACAAAACGGTTTCTGTGGAAACGACCGAGGAATCTGTTACTGTGCATTTCCAAAACGGGAAGTCCGTCACGGGAGGTTTACTGATAGGGGCCGAAGGTAGCAACTCGGCCACCAGACGGTTCACCAATCCTGACAACTATGCACTTTATGATCTTCCCATCAGATTTCTGGGCGCCACTGTTAATCTGACGCCAGAAGAGTACGCTGAGGTTGGCGCAAAGTTCGACAAACTGTTATTTCAAGGAACGATCCCAACCACAGACTCGTTTTTCTGGTTCTCTCTGCTGTCCTCACCAAAATATAACAAGTCTGACAATTATCAATGTCAGGTGAACTTTTCGTGGAACTGCCCTGACAAGAAACTCGAGCCGTTTGAAACTGAAGAGGACAAGATCGCTGTGATCAAGCGGATCTCCGAGGGACTGGATAAAGATCTGATGTTTCTGAAAGAGAAAATGATTGCCTCGAGCTCGAGCTTCATGGAGATTCGCCTGTCTGATTGGCCCGAAGCAGACTTCAACGATATGGGCGGGAAAGTCATTCTGGTTGGAGACGCTTGTCATGCCATGGTGATGTACCGAGGAGAAGCTGGAAACCATGCGATTGCCGATGTCAAGCTGTTCATTGAGCTACTGAAGCAAAACAAGGCTGGATCTTTGACATGGGCCGAGCTGATTGACAACTACAAGAAAGACGTGAAGGCCAGGGCTGGACCAGCGGTACTACTTTCTCGACAGGCGTGTTTGGATGCACACAACTGGGCAGTTTTGAAAGATTTCAAAACGAATCAAAGTCCTTTGCTTGCCTTGAGAAAGAAATGAGTGTGTGTAGACTAGACATGAAATATATAAGTAATCATCTGAGGACAGGGACTGGCTATGTTGGTCGAGGTGAAAAAAATGTTGATAAGGGATTTTTCCGAATCAGTTATCGGATAACTCGATAAGGAAATTTACCTTTAGAAACAGGAACTTTTAAAAGTAAAAGTCTGAGGATTTAAAAACTACTTTTTGTTAAATATGTCTAGCCTACCCGAGCTCAATGAATCAGAGTGTCTCCAGTTTCTGTCCGATTTCATTAAGATTCGGTCCCAGTCTCGGACGCCTGGTGAGATCGAGGCGATTGAGTATATGACGGCCGCGATGAAAAAAATTGGCTTAGAAGCTGAAAGTTTGGGATTTTCAGACTTGTCCGATGGAATGCAAAGAGCCAACTCTGTTGGTGTTTGGAAGGGTACCAAGCACCAGGCGGGAAAGAGGCTCCTTTTTAACGGGCATGTGGATGTCAATCCCGTCACCGAAGGGTGGACAGTCGATCCGTATGAGGGAAAAATTGATAAAGACTTTATTTATGGCATCGGTGTGAGCAACATGAAGTCTGGGTGCTGTGCCTATTACATGGCAGTCAAAACTCTCATAGAAGCGGGATACAAAATCTCCGAGGACCTGACCTTAACGTACGTGGTTGGTGAACTTCAGGGGGGAGCAGGAACCATGGCTCTTTTGAGCCAAAATGTAATCACTAAGGAATCCGCAGATATGTTCATCAATTGCGAGCCTACCGACGTGTACGCTCTTGTCATGCACGCTGGCTCGGCTATTTTCAAGATCGATGTGATTGGGGATACGCGTCACATGTCCAAACGTGAGGAGGCCACCGATGCGATCATTGCATCAATGGACGCAATCAATAGATTGACGGATCTGAAATTTTCCAAGGCCAAGACCAAGACTCACGAGAGCGTGAACAGATGCCATGTGGGCACAATCAGGGGCGGTCTGGGAAGAAACTACGAAACATGGCGTCCTCCCCAGGTCGCAGATTTTGTGACCTTCACTGGTGCAGCACGATATGCTCCTGGTCAGAACGAGACTATCGTTTTGGAAGATCTCGAGACAGAGCTGAAAAAGACCCAGGAGAAGTTCCCCAAGATGAAGTATGATCTAAGTCTTGTGAAACGGGATTTTATGCCTCCGTTTGAGGTCAGTCCCGAGGCGGAGATTGTCAAGGTACTGAATGACTGCTATAAGACTGTCCGTGGAGTTGACCAGCCAACGGGAGCACTGAAGCCGCCATGCTTCTACGGGAGTGATGCGGGCCACCTTTACGAGAAGCTCGGAATGGAGGGCATTGTTTGCGGACCAGGAGGCAAGTATAACACCATGCCCGACGAGCGTGTCGATATCGTCGACTACCTGGATTGTATTCGTGTTTTCATGGAAGTTATTATCCGCGTTTGTGGGGGATACAAGGAGTAAGATTTTGAAACCTTCACTATCAGGACTACATATTTCTCGACTAGATAATGGAATAAATTGTTGACAATTATGGATTGGCAAGAGATACGGGACAGAAAGCTAGCTGCACGGGATGCCCTTTTGAAGGATTATTTTGTCGAGGAACTTCCGTTGCCCGACGAACTGAACGACGTGACAAAATTTGTAGATACGTTGTTCACCGATCAAGAGAACGAGATTTTCCAGCTCACTATTCCGCAACTTCAGCAAAAGTATCTCGAGAAAACTTTAAGCGTTTCCACGGTGGTCAAAAAGTACTGTCGTCGGGCCACTGTTGGCCACCAGTTAGTGAACTTTATCACCGAAGTGAGATTCGAGCAGGCATTACAGGAAGCTGTGAGTCAGGACGAGTACTTGGAAACGCACAAAAAGCTCATTGGACCGCTCCATGGCGTGGTAGTTTCTTTGAAGGATAACATCAATATTGAAGGGTTTGCGTCGTCGATGGGGTTCGTCGGGTTGGCAGATAAGATAGCCACTTCCGACGCTGCTATCGTGAAGTTATTCAAGAGACTAGGAGCCGTTATTATTTGCAAGACCAACACTTCGGCAGGGATGATGTATTCCGAGACCACCAACGTTCTGTGGGGACGTACTTTAAATCCGTTCAGTCGGAAGTATCTTAACGGGGGCGGCTCTTCCGGCGGAGAAGGCGCAATTGGTGCACTGAGAGGCTCATGTTTTGGAATTGGATCAGATATAGGGGGTTCGGTGAGACACCCGGCTGCCTTGAATGGGATCTTCTCCATCAAGCCCTCGTTTGGACGGGTTCCTACTTTTGGCACGGAGTCGGGTCAGCCAGGACAGGAATCCATCAAGTCGATATATGGTGTGCTGTCGTACTATCTGGAAAACGTTCAATATGTCTTACAAACAATCATAGACTCCAAGCCTTATAGAGACATTGACCCGGGCTGTCTCCCATTGGAGTATCGTCCCTACCGGCTGGAGAAGCAACTGAAAATCGCGTTCCTAGACTCAGACGGTACCTCTACGGCAACTGCTCCCTTGAAGAACGCGTTGGATACAGTCAGAGGGCTGGTTGAAGGCGAGGGTCATTCCACGGTTGACTGGACAGACAAGTATCTACTAGAACTGACTCAAACTATCTATCCATTTTTTGGAGCAAACGGCTACCGCACGATTTTGGACCTGGTGGCCAAGTCCAAGGAGCCAGTTGATCATCTACTTTCGAAATGGTTCCCAACAGCCGAGGACCTGCCCGTCTCTAAGCTGTGGGAGTTGCAAAAAAAGCGAACAGGTTTGGTCCAAAAGTACATGGAGCTTTGGAACGAGCACGGTATCGATGCTATCATAATGCCGGCTTCGCCGTTCCCTGCCTGCTTGAAAGACAAAGTTGTCACTTTACCATGCACTGCCGTCTGGAATGGCTTGGATTACACGGTAGCCACACTGAGAGTGGGGACCTGCGATGTTTCACGAGATGTTCCTGTCAAGAAAAGCAGCTACATTTCAGAGGTTGATCGGCATGTGCACGAAACTTACCAGAAAGAACTTGTCAAATTCGATGGTGCTGCAATCTCGTTGCAGGTGGTTTGTCGCCGTCTTGAAGAAGAGAAGGCTCTAGAGATTACCCAATTTCTAGCTTCTTTGGTTTCTTACTAAATACATTATTAGACCAGTAGAAGCCAGAAGTCTGAATTACATACAACGTCTCTCCAATCTGTGGATCTGGGACCGGAGATGATGACGCCTCTAGAGTGCTCTGGGTCTTCCACGCAGAAGTCGTAAGTTGCCCAGAGAGCCATGATGATATCTCTGAGCTGAATATAGTTGCTTAGGGGCCATCTGCTCTCATTGACACTGATCAGCGACAGGATTCTAAAACGGAACTCGTCGCTTTCTGGACCCCCAGTTTGACAGGCAGCAAGGATAAGGATCCCCCACATTGGATGGAACATTTTGAGATGAATTTTGCTAAGATCCTCGAGCTTGTCGATAAGATCATGCATCAGGTCTGGAATATGTTGATTGAACTCGCGTGTTAGCGGCAAGTCTCCTAGAGAGAGCAACATGCATAAATAAAGTTTGGCCGAAACCAGATAGATCTCAGCACACAGCCCAAGATGCGGGTTGTCCGCAGTGGAGACCTGGACTGTTTCTAAAAGTGCTTTCCAGATTTCAAGGTAGCGTGCCATCAGCAACGATTCGTCGATTGAGTCACTGTCTCTCAGATGGTTCAACATTGCCAGTTTATAGATAGTGTGCAGCAGCCTTGGTGAGCACCCAAATAGATGGTCTACATTGTCACTGTTATATACAGCGTCAATATTGGGCCATTGGGTCTCTTCCAAAAACCGCGTTAGTGTATTTCCCTTCAGAGTGGAAACTAGTAGAATGTACCGCAATGAGAACTGTTTATATGCAAACACCAACACGTCAGAGTTGATGATCTGAGAGAACGTCAAGGAGGAAAACACTAAGCAGCCTTCCTTTAAGATACTGCTCCAGTTCTTCTGTGTATTGTTAGTAGCCTCGGAGGAGCAAAGGAGCATAATGGTGATAATCAACTCCTCAATGGTCTCGAGCTCCGAAATATCACTTGTGTCAAGCGTCAAATGAAGCTCGTTGTAGGCCTGATCCTTATGGCTTAGATAGAGCTTGTAGAAAGATTTGGCAAGGTTTATGTCCGGGTTGGGTTTGACAAGCTCCATCTTGGCGAGATCGATGGCTGCATAACTGAGAACGATCTGGAACAGCGCGGCAAACCGCTCGCACTGGGGAACAACAATGGAGTAGAACTCGTTAGAGGTGTGTTTTCCGTGGAAAACCAAGGTGGCACTGATATTGCTGATGTAGTGGTTGAAGATGTACTTTTCCGACGTTTTCGAACACTCAACAAATTCTGCCGGGGAAGCGGGGGTAAGGATCGGCGATCTGTCTCTGATCCACCGAAACTTTGTTCCGTTCTGAATGGAGATTGCCATTTCCAACTGCCAGGGGTTGTAATTGACAAACTCCAGTATGGGAAACCGTCGAGATCTCACGACTGAAACTGTCCGTAGCTCCACTCTGTCCCAGTTGATTACCAAGCCGTACTTGCACGGTAGCTTGAGTCGCGAGCAGTTGCTGCACTGAGGCTTGAGCTCGTCACACTTCTTCTTTCTGCGCTTACAAACTAAACATCCTCCCCGGCTTTTTCTCGTACCCTTCATGGAACTGTCAAGGAGGTGCGATTTTCTATAGATAAGGAGAAAAAGTTTATCGGAAGCTGCGCGGATCGGAATACCTAAATTTTAAAATAAATAGCGGAAAAAAGTTAGCTTTGTTATCTTTGAATAAAATGCCATCTGTTCTCATTGTTGGCTGTGGGGTTTTTGGTCTATCTACCGCGCGTGATCTTTCTAGGAGAGGTTATTCAGTTGTGGCCCTTGACGCGTACGAGCCACCGTCTCCGTGGTCTGCTGCCAATGACTTCAACAAGATTATCCGTGCGGAATACACTGATTTGATATATTCCAAGATGGCTGTCGAAGCCATACACCAATGGCGCGACGATCCGGATCTTAAGGGACTCTACAATGAGTGTGGAAGGATCATGGTGACGCCAATGGACCATGTGGGCCGCCAGGAGTTTGAGAAGAAAGGTATTTCCAACCTGCGCAAGCTGAACGAAGGACTGAAAATCAAGTATCTCAAAGGAAACGACGCGCTGGCCGAAATTTGTCCCGAGCTTGGCCATAACTCTTTGGGCCCCGAACAAGAGTTCAAGTTCAATCCTGAGTCAGGACTGGGCCACGCTGGTAACTCCTTGAAAACAATGTACCTAAAGTGCAAACAGCTGGGAGTCAAATTTGTGTTTGGGGACGCTGGCAGATTCACTGGACTGGAAAAGAAAAATGGAAAGGTGTATGCCAGAGCTGCAAATGGTCAGTTATACACTGCTGACCAGCTGCTGATCTGTTGTGGAGCGAACACCGGAAAATGTATGGATCTGAAGCAACAGCAATCTGCTACCGCATTGTATGTGGCCCATATCAAGCTGACTCCTGAGGAGTACAGCAAGTACAAGGACATACCTATTCTGTTTGACTCTGATATGGGTTACTTCTTCCCTCCAGACCCTGCTACCAGGGTTATCAAGATCGCTCTTCCCGGGATCGGAGCTTCCAACTTGGTGGCAGATCCTCATGGAAGTGACAAGGAGATCTCTTTGCCAAGATACCATAATGCCAATCCATCCGACACAATGCCTAAGTACGGTTACGATCAAGTAGTTAAACTACTTGCAAAATACTGTCCCGATCTGGCTTATCACATGCCGTTCAACGCCAAGACCTGCTGGATTGGAGACACCGCCGACTCGCACTTTATTATTGACCAGGTTCCCGGATACGAAAACACTTTTGTTGCAACTGGAGATTCTGGTCACGGGTACAAGTTTCTTCCAAACATTGGCAAGTACATTGTTGCCAGACTGGAAAACACTTTGGATCCGGAATTGAAGAATGCCTGGAAATGGAGAGCTGGAGCCATATTTGACCCGTTTTCCATTGACTGGCGTGTTGCCAAAGACTTCCCTGACCTTAAGGATGTCGATTGGTGGATAGAGCAAAAACCTAAGTTATAGTATACAATTATACACGTTGGATAGCGTCCAATTTCTCCCAAAAATCATCGTCGTCGTCAATCACGCTCTTCTCCTCGAAGGTGTACATGTCTCTGTTGGAATTAAAGATTTCCATCAGGTTGTGTAGTCCCAACATGTCTGGCTCCAAGCTCTGTGAGTAGAAGCTGGCCGGTGTTGAAGGAGCGTCGGAATCAAGAGTCAATCTCTTCGAAAACACGCCATCTTCCAGTAACCGGTCAAATAAGATACGGAAACTGGCCGCTTTCTTGGTTCGCTCTGCAAACAGAGATAGCAGCACGGAACAGTGTCGCAGGTAATTGTGGAACGTGCGAGTCTTGTCGGAATGGGCAGTACCATCGCTATCGAGATGCACTATGGAGTAGGCGAGAAGGATTCCAGCAAGGAAAATCGAGTGAAGACTAAACATTCCGTATCCAAAGGCTGGGTCTTTTGCCAGCACGATGTATGCTCGGCAGACACCTCCGGCAGCTTCTGATATCTCTATCAGCAAGCTATGGAATTGTTTAACGCTTTGATCTCCTTTCTTCATTAGCCGGGTCAGACACAAAAAGAGCTTGGCACGGTGGTAGCAAAGAGTCAGATACTCAAACGGTATTTGATTATGCAGTCCCTCAATAAACTCGTGTTCAGGGGGGAGCTCCCGCTTCCATTTCTCAAGCTCCGCCATAATCTTGGAATACTCCTCGTTGTATTTAGGATCAATCTCTACGGCCCTGGTGAGCATGGCTGGGGCAATAGGAATGGAGATTATTTGTTCCAGACGACCAATATGCGACTCGATCTCGCGGATCCGACACATCTGAGTGAGGTAGTACGAAAACGAGATCTTGGCAGGATAGATGATCCGGTGATCGTGTTTCTCGTACTGCAACCGTTGTTGTTCAATTTGGAGCTTGTATAAGTCTTCGTCACTGATTGTATCCATGGAGTCAATATTCAACGAATAGGGGACATCAATCTCATCATCTGGAATTGATGCTGGTCGACCAAGAGTGACACAGATCACCTTCTCAAAGCTGTAAACAGACCAGAAAATTCGTTTTTTTGTTTCGTAGTCCTTTGCGGTCTTGACACTCGGAATGATGAATCGCTGGAGACCCATCTGGGTCATTTTTCTGATTGCCAATCCGGAAAGCTCCCAGATATTCATAGTGAACTTGATGTTGTGGTCATAGGAAACCAATAAATACAGCGCAATGTACATTATCACTCGAATTTGGTCCAGAGTCTTGAGACAGTAGGTGATTTTGGATAAGCAATCCATTGCTTTATCGAAATAGAGGCCTGGATTCAGATAAGTCATCTGAGTAGACATCATCACCAGGCGACATCCAGTTGCAAGAATGAGGTTAAGAATAGTGTCACGGTGGAGCTTGTCAATGAACTTCGGACACTCCCTGTCTGACTTACTGAAGTAGATGTCTGCCAAACGTTCGAGATCCTCGGGCTCGTAGAAGAAGTATCTCTGGCTCATTAGTTTGTGATAGTAGCGTAGAAACATGCGCTCGAGCTCCACGTCAGGAACCACGGGAATAGCTGTCCCTGTGCGATCATCCAGTCTTTTCATGAGCTCATCGTGGATCAAAGGAGGTCTGTTCATGGTGTTCATTCCCTGGACCTCTTTGTAGATCTTGGATACAATCGAGTTCTTGATGGTGTTCACCTTTGTGATGATTGCCGAGCTTCCTGCGTGCGTTTCTTCGTTGGTGTCATGCAGCAGAAGCCAGATTGAGTTAAAGAACTGGCTGGCGTTAGGATTCGTCGACGAGGACGGTGCCGGTCTTAGTTGCCCGACCTCGTTTTGCAAGAGCGATAGTTGTTTTTGCAGCTGCTCGATTCGATCCAGGACGGAACCCAGAGCCCCGTTGCGCTGGTCCTCCGGCTCCTCTGCTATAAACTGTCCCTTGGTGTCCACAGAGGCAGTCCCCACGACGTCCGGCTGGCTCTCGCTCTGGTGCAGAGGCATCGATTCTTGTTGAGTAACCTCCATAATCTCTGGTTCCACGGGCTCCTGTTCGACAGCCGCATCAAACGCCGTCTCGATTCGCGTTGCACGTTTGCGTGTCGACTGAACGAAAACACAGTCTGCTTTTGCGTTCAGGCAGTTTGAGCAAGGGTGGAATCCATCGCACCGCTTTTTGCGTCTTTTACATCGATCGCACGCAACAGATACCCGATTCCGGTGCGGTCGGGTCCGGAAGGTTCCTTCACCTTCCCTTTTGTTGGCCGACTGCTTGGAAGACGGCAACTTCTCAAATACAGTCGGAACAAACACAATTTTATTTGGTCGAGGACCCATGAGATAAACACAGCCTAAAATAGGGTGGAAAATTATTTCTTATCTATTATTCTAATTATTCTTACTGAGAGGTATTTCCCAATTCGGTTTTCAAGGCCAGAGAGCCACCAGCAATAGGCTTGAACACCGTCTGTTCAACAGGACGCACGTAGGCCGGGACGGATTCCGTTTCTGTTGGGGCTCCATATCCTCCTCCGCCGGGAGTCACAATACTGACAAATTCTCCTTTGTGCAGCTGGAATTGGGCAAAAGCAGGCATGTGGATCCATCTGAACTTGCCTTCTTGGATCTTTCCAAGCAGATTCTTGCCCAATTTAGCTGCTTGTCCGCCATGAACGCCATAGGGTCCACTGTTTCTGCGCTGAGTACGAAGAGTACATGACAAATCAGTAGTAAACTCGATCGTTCTGATCAGTCCATCTCCTCCATTCCACTTACCCTTACCGCCGGAGTTTTTGCGGATGCTGAACTCGTGCAGAACCACAGGGTACCGCTTTTCAAAGATCTCCGGATCAGTGATCTTTGTGTTGGTCATGTGACAGTGCACGCCTGACCATCCGTGGTAGCCCTCGCTGGCTCCAGATCCACCACCAATGGTCTCCACCATGGCGAATCCGGGCTTGATCTCGCCGGTTTCGTGGTTCTTTCCGCCCTTTCCGAACCCAATGGTATTGTTGGAGCCGGTAGAGGCCGCACAGAGTCCAAAGGCTTTCAGCAGACAGTCATTGAGTCTCTGGGAGGTGGTCGAATTGGCAGCAGCAACAGCAGCAAACTCGGACGGGTTCAGAATACTTCCTTCTGGGATGAACATTTTGACTGGCTCGAGACACCCTTCGTTCAAAGGGATATCTTGTTCCAGCATTAACCTCAAGGAGTAGATGATACATGCGTGGGTGATAGCAATTGGGGCATTGCAAGGGCTGTATGCCTCTTCTGAAGTTCCTGTAAAATCATAGAACGCCTCACCTTTCTCCCCGTCAATGTCGATCGTCACATTGATAATTGATCCGTCGTCCATTATTTCGGTTGCACGCAATGGTAGCTGGTCGTGCAGCTTCTCGGCCGTTTTCCTGAAGAAGTTACGCACCGCGGTGGCTGCTGTTTTCCGCACGTTGGTCATGTAGAATAGCACCACCTCTGTTCCGTACTCCGCAAACAAATCTTCCAGGAGGTGGACTCCCTTAAGGTTTGCGGCGATCTGCGCTTTCAGGTCAGACAGATTGTCATTCACATTTCTCGAACCAGAGCACCCAGGATACTTTGCTGGCTCTTCAACAAAGTATCTCTGCACACCGTCGTAATCGAACTTGGAGTTCTCCACAATCTTCCAGTGCAAGAACTGTGCTCCTTCCTGGTAGAGCTCGGTAGCATCAGCTGCGCACGAACCAGGAGCAGATCCTCCGATCTCTGCGTGGTGAGCTCTAGAAGCAGTGAAGAATCTAATCTTGTCGTCAATGAAGACAGGCGAGATCAGAGTGATGTCTGGTAAATGTGTTCCTCCGGCTTGTGGGTGGTTGGAAGCAAGAACGTCACCTGGCCTGATGTTTTTGCCCCAGTATTTCTTAGCATACCGGATGCAATGAGACATGGATCCCAGATGCACAGGGACATGAGGCGCATTGGCCGTGAGGTTTCCGTCTGCATCAAACAACGCACACGAAAAGTCCATCCGTTCTTTGATGTTGGCCGAAACACTAATTTTTTGCAGAGTAGTTCCCATATCTTCGGCAATAGCCATGAATCTGTTTTGGAACACGGCAAGCAGAATAGGATCAACAGAGAGTGTTTTGGAGGACGCCACCGCGCTGAGTTTTGATTCTTCTCCAAGATCGATCACAATGTGTTTTTCCAGGTTCAGTGCTCTAGAATTTGGATTCACGCAAATAGTTTGTGTAGCATCCAGCAGAATGGCAGGTCCTTGAACCGTCTGGCCCAGAGCAAGATCCGGAATGCGGAAAATGCGCGTTTCATGAGCAACACCATGACTGTTCTCGCTAAAGTACACTGGAGAGGTCTTGAGCTTCAAAGAATCTGCAACCTCTGTCTCCACAACACCTTCCCGATCAAATGGCGATTTTTGTGGAATTTTGGATGTGGATCCAGTGGTACGGACTCTGATGTCGTGAACAATGACTGATTTGGACGGGTCGACAAACGAAAACTCTCTCTCGTGACGTTTGACAAAAGCGTCGAGGAAATCTATCTCCGACTGCTCGATCATCAGTTTGGTGTCCGATCCACGGTATCCCAGGTTGAAATAGAACTTGCTCTCAACTGTCTTTGGGTCCACTCCTTGCTTGACGAGACTTGCAGTCAGGTCGGCCTGGATCTGGGAGCATCTCAGAAGAAGTTTGTCGCGCACCGCGTCGCAGTAAACGTCGTCGTGGGGCTCGAGCTTCTCCTTTACCACATCGGCCATACCGATTCCGTACGCAGATAGCACAGAGGAGTACTTGTGGATGATGACTTTCTTCATGTTGAGAATTCGGGCAACGTCCACACAGTTTTGTCCGCCTGCTCCGCCAAACGAGGCAAGGTTGTGTTTGGCAACGTTGTGGCCACGGGATTCGGTCAGTGCACGAATAGGCTTGGCCATGTTATGGTTCGCAACCTCGAGGAAACCCAGGGCAACCTCATGAGGCGTTTTCTGGGAATCCTTGTTCTCTGCATTGATGATCTCTGTGAGCTGCTTGAACTTCTGATCCACAATGTCATAATCCAACGGCTGGTCCTCGTTGGGGCCAAAGATGTGCGGAAAGAACTCGGGCAGAATCCGACCAACGTACAGGTTTGCGTCAGTAATGGTAAGCGGTCCTCCCTTGCGGTAGCACGCAGGACCAGGGTGAGAAGAAGCAGATTCGGGGCCAACTTTGAAAACGCCGTTAACGTACTCCAAGATCGATCCTCCACCGGCTGCAACCGTGTTGATATCCAGCTGAGGAGCTGCAACGTGGATTCCAGCAGTAATTGAGTGGAACACAAACTCGTAGCCACCATCGTATCTGGAAACGTCTGTTGAAGTTCCACCCATGTCGAATCCAACAATAGGAGTGCCTTCTGTCGGGTCGTAGCAGGTTTGGGCCTCGCCAACAACACCACCAGCCGGGCCAGACAATAGAGCACGAAGTCCCGTAAAGTCTGTGTATGGAACCAGTCCACCGTCACTTTGCATGAATTCGACTCTGGTTGTCTTCTCAAACCCTGGCTTGAAACCTTGCAAGAACGACGCAATGTATTCTTTGATAATTGGGGTCAAGTACGCTTCCACGGCCACGGATTGGGCTCTTGGAATAGCCTTGATCATTGGAAGGAGCTCGTGCGAGGTTGCAACAAACTCAAATCCCATCTCTAAAGCCAACTTTTTCAAGCGTATCTCGTGGTCAGTGTAGTCGTATCCGTGAACCAAACAAATTCCAAGAGACATGATTCCTTTGGCTTTCAAGGTCTCCAATTGAGCACGAGCGTCTTCCAGATCCAATGGTTGCAAGATCTGGTACGTCTGTCCCGTAACACCACTCACATAATCCTTATCGGTACCAACCAAATGGTCAAACTTGACCTGATCTGGGTCCTCCTCGTAATCAGGGGCGGTCACACGTTCTTTGATTTCAATGACATCCTCGTACAGAACCTCTGGCTTGCGAATACGCATGGCAAACAGATCCGGCCGAGTTTGGTCTCCAATACGTAGAATGTCTTTGAATCCAATGGTAGTCAAAAGAGCGCACCGAGCACCTTTACGCTCCAAAAGAGCGTTCGTGGCCACGGTTGTTCCGAGTCGAATACTGCTGATAGAACTGGTATCCAGCAGACTGTCCTTGGGGATTGACTCCCCGGAGAGATGCTCGAGAACTCGACGGATAGCCTCGACATTTGCGTCTTTGTAGTTATCTGGGTCCACTGACAACAGCTTGAACACAAAGTCCTCCTGGCCAGGGATCACGGCAATCACGTCGGTGAAGGTTCCACCTCTGTCGATGGCAACTTTAACGTTCGAGATCATTGTGAATAGACGGTCTCAAAGAAGCTGAATTTATATACTAGCTCGATGTCGGAAGCCAGTTTCCAATCGCGGAACTAGTGTCGGAAGGAAATTATTCCGCCACCGTTTTTCGCCAAAAACGGCAGTCGGAGATTTTGTTCCCTGGCCATCCGCCTGCTTTATCAGGAAAGATAAGCCTTATCTCGAGCTAAGGAAAAAAAACTCGGGCACTATAAATAAAGATTTCACTCCTGGTTAAGGCCAGTAAACCACATGGAGAGATCCGCCAAACAGCTCAAACTTGCTAAGGCTACAGGAGAAAGAATTGCCTCGGTGCTGCCCGACGACTCGCGGACCTGGTGGCAGAGACCAAACCTGCTTAAACTCTATTTGTTGCTGTGCAACTTTGTTCTCTTTGCTTCGTCGATCGGCTATGATTCCGCAATTACCAACTCAATTCAGAATATCCCGGCCTGGCTTACGTTCATGAACGACCCAACAGGTACCTGGCTCGGATTCATCTCTGCTTCGCCGTTTGTTGGTACCTGTGGTACCATTTTCTTCGTCCCCTGGATCTGTGACCGATTTGGGAGAAAAGTTGTGATCTACATGACCGTGCTGTGTATTTGGATTGGTTCGATTCTGGGAGCTGCCGCCAAAAACCCAGCTACCTACATCGTGTCGAGAATCTTTATGGGATTCTCCTTCTCGTGCAACTATGCCGCTTCGGTGTGGATCTCGGAAATCGCCTACCCAACCACTCGTGGAAAATTCTCTGCTGCTTACCACGCTATTTATTATTTCGGATCCGTTCTGTGCGCCTGGGTGGTCTTTGGCACCCAGTACATCAAGGATGACAACTCGTGGCGAATCCCCCTGGCTCTCCAGGCCGCAATTCCCACCTGTCTGCTGCCTGCTCTGATTTACGCTCCTGAGTCGCCAAGATGGCTGATTTCCGTCGGCAAGGTGGACCAGGCACGTCGCGTCTTGCTCAAGTTCCATGCAAACTACGAGGAAGAATACCTGCCGCTAGTCGAGCTCGAGATGCAGGAGATTACAGCCGGTATCGAGGCGCTGCGTGCCAACAACATTTCCTCGTGGAAATCTCTCATCTCCACACCGGGAAACCGCAAACGTTTGTTTATTTCGTGTTTCCTCGGTATTGCCTTTGCGTGGAACGGACAGGGAATTGTCACCTGGTACTTGAGCAGTGTTCTGACATCTGTCGGTATCACTGCCACCTGGAAAAAGACCCTGCTGAACGCGTGTATTCAGCTGTTCAACCTCTTGGTTGCAATTACAGGAGCCGTTCTGGTCGACTTCGCTGGTCGCAGAACGCTGTTCCTCTATGCCACCGCGGGTCTCTTCTTCTCCTTCATCGGTCTCACCACCATCACGGCAGTGTACGCCCAGCTCCACAGAAACATTGGTCAGGCAATCATTGTGTTCATCTTCCTCGTTTATGCTTTCCAAGCCATCGCGTATGCCCCGATGATCACCTCCTATCCGTCGGAGCTTTGGCCACAGGCCACACGGTCCAAGGGTCTGTTCACGGCAATGTTTTTCCTGAACGGGGCTACCTTCTTCAACATTTTTGTCAACCCAATAGCCTTGGATGCAATCACATGGCGCTACTACTGTATTTATTTAGGAGTCCAGGTGGTGATCTTTGCTGTTATCTACTTCACCTTCCCAGAAACCAAGGGCTACTCATTGGAAGAGATTGCCCTCATTTTTGACAAGGACGAGGTTACCCAGGCTGGCCTGGAAACCGATCTCCCGGAAAAAGTCACCTCCCGAGTGAGCGTGAAAGAAATCTCTGACTAGAAAGAGTAATACATATTATTGAATACACCATCTGTCTATTTACTTACCCATCTGGTCTGGACCGAAACTCTCAGGAAGGAGCTCGCCCATCGACATCACCAGCTCCTGAGATCCGTCCTTGCTATACATGTAGATAGGCATGTCCACAACAGCGAACTCGCGCAGAACTTGCCTGCAAATACCGCACGGCGAGATTGTTTCATCGAGGTCTGCAGCAATCGCCACAGCATCGAACTGACGAACGCCCTGCGAAACAGCAACGACCGTTGCCGTGCGCTCGGCACAGATCGCACCACCGTAGGAAGCGTTTTCGACGTTTGCGCCGTCGTAGAACTTCCCATCTGCCAGCAGACAGCATCCAACACGGAAGTTCGAGTACGGACAGTACGCCTTGTCTCTGTTAGCCAATGCGCGCTCTTTCAAGGTGGCAAGTTGGGTTGCAGTAATCATGGAAATAATTTCAACCGGTTTTTAAAATTCTGAAAAGATAAAAAAAGTAGCACCGATTCGTTGCCTTATATATATTAAATAATAGCCGAGTTTTATTACAGGTTCTCCGAGCCTATTGTTTCACCACCTCGTCGATTTCCGTCTTTTCGTCCCTGCTGCCTTCTTCGTCGGCATAAATGACTTCAACATTCGATTTTGGTCCGGTGAAAAAGGTGCGTCCGTACGCAAACCAGTACACAACCACCAAGAACATGGCTCCCCAGTACACTACACAGGTCCAGTTCATGAGGTCCAAGGTGTTGTCCTTTCCGCGGAATTGCGGGAAGTTCAGGATCGGAATCATCATCAAAACGAAAGCACAGCCAATTGTACCGGTGACGTAGCTGAGCTTGCCCAAATTCCAAGGACCCGGCTTAAAAGTGTTTCTTGCGTAGGTGATTCTGAGGAAAGTTGGCACAGTGAACGAGATGAAAGCTCCAGTGGCACCAAACGAGAACACGGCGTTGATAGCGACACCACCAAACAGCAGACACAGCAAACATTCACCAATGAACCAGTTGAACCACACAGCGTTGACTGGGGTCTTGGTGTATGGGTTGACTCTGCACCAGAACCTGGACAATGGGATACAGCCATCTCTGGAGTAGGAGTAGAGCACTCTGGAGGCAGCAAGCATACTCGAGAAATCCATGATATAGGACAGAATAATGGCGAACGAAGCAAGTGCGTAGACTCTCTTTTTATCAAGGACCTGGAACAGGAAAGCCACAAACGGCTGACCAACTTCGCTTTCCATGGCAGCCGTCACATCAACGATGGTGTACGACATTCCGACCTGGAAAGCGAAACCGAGAATTCCCCCGAGAACGGCAGTTAGAACAATAGCATTTGGAGTGACAACCTCGGCATTGGCAGATTCCTCTGCCAAGTGGAATGGAGCGTCGAATCCAGACATGATCCAAATGGCAGCCATGAAACTCATGAGCACTGCAAATCCATCTGGCCACTCGGTCATGTTGACGATTTTCCAGGCGTCGGAGTTGGAGTTAAATTTTGGAAGACCCTGTTCGACTCTGTTATTTCCGCCAAGGAAAACGACCCATGTGATGAACAGGAACACCATGTTCAGAGTAGAGGTACCGCTGGTGATGATGGAGATCCATTTCACAGGCAACGAGGCAATACAGGCAGAGCTGATAGTGATCGAGGTAGCGAGCAGGAAACAGTGCCATTTCTGGTACTCATAGTTAGGATCGCTAATTTCTTTCAGAGCCAGAATCATGGAAGCAGTACTATATCCGACGGAGGGACCACCTGTGATCTGCGTCAGATAGTTGGACCATCCGACAAACCAGGACAAGAACGCTTTGTATTTAGGAGGGGCCAACATGGCGGTGGCATAATACAGTCCACCCGAGGTTGGGAACGCAGAGGCGATCTCGGCCATCGACAGAGCAACACAAAGAATTCCACCCATCGCAACCAAGTACACCCATGTGATACCAGCATTTCCGGTGTAGGCCATGGAGTACCACAGTGTTCCAGCAACAGAGGGCAGAAGACCAAGAGTGGAGAAAGCGATGGCAAAGGTGGTGAACATGGAGAAGTCACGTTTCAGCTCCTGCTTATAACCCAAGGCCAAAATAACGGCCTCATCGTGGTCCACTGGGTGATCCAGATGGACCTTCGAATGGGAAATGACCGACTGAACACGAACTTGATCAACAGCAAGATCTGAAGACATGTTTAGGATATTCTTTCGGTTGAAAAATTCAGGTCTTGAATTTTTTCTCGTGAGATTTATTTATACAATAGCCGCACAACAACACACGGCAGTCTTGGAGATAAGAAGTTGTAGGGCACGGATATTTGGCAAAAGGCCGCCTGAGACCGTCTGATCTATGCACATAGATAAACCAGTGATTAGCCAGAGATAAGTCGATTGCGTACAATGGCCAATTTGTATTTTGTCTACTCCCTATACGGTCTAAGGGTACGGAGAATTCCCAAACAATACACCGGGTTTAATCAAATAAGATTGTTCGCTAAGTCTTGGCCCCGGTGTTGGACTGTGGGAGAAGTAAAAGTTACCCGGCCCTCGGCCGAGAAAGAAAGAGTTTAAAACTCTAACTTACCTAACAGATGACATAATCGCAAATAGGTACCGAACTGTGGAAAAAAATTCTGCCTCCCCCCACCCCGGACACCTCGGCACGGCTGCCCTATTTACGTTTCCTGTTTAAGCCGAATTATTCCCCAATTAGGGTGAGGCAATTTCTACCACCCATAAAAAAAAGTGTTTGCAATCTTTGTTCTTCACCATGAAGTACTCCGTTCTTTTAGGTGTTTTGGCCCTCAACTTGGTGTCGGCTGTGGCGGAAGATGATGACAGCAATGTTGTCACCACCACCGTCTACGGTGAGACCACCAATACTCACAAGTACGGTCGGTTCGACAAAACCAAGAAGTCGTCCGAAGAAACGTCCACTGGTACACACAAGTACGGAAGATTCGACAAGACCAAGAAGTCTACAGAGGAAACTTCCACCGGTACTCACAAATATGGCCGTTTCGACAAAACCAAGGCTTCCTCTGAGTCCACTTCCACGGGTACCCACAAGTACGGTAGATTCAACAAGACCAAAAAGTCGACAACAGAAACTTCCACTGGAACCCATAAATACGGTAGATTCAACAAGACCAAGAAATCGTCGGAAGAGACTTCTAGCGGCACTCACAAGTACGGAAGATTTGACAAGACCCACGCTAGAACTACCACCACTGTTTTCGTTGCCGACGAAACCGATGCAGCTGACAGTGTTAATAAGCAACAGGTTCTTTCTGGTTCCAACTCCACCTCGAGTGCCAGTGCTTCCTCGAGTGCCGGTGCTTCCCATGTTTACGGACTTTCCCTAGGAGTTGCTGCTCTCGGAGCTGCTGCCGTTTTGTTGTGATATCATATAGACGAAATAATTGTCGGAAAATCAATTAAGAATAATTACCTATTATAAAAAACAGCACAAAGTCCATCACTCTTTCTCAATGTGGTCTTTTGGAGGGATCCGTGTATTAGGCATCAGGATGGTTGCAATCGTGAAGACTGCAACAAGACCCATACTGAGATAAAAAGTGTTCTTGATGGACTCCATAATGGCTTGTTTCACCATGTTTCCAGTAGAACTGTCGAGTGTTGCCAACAGTTCAGTATTGTTGATGACACTTTCAAGGTTAACCCCGTCAGGCGATGGGATGTGACCGATTTTTGTGCGTAATGTTGCAGTGTAAATGGCCTGTGCAATTTGCGAGAAGACAGCCGTTGCAATACCTCTTCCAAAGTAGATGAACGTCATGGTCAAGATGGTACTTCCCGGTGTTTTTGGACAGGCGAGTTGGGCAGCAACCAAAGGTGGCTGGAATGCGAGTCCAACACCAAGTCCATACAGAACCTGCAGTCCGTACCGTTTGGAGTTCGGAGAGTCCTTCTCCAACAGGGTCAGAATACCGATCCCGACAAACGAGAGCACCACGCCGACGAGAGCAATTAGTTTGACATGACGAGTCTTTTGCGAAACAATTCCACCCACGACATTGCTCAGCACGAGCGAGATCACCATTGGGAGCAGAGAAAGCCCGGCGTGGAAAGCGGTCTGATTATGAATGTTTTGGAAGTAGATCACCAAGAATTGGGTGACGACCACGAACCCAGCGTATGAGAACGACACAGAAAGCGCCGAGGTGACAACACCCATGGTGGTGATAATTTCTCTTGGAAGAACGGCGTTTTCTGCGAAGAAAAAGTCCCAGACACAAAAGGCAATGCCCAAAACTCCTCCAGCGACAAACAAACCAATCACCACGCCAGAGTTCCACTTGTACTCATTTCCTCCGAAAGATAATGGAAGAAGGAGCAAAACCAGCGAGGCAATCATCAACACTGCTCCGAGATAGTCGATCCGCTTGACTTTCTCCATCAGTCCTCCCTTCGGTGTTTGTGGACGGAAACTAAACAAGAACAGGGGCAGAATTGGTCCTGCAAAGCACAAATTAATATAGAACGCCCATCTCCAGGTGGTGTATGTGGTGAAAAGTCCGCCAATAATTGGGCCCAGAATGGAGGCCACAACAAAGACCACTCCGATCATCGCTAGAATCATTGGTTTCTTGTCAATAGTAGTGACCTCTGTAGCAATTCCCATCACACAGGCCTGAATCCCTGCTCCGCCAACTCCCTGCATAGCTCTGCCACCAATTAACATGTCCATAGATTTTGCAACACCTGAAATCAACGAGCCAATCTCGAAGATGATGATAGAAGAGAGCATAATCCATCTTCTTCCAAAGATAATCGATAGTCTACCCCATATCTGTGCGGTGCATCCCAATGCCAGCAGAAACGAAGAGGTGATCCAGGTGAGCTTTTCGTAGGAGTTGAAGCTTTCGGACACTTTAACCAAGATGGTGAAACTGATTGTCTGGTCTAAAGCAACGAGAAACATACACATCATGATTGAAGAGATACACATCACCAGTTTGGTTCCGTGAAGATACTGGTCCTTTCTTGAGGTCCCATCTCCTGCGTCACTTTCGAAGAACTTCTTTGGTTCTTCTTGAATAGACTCTATTTTCTGAATAGTCTCCTGTGTACTCATATTGGATTAAAGTATGTGGTTTCTGTGGTTCCTGTGGTACCTATAGTACCTGACGTTGACGGATGGCCATATTTATAGCGTTCTCACTAACCCCGTAAGGGGCACAAGTTGCAACGCAAAAGCTACAGCCGCTCCGTTATGACCAGCTAAATGCGATTTTCCGAACCAAATATTTCCGGAGCCGAAATTGAGCGATCGGCTTTAAGCTCTGTACGGGAGTTACGTAATCAGGCGCCAGTGTTTTTTTCAGAGTTGTACATTACCGCAAAATACTATTATAAACTGCACAGCCTTGTTTTGGGGGGTAATGAAATATCCTCGACCCAACTATTACCAGTTACATAAGCACAGGTCAATACTGCTTATACAGCTATGGTTTGCTCTTCGATGCCATAGGTACGCATTGTTTGTTTGATAGTGTGTGCAATTTGGTGTGCTGCCTCTCTTTTCTTGGCGAAATCTTCAAAAGAAAGGATTATTGAACCAAAATCAGCATAGAGAAGCATTCCTAGGTTTCTTGAGTTCTGGAATGTCCAAACATCGATACCAATGATACGTGCATGCTGGCAAAACAACAAGACGTAAATGCTTAGTCGCCAACGTATGGGTTTCATCAATCATTTGAGACATACACCTTCTTTTGCGCGAATGCCGTGCGCGGAACTCGGTTCCAAATTCCAAGCTTTTCATTTAGTTTATCAGCAGGAGATATCATGTTTCTAGAATTCTCTCCCTTTCTGGAAGTGTACCCTAGCCGGCTTCTTCCTACTACTAACGATGGGCTGTCTATAGTTTCAGCATTCACTTTTTGACTGACGATTGGGTTCGCTCTTCTCGGGCTTTTGGTAGCATATGTTCGTTGTAATATTTATCGGCGAGTTGGATTGGCCAATGATGCTAAAATGGAAATTAGTAGGCCCTGTGTCGGTTGGCTTCTTATTGTCAGACTGCTTATTTTCATCCATAGTGAATTTAATACCTCTTAAAACAGAGATGTGAGGAACTATTAAATTCGAAAAAGCTGATATCCCTTGAGCCACACCTTACACCTGGTAATAAACGGTTCGTTATTAAAAGCTGGTAATGCTGGTAATGATGGTAATGATGGTAATGCTGGTAATGCTGGTAATGATGGTAATGATGGTAATGTACAACTCAGGTTTTTTTTTTTGCGGTTTCGATCACCTAGGCAACTACAAACCCGTAATTTCTGTCATCATTATTCGTCCCCTATGTAGTAGCTACCAAATAAAATATCAGATGGCCTTTTAGCCAAAATGGAAACCACCTTGCTGGACGTTGGAGTTCATTCCAAATCCAAACTGGTCACCACTCATCTCAGGCTGTAGTCCAGCAGCATCTTCCTCAGCCTCTTCTCCACTGAAATATGTCTCCACAATGTGATAGGCCTTGGTGTAAATTTTGTCGTTCTCGTTACTCTGACAGTCAAAGATCTTCTCTGCTCCACCCGCTTCCTCAATGAAGATGGCATTCTCGTTGATGTTCGAGCCACGAGCTTCTTTTTCAAGCTCACCGATCCGGAGAATGTTCTCCAAAGCATCAAGAGTCACCTCAATGACTTTGTTGTCTGCGATGGCCAACAAATCACACAATGGCTTGATACAACCTTGAGAGACAAGATACCGGATCTGATCTGGACGAGTGAGGCCTCCTGAAGAAGCATTGGAAATTGCCCAACATGCCTCTTTCTTTGTTTTGTAGTCGCCTGTAGCAAGCAATTTGATTATTTGAGGAATCAGGTTCGAATCAATCACCGCTTGAATTTGATCGCTGTTACCTGCAGTGATGTTCGAAATGGTCCAACATGCCTCTTTGCGAATTGACTCTTTTGGAGATCTGAGTAGTGGTGCAAGGGCAGGCAAAACACCCGCGTTAATGACAATTTGTGTTTGCAAATCGTTACCAGTGACAATGTTTCCAACAGCTCTCAAGGCCGGGGTCTGGACCAGAGTGCTGTCGTGTCCCAAGAGTTCCACAAGCCGTTTAGGGATTCTAGCATCGACCACAGCTTGGATAGCCTCAGTTGGACCATCACTCAAGTATGAAATTGCCCAGCACGCGTCAATCAGAGTTTCCACGTCCACAGAAAAAATTAGTTTAGCCAGCGTTGGCAAAGCACCCTTGACAATCTGCCAGTCTGGTTGTGGGTTCTTTCCACGACACAAGTTGGACAAAGTCCATGTAGCTGTACGGATGAGCGACATCTTGGATGACTGGAACAGAGAGAGAACCGGATCCATGGCATTGCAAGAAAGAACGTAGTCTCTGTACGCGGAGGAGTCACCAGCAACGTTACCGAGGGCCCAAATTGCTTGCTCCTTGACCTCCATGGATGGCGAGTACAAGAGGTTCACAAACAGAGGCACAGCGCCAGCATCAACCACGAATTTCGTTTGTTCAGAGCTTCCTGACGCGATGTTGGTCAAAGCCCAGGCTGCCTCCAACTGGAGGATCTCCGGACCAGAACGCATAAAGTCAACAAGCTTAGGGACAACACCGCTTTCAATCACAAGGTCGATAGGAGGGTTGTGCTCCTTAGAAAGGATTTGTCTGAACTTGATAGTGGCGTCCAATTGCTGTTCCAAGTCGTTCGAGGCAATACTGTTGACCATCTTTGGCAACTCACTCTGTAGTTGGCGGTAGAACACGGTTTCTGCAGTTTGCGTTTCTTCATCCTCTTCATCCGAATCATTCATTCCTGCAGGGGCGTTGAAGTTCCGTCTCTTTGTCAAGAGTTCTTCACGCTTCTGTTTTCTCAGTTCCACCTGCTGAGTCTCTCTCCGTCTTCTCACCTCATCCTGTTGGAATCTGTTCTTGTTCTTAAAGTTTGCCTTTCTGTATTCTGGCACGTATCTCGATGTCGTATCAGAATCCATGGTGCTCTATTCCAAATCGCCCTGATTAAACAAATATTTTCTTACACTCTCGCAACAAAATTTTGTGGTTACGAGCACTCGTCATATTTAGGTGGCAGTTGTGACGGGTCACACGAGCTGGCAACACTGCGAGACCCTCGGAACACTACCAGATCACATACAACCACACGGGTACACAACCATTTACTGACCATTTCCTTCCAGATTGCCAAATTGCCACACCTCCCAATTAGGCAGCATCCGCACCACAAAATGGCTTATCGATAACGTAATCTGAAATATTTCTGTAATGAAGGTGGTGATTCAAAGAGTCAAGCAGGCCTCGGTCACTGTGAACCAGCAGGTGGTTTCCCAGATCAATCGCGGGCTGATGTTACTTGTCGGTATTTCAACCGAGGATAACCAGGAAGATGTCGCGAAACTCGCCAATAAAGTGCTTCGGTTGAAGCTCTTTGAAGATCAAGGTGAGGAGGCTGGAACCAAGACAGAATGGGTTGGAAAGCCCTGGCAGAAGAGTGTCGGAGACATCAGCGGCGAAATTCTGTCGGTCTCGCAGTTTACGCTGTACGGAAACATCAAAAAGGGAGCAAAGCCAGATTTCCATCGAGCTCAAAAGGGTCATGTAGCTCAAGAACTGTATGAGTCATTCCTCGAGATCCTCAGGACAGACCTGGGCCAGGATCGGGTCAAAGACGGTCAGTTCGGGGCTATGATGGATGTGGCTCTGGTGAACGATGGTCCGGTCACCATCGTCTGGGACACTAGAGATAAATAGAAACTAATCTTTATTCTTCTTGAACAATCTAAAGGGACTTAGGGTCCTGGACGGCGAAAATGCAGGACTAACCCCACGGTTTTCCGAGAAATTCGACCGCGATCTGGACCTCAAGGGCGACAGCATGTTATCGGTACGCGTGACCCGTTGGAACCGCGGTTTCCTATCAGAAGTGTCTGGAAGCACATGACCGTGCTGGAACTTGCGGAGAGCGTCAATGTATCTGGTCGGCGAGTCTGAGTCTATCTTTGGTTTGTGCGGATGGTATAGGGGATTAACAACAGTGACGGGCACTCGGGCGTATTGGAGACAGTATTTGGACATGGACTTTGAGCTAATCATGGCTCTGATACCCGTTTTCTGTTCTTTATGTGCTCCCACAATCAAGATCACGGGATCGTACTCTCGGATAGCTCTGGTGATCATTTCTGGCACCTTTCCAACCTTGAACTCCAACACAATCTTGATTTTCTTATCTTTGGAATTCAATTTGGCAATGCTTTCCAGAATCTGCTCTCCTTCCTCCTTATAGTCTGGTTTGGCGTCCAATATCGCTGTCTCCTTTGCGAGCACACGCAGACACACCAACGTGTCTCCGTCGTTAAGCATTTCATCTATTGTCCATTTTAGTGCAACCAGCGAACACTCGTTGTTATCGTAGCCACACATAAACGTTCTTGAAGTCCGATCAAAATGAAACTCGTGATGCTTAGTTACCAGAATGAACTGTAGCTTTGTATAATCAAGTTCTTCGTTGCTCATGTTCTCAAACGAAACACCTTTCTCAAAAGTTCGGGAACCTTTCAAAATGTGTCTTTTGGAGTGATGATCTAAGGTGTCATCCACTGATAAAGACGGTAAAGAAGTATCCGTTGAACCCTGTGGACTCAATGACGGAGACATCAGCAACCGTTCTGGGACGCTAGATTCCATCGAACTGGTCTCAAACTGGTCCTCCGACACTTGATAGAGCATTGCGTTCAGCTCTGTATTTCGCTTGGTCGTCTGGTCCTCCAAGTCCGCCTCGCCGTCAACTTCGGAACCGACATTCTGTTTGGTTTCCGGCCCGGTCTCCTGTAAAATCGAGTCGATTCCCTTCGTATCAGGCTCGCTTTCAGGCGAGCTTATCTGGTCCATTTGAAATTGGTAAAGCCGCGATGCCCAATTTAACAAATTCCACACTTATTTTTTTTCTTTATTCTTTTGTTTAAATGTGCAGGTTCCTCATTTACAAAGGCAGAGAGCCGATGCTCCTGGCCAGCTTGCTCACCCGTCCAGCTCACTCTATCATCAACCAGTCGTTTGACTCCCGTCTCCGGATGGACCACACACCCGTGAACGGAGACGGATTTGGTGTGGGTTACTATACCCCAGATGACGAATCTGACAAGGAGGTTGCCGACACCCCTTGTGTTTACAAGGCAATCACCCCAGCATGGAACAACCAGAACTTGCAAAAGCTTGCAGAAAAGACACGGTCCAGACTGATCTTCGCTCACGTGAGAGCCTCAACTTACGGACTGTTAAGTGAAACAAACTGCCATCCATTCACATACCACAGAATCATGTTCATGCACAATGGCGCCATCACCGACTTTGGCAAAATCAAGAGACTCCTCATCCAGCATATTGAAGACGAGTTCTTCTTGACTATCCAGGGATCCACTGACTCCGAGTGCTCGTTTGCCCTGTTTTTGGACTGTCTCTATAAACTGGGTCACGACCCAAAGGAAGACAAACCAATCCCACACTCGGCCCTTCGGGTTGCATTGGAGACTACCATCGAACTTATCAAGAACTGGGTCAAACAAGTGCATCCTACTCAGACTCCAGAACCATCCCTACTCAATTTTGCAGTGACAGACGGCGAGTCGATTTGCGTCTCTAGATACATCAGCTCCAAGACAGACGAGGCAGCTTCGCTCTACTTCTCTACCGGATCTCGTTTTATTGAGGTCGAACCTTCTAGATACAAAATGGAACGGCTCGACCGGTCCCAAGACATTATCATGATCGCGTCTGAACCACTCACTTTCGAGCGTGGCGATTGGATCTCGATGCCTTCCAACTCGATTCTGACAGTGAAAGACCAAACGGTTTTACTCCACCCAATCAAGGACGAGTACTACCAAGCAGATCCAACATACACCAGATCATCCAAGTTTGCAGAAAGCAAGGGCCTCATGGGCACATATCCTAAGGCAGAGATCGTCAACAACGACCTGCCACCGCTTGAAAGAGAAGGAAGATCAAGATCGATTGCAGCATAGCGTCATCATTCGTTATAATCATTGGTGGGAGGCTTGGCGTTCTCGCTCCGTAGGTACATGTCCACAGCTGTACTGAACGCGGCAAATCCTGCACAACCGATCATGGTGGACGTTGGACCACTCTTAATAGCAAGACCACCACCAGTGATGCATCCGGCCATGGTTCCGTTCCAAAGATCGTTCTTAGCGCGCAAGGACTCGATTCCACATTCGACACCGGAGAAAATCAGCCCAATGTATCCAAAGTTTTTCGCCGAAGACCATGTTCGACGACCCATATCGCTGAACTGGATCTTCACTTGCTGTTTGAATGGCAAATCCGCAATTTGTTGTGCAGGACTTTGTCCTGGTCCCATACCTGGAGCAACGTCGTATGCCATAGAGGCCATGAATAAACCAAAGAAACCACCAAGAACGAATCCCGACACTCCGGACATCACTGCTTTTCCTGGACACGACGAGATGAACTCCATAATCTGCTTGGCTCCTTGTTCGGCCTGTTCCTCCTGGGTCATCTCTTGGAGAGACCGCTTTGGAGGCGGTAGAAATGGATTATTCATTGAAATTTTTGTATAACAAATTAATTTTTTTATGAACATTTTAAAATGAACCTGCTATACATGCTGACGTAATCACAACCAGGAGACTACACGGCAAAGGAAGCACCTTTTGTTTGGTACTCTCTTCTGAATTTTCGGAGCTTGATGCGGTCCACCAGTTTGGAGATCAAATAAGCACAACAACCAATGAAACGGAACAGCGCCATGAATGCAACAATCCACAAAATCACGGTCAAGAACACAGAGATCCGTGTGGCTGGTAGGTAGTCTGTGGAGCTGCTATCGTCCGGAGTGAACTGGTACAACCCTCCTGCTTCGGTAACCAGCGCGATAATGATAAAGTTTGTAATCATCCAGACTAGCACCGTCATCGAACGAATGAACGCAAAATAAAAGGCGTCCTCTTCTTCCTGGTTGACTTTGGCTTCCACCTCCATAGTGGTGGTTGTGAGCTCGTTCATAATCTTGCGGTAGGCAACGTCGATCTGCGTCTTTGTAGTTGGAATGACAATTTCGAGTTCACCGTCCTGGGCGTTCTTAGTGACCTTGGCTTCACCCAAGTCGTTTCGCAAGTCGTCACCTTTGGTACCCCAGGAGATATCGTGGATGTTACAGAATGCATAGATGTTCAGAACGTTGATGTAAGCTGGACTCAACAGCAGGTACTGAACAAAACTAGTGAACATGTGACACGGGTCCAGGAAGATGAAAGATCCAATGAAGTAGAGAGCATATGTGCTCGTGGTTGCAACGATCAAATCACGGAATTTTGTCTCTGTAAATATCAGTTTCACGCTGAAATCGTTGGAATGGTCCTTGATGATTGTCTGGATACTCTTTACTGCCATGAACACGGCAGCAAAGATCATGTAAACCATGAGTATTGCGAAAAATGTCACAATAATTAAATAAAACCGCTTTGTACCTTTTGGTTTGTTTCCAAAGGAAAGCACAAATGTAGTGACGATAGAGGCCAAATATAACCAGAGGAAAAACACCGAAAGAATGTTCCCAGGTGCGAAGTCTGCTTCTGGCTCGGCCAGATAGACGGTCAGGATTCGGAACACTAGGAAATATGATCCTAGCGAAAACCAGGACACCAATAAGTTAATGAACTGATAAAGGAACTGGATGTGTAACATCACCTTGCGACCAAAAGAGTGCGACGTATGCCACACTTTATAAAAGTGGAAAAGCGAGTAAATGGCAGCAAAAAAGGAACCGTTCAACCAACGACGACGTTGAGAAATGAAATCATGTAGCTGTTCTGGAACGTCCGTGTGAGCTGCGGCAGAGCTCACATATTTCAAAAGCCACTCGCAATTCTGCTTTGCCACCAGCTCGAAGCACAATATACGATCCTCGGCAAGGTACATGTTCGCGTTGAAGATTCCACCATCGTTAGACCGCTTCAGATCCTCTCCCTTGAGATATTTTTGTAATGGTGCTCCCAGGAGCGCTTGATACCGGTAAGCACTGAACGCACCAGGGAGGACTGTGACGAAACCAAAAACGGACTCCATAGGCTTGTCGAGAATGTTACTGATCTTGTACTCGAAGTTTTGCGCTGCCACCAATGGGTTAAGCAGAAGACGACAGTTTCTCCCCAAACTTGCCTTGATTTCGCCACACGCTCCAGCAACACGGGGATCCTTGAACGCTTTCCATAGCTTGTAGAGTGCTTTCCCTTCTGGCTCCGTACCAACGTCCAAAAGCACGACAACGTTGGGTCTCAGAATAGGACCAAATGCCTCAAATGCCCACGCATGAGAGTTGATCTTCTTTTGATTTGTCTCCTTCAAGCAGAAGATCATTTGAATCGGAATCTGGTTCTCGGTAGTCAGCTTGACATGGTCGTGCTCCACCTTGCTAATTCCCACCATGGTGGTGTATTCATAGATATGGCTCACCACTTTATCATCGTTAACCTTGTTTTTCGCAAACCCTTCTTGATACACACCCAGGGCTCCCAAAAGTGCTTTGGATTTCGGATTGATCTTGGTTCTTCCGTCGCTGACGACACAAACGACCACTTTTTGCCAGGCATCCTGTCCCCAGGTGGAGGAATGCTGCATTGAGTATAAATGTCTGATGTTTTTGAAAACACCTTTCAGGGTCCTTGCTAATAAAATCTCGTTCTCGTTGTACATGGTTATCACAACCATCATTTCTGTGGACCTAGGTTGCGAGTAAAAACACTGACGAAGCGAGAAGTTTCTGTAGGCAAACTCAGCCGGCTCACAGGTACAAGCCTGAAATCTCATAAACAGAAACTCTCTATCCTTCTCCGACAACGGAGTGGTGTACTTGCTCAACAAGACATCACTAACGGGGCAGTCTAAAACCAGATTACCATTCACCATACGCACCTGACGCGCAGATGTCACGCTGGCCCCGGACTCGCTGTAATCGTCTCGCTCAATGTCTTCTTCTTCGTGGCTATCGTCATATCTGTAATCAAACGGATCAAAGTAGTCTTTCGGAGTATTGATTGGATAATAAGAATTATTCAAGTTTGGGAACGGAACAAAAGTTCGATCCGATTCGGCGTCTGGCTCAAAGTTATACTCATATCCGGGACGGTCTGCCACAAACGGGTCCTCTCTTTTGCGGTAAGTAGGCTCTTCTTCCTCCTCCTCCTTGTCGTCAAAGGGTGATAACTTTGGGATCTGGGGCAACCTACGGGTTTCATGCGATGGTGAATAATAGTATCGATCTGGTGACGGCGAGTAAGATCTTCGTTGTGGGCTGGGCGTGCCATATAACCGGTCTCTTGATCCGTATCGATTTTCTGGAGTCAAATACACGCTGTTATTGTCTCTTCGAGGAGACGAATAAGATCGCTCAAACTCCTCTTCCGTCGCATTCATCTGTATCCACGGATTATCAACGGGGAGTCCGTTGAGTGTTTCGTCGGATCGGTTATAGCTCATTGGATCTGTTTACCTCAATTTATTTTCTTTGTTTTGTAAACAGTCGCGAGCCTTCCAGCCACATGTGGCGCATCAACATGGAAAAACATTATTATCAGTGGAAGCTGAAAAATTTTAGTTCCAATGGCTTCATCTGTGCCCGGACCAGTGCCTTTACCGGCCTCCCAATATGATCTGTCGACGTACCTCGGGCGTGTCAAGCATTGTGCGGGTATATCTGACCCTACAATGCTGCTCAACACTTCGAAAGACATCGAGAACGCAAAGAGACTAGTCTGGGACTATAAAAACGGAGTCATTTCTGAGATGACTCCTGACGTCTGGCGTGCGAAAAGAGTTCTGGACTCCTCGATCCACCCAGATACTGGAGAAACCGTTGTTCTGCCGTTTAGAATGTCATCGTGTGTCCTGTCGAACCTGGTTGTCACTGCTGGTATGTTGACCCCTGGCCTTGGAAATGCGGGGACTGTCTTTTGGCAGATCGCGAACCAGTCGTTGAATGTGGCGATCAACACCGCCAACGCAAACAAATCACACCCTCTGACGACCAAACAACTCGCAACTAACTACTTCCTGGCTGTTGGTGCCTCGTGCGGAGTTGCTCTGGGTTTGAATTCTATTGTTCCTCGGTTGAAGAATGTTTCTGCAAACACCAGAATGATCCTCGGACGTCTTGTTCCATTTGCGGCTGTTGTTTCTGCCGGTATCGTGAACGTTTTCCTTATGAGAAGTGAAGAGATCAAAAAGGGTATTTCTGTGTTCGACCAAGACGGAAACGACTTGGGCAACTCCAGACGCGCTGCCGTTCAAGCTGTTGGAGAGACTGCTGCTTCACGTGTCATCAACGCTACTCCAATCATGGTCATTCCTCCTCTGCTTCTTGTCAGATTACAAAAGACCGTTCTTAAAGGTAAGGGTTCTGCCGTCCAGACCTTGGCCAACATCGGAATCATCACTGCCACCTCTTTCCTTGTCTTGCCTTTTGCACTCGCTGTTTTCCCTCAACGTCGTCATGTTTCTGTGGACCAGCTCGAGGAGAAGTTCCGTGGCTTGAAGGACTCCAAGGGAAACGAGATCAAGCAAGTCGAGTTCAACCGGGGCATCTAATCAAATCAGCCATCCAGTCCATTTTGCCGCACATAGATTACTCAATTAGACGCCGGCTCCGTTACTTCTGTACATTTCAAAAGAATCCCCCCACTCTTTTTGAATCTTCTTGTCTAACTGTTTTTTATCTAAATTTTTTTTTTCTTAGATCTGATCTCGACTCTTTTTTTTTTGCCTCCCATGGCTGTCACTTCAGTGATAACGACTATTGCGCCGCTGGCCAAGAAGAAGGACCGCCAGCGCGCGTTGGAGATACTCCAGAAGGTTGCGATTGAGGTTGCCCCTGTGATGCGTGTCTACGGTTTCAAAGTGTCCACGCTTTGTGAGTTCTATCCTAAAAATCCCCAGCTTTTGGGGCTCAATGTCAACCATGGAGCAAAAATTTGTCTGCGTTTACGTTACCCCCACTCAGAGTCTCAGTTTCTTCCACTGGAAGATGTGATCCAGACCATGCTGCACGAGCTCACCCACAACAAGTTCGGCCCCCACGATAACAAATTCTACAAGCTGTTAGACGAACTCCGTGAAAAATACCGCTCCATCAAACAAAACGGGTCCTTACAAGAAACAGGCTATGTTGCCGAGAGCCAAATGCTTGGTGGCCGCCAGCAGGGCCTCATCCGAGAAATGCGAGTCAAGAAGCTCAGTCAGATCAAGTATGTTGCAAAAGTCGAAAAGCTGGGGTCTAATAAACCAAAACAGAACAAGAGCATGCGCGAATTGATGCTCGAAGCTGCAGAAAGACGGGCAAAAGACTCCAAGTCGTGCTCCGTCGACCTAACTGCCGTCCCGGACGATGATGAACTCTTACCAACTTCAAAACCGGAACCAGAACCGGAACCGGAAATTATAGAGATTCTAGATGATTGACTAATACATTAAGTCTAAAGTCTATTTCACAACGGGTTTCCCGTCGCTTTGATATATGCAAAAACCGGATCTTTGTCAACAGTGTAATCGGACAGGTCCTTGATGGAGTCTGCCGAGATCACGTCTCTCAGTTTCTTGTCATTCTTGAACCAAGTGGCAATGAGGTAGCTCATTTCCTGTTGCAAAACCTTCAAGTACCCAGGGAACAGCTCAAACGTGGTGGACTCAATCAAGTCGCGCAGGTTGTAGTAGAGCTTACCATAGGATACTCCACTACGGATGAACGCGTCCGCAATCACACCCGTTGGCGGTTTGAGCTGCTTGATGCTGTACTCCGGTGAGTAGAAATACCGCACCAACAACTGGAACAAGTCGATAATGGGGAACAAGATCTCTGTATCGGAGACGCGAGACGCCACTGCAATGAACTCGTTGTTGATCTCAGAGAAAAACGGCTCTCCTGAATCTTTATTCTTGAAGTACCATTTGCTAAGAAGACTCTCCCATTGTGAGAGTATGTCCTCCACATTTCTGTGATCAGAAATCTTGAAAGTGACCAGAGCAAGTGTGTAGTATCCCAGTGGATCAATAAAGTTATTGTAAAGATCACTGATAGGTAGAACTCTTCCATTAAGTTTCTTGATTGCCTCCTGTTTGGCGATCTCGCTCACACGTTCATCATCAAGAACAGTCAGCAGCAACTCGTCTTGTAAATTGGCAACCGCCAGCAAATCGCTAATAGTCACCGAAAGGAAAGTCATTTCTTGTCTCAGATCAGGAGGACAAACACAGTTGCAGAACCCGTTGGCACGCGACAAGAATTGGATTCTATTTGCAAGGTCGATATCGAACTTGGAGATAGCCAGCGAAAACAACACACTGGCGGACTGGAAATAGTTCTCCCTCTTGGAATAATAAATCCAGAGCAGCTTGGCCATTTCCATGTCTTTGGTTGAGTAGTCCCTCAGAAAATCAAGGACGAAAGAGGTCTCGAGGTCAAGCAAGCGTTCTCCCACTCCGATTTTGACCAACCATTTGTAGAATTCGTAATGGAACAGTTTGTCCTGGCTTTGCAGACAAATTTCGTAACTCTTATCTCTAAGTTGAGAATATTGTGTGGCGAGTTGTCCATCAGCTCCGAAGTAGGAGATCGGGGCTTTGGCATCGGTGAAACTAGTATTATTGGCTGCCTGTTCCAAGCTCAAGATGGACTTTTCATCGACATCCACAAGAATCTTGAAAATCAATTCGTACAGCTTCACACGTTTTTCATACGCGAGCTTCTTAGGATCATCGATCATTAATGTAGCTTGTCCTTCAAGCTCATACTTCAGACCCAGGTTAGTTGGATCCCCTGAGCTTGAAATTTTCAGTAACAGTTCAATTGCGCCTGGGTAGTAGTCTAACAGAAGCATCACATTGGTCAGGTCATTGATGGTTTCAAATGTAAGAGCATCGTGCGTTTTGCTCAAAAGTTGTGCGGCAGCCTTAAGGTACTTGGTTTTGTTTTCGTTGTCGTTATTAGCGGCAAAGTCTTTGGCCTTTTTCAAGCTTTCAATTGCTTTGAAAATGAGAACATCTCCAGTTGAGCAGAACGAGCCACACTTCTCTTGAAGAGTGTTCGCGACCAGCTCCACAGAGTCTCCAGACGAAATGCTCTTATTAATCACGGATGAAAGAATCTCTTTAATCAATTTGGAAGTAGCCTCATCGTTGGAACTGAAGAAATCATTGAAGGTCAAACAGCTCAAATCGGCTTGGCTTTGAATGGACAAGTAGGTCATCACATCAACAAAGTTCTTGTTCGTCTTTTCACTGTCATCGTAAAGAATTGCGAGAAACGAAAGACCTTCTTTGACACTTTCGAGGAATTTCAAAATGGCGTTGAATCCAATGTTTTCAGCTTGAAGACATAGCTCCAATTCCTTGCTGTTCGCACCTGTTTCATACAAAGGACCTAGCAATCCCGGAATGATCTTCTTGTTCTCATTGAAGAAACTCAAAATGATGATGAGCGAACATAGGAAATATTCAAGCTCTTGTCTTGTGATGTTCAGCCCTGAAAGAAGCACCTTCTCATTTGTCAACTTCTTCAAAGAGTCCTCAATTATGAACCCACTCTTGTTGAACTTGACATTTGGATCAAGCTTGAATATCTCTTTATCCCAGAACTCTCTCAATAATCTTGAAAGCAAGAGGATCACTGAATAATACCGATCACTGAGTTCAACATTATCAACGATGGCAGGCAAGTTCTTATTCAGTTTGGAATTCTTACCACCGGAAATAAAGTATTTTGTTGCAAGATTTCTAAAGCTGTCCGGTTGGCCATATTTGCAAGCCAAGTACAAAACACTCGAACATGCTTCACAGGACCCATATTTGTTAACAAATTCGTTGAAAGTTTTGTCATCAAGCGAATCCTCGATAATCATATCAGGTGTTCTGTAGCGGTAAGTATGGATTCCCGTAGTTGTAAGAACAGCTATCTCAAGAGGTGGGGCCAAATACTGAATTGCGAACTCATTACAGTACCCCTTTGGGGTGTTGGTCGCGTGGAAACTTGGGCTCATTGCTTCAATCGAATGGATTGTCTGGAACTTGTCCAGTAGCTCAAAGTCTTCAACATATTGAAGGGAGTTTTTCAAAACGCCATAATCTGGAGTAGAGCTGTAGAACTGTGACTCGTTATAACAGAAGAAAATACCTGGAGACACGATCAACGAGTCCTTGATGTTGTTCAAGAGCTTCGAATTTTCTTGTGCAACTTTCAAATCCTGAGGAGTGATTTCATTATTCAAAGGATTCTTGGTTATAGATTTTGGTGCTTCTTGTTTTGTGTTATTGGCCATGAAATTTTGACCTTGCTGAAGCTGCTGTCCCTTCAGAGATTCTAATTTGTCGTGGAAACTCGAGTCAGGAGGCGGGAACTTGACGTAGCTTGTAGTCAACGTGAGTCTTTCGTAAAGGGTGCTTCCATTAATGTACAGCCTGCAACCCGTGTTGGTAACAGCAACCAAGAACAAATTGTCGCTCTCATTCTTGGTAATTGGGAAGATGTTAACGATCTCAAATTCGTTCTTTTTCAAAAGAGTGGATTGAAGGTTGAAAGTTGTTGTCGCAAGATCTTTGAGAACATTGTAAGGCTTCTTCACAACAGAAGCGCCTAGTTCAACCTTTCCATCGGAAACCTTTAATCTATAAGCTCTGATTGTGGACTTGGACGATAGAGTGTACAAAATTCTTCTTGAAGAATCGATTTCCAGTTGCACAATAGTTTCAATTTTTGAGTCCGTCTCTTGGCCTAGCAATCCCAGACCGGGGAGCTTCTGAAACACGTTATAGTTGGGCACCACTGAAGACAGGCCAGATTTTGTGAGACATTCCTTGTAGCAATTACGCTGGAACCATTCGTCCGTATTGGAATAGCTGAGTCTCCACACGTTCTCGCCATCTCCAATTCCAGTGAAGAAAATATCGTTAGTTTGGTCAAAAGTGATGAATTTGTTGACAATGAGACCGTGTGTAGGAACGCTCATCTTAGTATCTGATATTGTGAGGTTTTCTGGCGTATACTCAACAGCCAGAATGTGGATGTCCATGGATGTTGAAACTAGAAGCAGATAATTGACACTATTCACGAAAACACCTGGTTTTGGTTTGATCAATTTCACTGTGAGGATGGTGTTTTTCAGCTCATCAATTGTGAAGTACTCCGATTCATGGGAACTGGCCTTATAGTTCCAGATAATAAGCTTGTTGTCAATTGTCAGCCATGCACGTTGAAGCTCGTTCAGAAGTCCCATGTTGGTGATGCAATCTAAACTGTGATACTCCTGGAAGATTTGGTCGGGGATATTGTAAATGCTCGATTTCTCAAACCTCGAAAATGGCCCTAACGACTCGTTCGGCTTATAATTGTAGTTGTCGATGGCATACTTGGTCAATACCTCACTCAATGGTGGTGTGTTATTGTCCTTTTCGATTGCTGATTGAATACTTTGACTAACTAGACTCATTGGGGGAGTACTGGACAACAAGGGCAGGGATTTCTCACTTGTGAGCTGGTAGTTCATGAGCTGAGATGAGTTGAAGCCTGTAGAGAGGGAAGAGGTCAACCGTGTAGATGGGAACAAAGATCCAATCCCAGAAGGTGTTGCCGTCGAGGTAGGCACGTTGGCCTTTCTTGCGGCTCTTTTCTTCTGGAAATCAGATACCTCTAGTTTTGCTTCCTTCTTTGCATCGGAGGAACTTCCAAAACCAAGCACCTGGCCAAAATGAACCGACATTTCAATCACTGGTCAACAACTGGTGTTTTGTTTTGATTAAAAAATTTAGCCAGCCGGGTAAACTAATTTTTCCCTTCATCAAGTTGAATTACAAATCAATTCCTCTAAGCGATGGCTGAACCGTTTCCCTCGATCGCTGGCGCTTCGCTAACTGAGCTCATTGAACAGCTAACTCATTATGCACTTTCGAATGGCTTGTTGATTTATCCGCCAGGCTTCGAGGCTTATCAACCAACTGTGGCTCCGGTTACGCTCTATCCTACGCCATTACCACGGAGCGAGTTCAACAAGGGAGTCGCCATCTCCACCAAGTTCAACGAGCTGTACAGTAATGTGGTTGTGGAGAAGTCTTGGCTCATCGAGGTGATTGACGAATTGTCCAAGTTTGATCGTGACTTCACTGGAAAGTTATACGAGACATATCTCGAAGCTGAGTCCAGCATTGTGCAACCTGTTTCGTTGGGATTGTTCCGGTCCGATTACATGCTGGATACTGTTTCTGGTAATATCAAGCAAGTTGAATTTAACACCGTTAGTGTGTCATTTGGTGGTCTCTCTCCAAAGGTCGGAAATCTACACAGTTTCCTGAATAATCAAGGTCTCTACGGCAAACCCAAATACTACAAGGAGGAAGATCTCCCAGTTAGCTATTCGACAGCAGGACTTGCCAATGGATTGTATGAGGCAGCAAAATATTACGACACCACCGAGAGGGCTTCAGATACAATTGTCCTGTTTGTGGTTCAACCGGGCGAGCGTAACGTTTTTGATCAACGTGCTGTTGAATATAGCCTTGCTGAGAAAGGAGTCAAATCGAAGAGAGTTGATTTCACAAAAGTGGTCACTAGTGTCAAGGTTGACCAATCCACAAATAAGGTGTACTACGGAAATGAAGAGGTGAGTGTGGTCTACTACCGTTGTGGATATGCTCCTAGCGAATATACCGGTCCCGAGACATGGGAGGCCCGGTTATTATTAGAGAAAACTAAGGCTGTGAAGTGCCCCTCGTTGCTGGTTCAATTGAGTGGAGTTAAAAAGGTTCAGCAGCTACTCACCAACAATTCGATCTTGAGCAAGTATCTGGAAAACAACGACGAGCTTTCGTCAACGTTTGTCAAAATTTATCCATTGGATGATACTGAGGAAGGGCTTCTTGGAAAGAAGTTGGCATTCGAGCAACCTGAAAGGTTTGTGCTAAAACCACAAAGAGAAGGAGGAGGAAACAACATTTACAAAGAAGATATTCCTTCTTTCTTGGAAAGCATAGAGGCAAAAGATTGGGGAGCATACATTTTGATGGAACTGATCATTCCTCCCATTCATGAGAACAAAATACTAAGAAATGGCGACGTTCTCAGCGAAGGCGTGGTGAGTGAGCTCGGAATCTTTGGTACAATTTTATTCAACGAGAAATCTGGCTCCATAATACACAATGAGGAGTCTGGATATTTGCTGCGCTCCAAAACTAGTAGCTCCAACGAAGGAGGAGTTGCTGCGGGCTTTGGATGCGTTGATAGCCTATATTTATATGAATAAAATTAAAACTTATGAAAATCACCTAAAAAAAGCATAAATGTCCCTAATGTCTTCCGTCCTTACTCTTCTGAGACCACCATCCCAAAGTAAAAAGTCCAAACAGCCCGAAAAATAGGCCATCAGAGGAGCTCTGTTTAGGGGCCGACTCGGAGATTTTTTCCTTTGTAGTTTGCAAGATCTGACCTGCTTTACTCACTGGAGCAGAATCTAGCACTTGCGAAACAGTCCCAGCAGTTTCCTTGACAATAGGCTTGTCTTTGAGCGAGGCTTTTGTGGACAGAGATGGGATTTTGATGGCAGGCTTCTCATCTGGAGGTGGATATGCTTTTTGGTCCACCTTGTAGAAGTCGATGGTGGAGTTATCGCCCTTCGCCTTCTTGGAGGCAGTAGAGCTCATCTGGCGAGTTGTTGGCTTCTTAGCAGCCTTGGAAGTTGTGGTGATAGTTCTGGCGGCTGGCTGAGCAACAGTCTTGGACGAATCATATTGAGTAAGTCTTTGCATCAAGTCGATCTTTCGTCCAGAAACCTTCAGTCCTCGACGTTTGCACTCCATTTTGAGTCCCTGGAGGTTCATGGAAGTGTATTTACTTGGATTTCCAACGTCCATCAATAATTGTGCTTTGGACGTTTGGTGGACTGATCTTGTTGTTGTTTGCAGCTTGACAGCCAAATCATCCTTGGGAAACGCCTGTGGGGCTTTTCTCACCGTTGCAAATCCCCTTTGAACGCTCTGGCGGTAAGCAGCACCTATTGTGGGCAACGATCTAGCGGTTCTCAACATAGCAATGGAATGAAGAAAGAAAATTGGATGCTGACTTCTTTTTCTAAGTATTATTGTTTACCCCAATTGGGTAATTTAATTGGGTCGATCGACCGCGACTATTAGCGAGGTGGTCTCTATTGTTGATTTCGTGACAACCTGGTCAGTCGGGCATAGCAACCACCTCCACCAGTATAAGGCGCTTATTTCACTCCCCCACTTAACCATTGTAATAATCATCCCCCACCCAGAATATCGAAGCATAATTCACTCCTAGCAAAAATATTTTATTAACACATGGAACAAGTGTCTCTATCGCGACCCTACGGTCCTTTCGAGTTAATCGATTGGGAACATGAGTATCAGTTGAATTCGGACTTCCAGAAACGGCGACTTCAATCGTCGAACCGATTCCAACAATTCATATACACAAACCAACGATGGCTTTTACTCATAGGAGCATCAATTATCATGGCATTACTTACAATTGCCATAGACTATTCGTCGATGTTTCTACACGGTCTTCGATCAGGTGTCTGTAAGTCAAATGTGCTGACACCAGCCTATGAATGTGACGATCTCGCTGATTGGTCCACCTTCTTCTTGTTTTTCACAGATAGCACCATGCTGCGCAAAATTAACGACTTCATTGTCTACTTAACAAATGTGTTGATCTTGACTCTTTTCGGATCCCTTTTAGCCACCAAACACAAGTACATTGCTCGTGGAGGTATACCGGAAGTCAAACTATTTCTATCTGGAGCAAATATACCTGGGTTTCTTCAGCCTAGTGCAATTGCCTCCAAAGTATTGAGTTTGGTTCTGATTCTATCTGGTGGATTATTCCTCGGTCTGGAGGGTCCGCTTGTTCATATATCCATGGGTGTTCTAGACTTCTTGATTACCAAGTTCTCGCCTACCAAGAATGAAGCCATCAGAAGGGAATTACTCTCGTCGACGGTTGCCATTGGCATTGGGCTCGCTTTCAATGCACCAATTGGAGGAGTCCTTTTTGCACTCGAGCAGATCCAGTCCGCGTTTCCGGTCGATAAGATGATGTGGAATGCATTTGTTTGCTCGACGGTGGGAGTAACCGTACTGCAGAAATTGCACCCATACATGAAGATGGACATTGATGAGATGTTCACCGTCTCGTGGAAAAATAACTGGTTGTCCTGGGAGACTGTGCCATATATGTTCTTGGGATTACTGTGTGGTGTACTCGGAGTGATCTTTTCAAAACTCAACATCTACTTTGCAACTTTCAGGAAAACACGCCTGGACAATCCAAAATTGAAAGTGGTGGAGGTGATTGTGGTTTCAGTTCTTGGTGCAGTTGTTGGCTATTTTTCCAAGTACTCCATGTTTTCGCTTCCAAAGATGCTGCAGCAGCTATTTGACAATTGTGCCGATACGTCTGCCAATCTGCTGTGTCCCAAGGAGTCAGAAATCCCCTACGGTCTCTTTACGCTCTTACTGGCTGGAACAGTTCAGAGCTTCATTCTCAGTTCTTATACATATGGATGCAACGTTCCCGGTGGACTTTTGCTACCATGTTTGATTATAGGTGGATCTGTTGGCCGTCTGGTTGGATTGTTGCTACAGACTATTCAAAATGAAGTTGTGACATCTGCATTGCATATCCAATGTCTCAACGAGAAAAAGTGTATCTCTGTTGCATCTTATGCTGTTGTTGGAGCGGGTTCATTTGCCGCTGCGGTTTTCAAGATGAATGTCACTATGGTTGTGATCCTCTTTGAGCTCACAGGAGCGGTGACATATATGATCCCGATCATGATGGGAGTTTTCTGTGCCCGTTTTCTCAACGACATGTTGATTGACATGAGCATTTATGAGCTCTGGCTGGAAAATGCAGAGATGCCGTACCTAGCACCGAACATTGAGGACAGATTGACCCATCCTGAATATGCGATTACCAACTGTGATATGCAGATGCTCTCTATCGAAGAATTTGCAAGCCTGACTGATGACGGTACATTGACCCTGAACGATATAGAACGGCTACCGGAACAACAAGGATATCCTGTGGTAAGAAACGATGACCTTGTTGGCTACATTTCAAGCTTCAGTCTCCGGTCGGAATTAGCGAAACTGAAAGCTGACAACATTGTATCGTTTGACTCTGTTGTAACGTTTGACCATTCAAAATATGGTTGCCACAGTCTTCAGGCTCTTATGGTTGATTTGAGTCTTTTGCAGATCGTGAACGGCGACACCAAGTTCCTGACTGCTTGTCAGATGATGGACCAATTATGGCTCGAATGCGTTTTTGTTTGCTGGCAGGGCAGTCATAAATTGCGCGGTATCATTTATCGAGACAAGGTTGAAAATTGACGTTAAAATAAATAAAAAAATTAATACCATGATATGAAGGCGATTAATATAAGTCTTGCATTAGCAGGACCTTTAAAGGAACCTGAGAAAAGCAAAGTGGAAGTCTCTGTAAGTTCTCTTCCAAAAGTTGGAATGTGCGATTTGCCGCAGAACTTGCTTCAAACGGACGGGGTGTTTGCAGTAGATAGCTGGGTCCTTGTTTTCAAACAAAGACTGATAGGCGCAATTGATATCAGATCTGAGGTAACTCAGCTTATGGCATACTGTGGATACATCTATGTTCTTTCTGGTGACACAATACTGGTTTTCACTGAAAATACATTGGAACTCGTGGATCAGGTTCGTCTCGAATTCTCTGCCCAACGATTTTGGTTGCTAGAGATTGAGTCATGCATTGTTTTGGTCGCACAGAGTTGCTCAATGATATGTGTTGTCACTCACAATAACACAGTTACTACTTCTGCTCCGCTATACTTACCATTTTGGCCTAAGGGAGCCGCACTCTTGAACCGATTCTATGTCTACATAGTCGGACCGTCTGGCCAGTATGAAGTTTTCCGCTACAACATGGAACAGCAATGTTTTTTGCCTGCTGATAGAAGGATGCTTGTGCGTATAGGTACATTTGGCCAGCCAAAACTAGGCCGCATTCTCGACGTCGAGATTGTCGGTCAAGGAAAGTGGGTTGTGTTGCAGGAGACAGGTTGGACCCTGTATCAGATACAGGAAGCAAAGCTAGTACAAGTGGTTTCATCTCCATTGACTAATGTTGGAGAAAGACTTGAAAAGAGAAAAGGTGAGCAGTACGCCTTTGCGATAGTCATGCAAAATGGAGAACTCATGGTAGTTGAAGATGGAAACGTGGTATTGGAGCAACAACAGCATCCGGCTTCAATAGGTAACGTCCAGATCAGTTACACAGATAATATTGACAACTTGGTTTTCGAGTCGCACGACAAATTTCTTGTCTTTGAATCCCGCTACCTCACTTTCCATCATTGTTCTCTGTCAATCTCCAATTTCCCCATCGATGTCTTTTTCCTTCTATCAGAGTCCGCAGATACCCTTACAGAACACTTCCTTGCCTATTCTGTTGCAAATTTTAGTTTTTCCTTGCTTGCTCAATTGTGTATGCATTGCGTGGCAGGAAGACCGCTTGCTTTCGAGCTCCTTAACCAGTTGCTCGCTGGTGTCGGGAGGTTTAATGAAGACCTTGTGCACACATGGAGGCAATATGCTGATCAGACATATTTCCCCGGCACAGAGAATTTATCCGTTTATTCGGTGTTAGTGCTGGGTCTATTATTCAACCACGAAAAGATTGACCTTGGGCCTGAATTTGGTGGCAAGCTAGAAAAGTACTCTTCGTGTCCATCGACCAGTCAGTGCATTGCTTATTTGTTAAACAAGCTTGGGCCCCGTATCCAGGATTTAGCTCGCATTCCAACTCTGCTATTCAACATGATCGAATACAACCATCTGGACGTCTTGGACACGTTTGCCTCACTGGACGAACGTCTTACTGTCACGTGTTTGGGACTCATCCTCAGCATGTCCATACCTCCATTGGAGTATGTTAACAGATTACTTATTACCCGAAACCTTGCTCCCAACAACTTATTTATTCTCATCAACGCTCTGCTGATGCAGCTTCCATGTCCTAACAGTGCGAAAACACTTAATTTACTGACTACAAACTTCCACGAATCTCTCGGTGCCTTTTTCGAAGGTGTCGGAGAACGTCTTCCTCAAGACCTGCTCACTTCAAAGTCTAAGGTGGCCCTGATGTTAGATGATACGGAACTACAGCTTGGCTACGATGGCGTTGTCATGATGCGCTCTCGTGACAAATGGGCCCTAATCCCACTGAAATCCGAACAGCTGCCTCCAGACAACGATCTTTGTTCCAAGCTTGGCCAGTTCCAGCGATTAATCAAGCCCAAGTTCGCAGGAGACGGTTCGAAGCTTGCCGTTTTTGACTTCAGCAACTACTCCATCAGAATTTGGGACCTATCGGAGTTGAAACCAGATGCGTTGGATACGCGAGTTGTGCGATCAGACATAGCTGTCAAACTACCCAACTTTTACGTTTTATTCCTGCAACGTCTGGGCAAAGCTGCTCCCATGGAATTTGCCTCCACGAACGACACCAAAGTGTGCTATTCCAACGTATTAATAGACCTGAGCGACTTGTTGTCTAGCTACAGCGAAGTGTTTGGATTCAAGTGCTCCGATCTCGACCTTGACTGGGCTCTGGGTGACCGTATTGTGCTGAAGCTGCAGAACAAGATTATCTTTGTGTATAATCTGGGGTAAATACGGAGACCGGCCCACGACCTTTTTTATATAAATCACATACAGCCGCGAATAAATATAAAGAGCAATAGAATGGCCCGGATAGTTCTTCTCCGAATTGGAGACACTGGAGAGCCGCTAGTTGACAGTTCACGGGGTGTTTTGACCTTCCCGACATGTTCCCAGGGTGAGAGTCCTCTTTTTGTGCTGAGATTCTACATTGTTGCAGGCTCTCAAATCACAAACAAGGGAACAATATGGACTGATGTCCCCAAACAGGCCGACGACCCATACAGAAGGGATAAGTATACCAAGCATACAATCAATGGCAATTTTTACCAAGATATAACGATTGATGTTTCGATTTACAACCCTGGATCTTATTGCTACTACATTGGATACAACACTTTGAAGGAGGGCGATGAGGAACAATTCGTCACCACACGCAAGTTTTACTTCGTGGTGCCACCATCGTTGTTTGTCAAGGATTTGTACTTGCCGCTCAATGCGGTGAGTATGCAGTCTGTCGTCTCGAAGTGGATGGGACGTAACAATTCCGAGTGGGATCCCATTTTCGCTGAGATTTCACGAAAGGGATACAATATGATCCATTTCACTCCACTGCAACCCCGTGGAGAATCTAATTCACCGTACTCGATTTATGATAACCTCGAGTTTGACCCTGTTGCGTTCCCGAACGGCAAGTCAGACGTTCAAAAAATGGTCTCGAGACTTGAACAGGAGTATGACATCCTTTCGATGACAGACGTTGTTTTCAACCATACTGCAAACAATAGTCAATGGATCAGAGAACATCCAGAAGTAGGATACAACGAGGAAACGGCTCCTCATTTGAAACCTGCCATCGAATTGGACAGATTGTTGCTACATTTTTCAAGGAGCATGAAAAGACACGGATATCCTACTACAATCAACAATGTGGAAGACCTGTTAAAAGTTATGGATGGAATTAAAATTCATGTGCTCGGTGATTTGAAATTATGGCAGTACTACGTGGTTGATGTTGATGACCATATCAGGAAATTGGAAGATGAATGGCCGAAACGAATAAAGGTTTGCGACTTGGACGTTCCAAGAAATGCTAGTCTTCCAGAACTGGCCCAATTTGTTGTCTCGAGTGCGTCCACGAAACCTTTTGGACTCGGTGATCGTTTCGGTAATAACTTGGATATCCCCAAGTTTGTGTCCGTTCTGAATTGTCTGTACGGCGACCTTTCGTTAGACGAGATTAAACAGCATGCCCACAAAATCTTAGATGAGATCAATCTCCCATTGTACAAGGAATATGATGAAGACAATAACGAGATTTTGGAGCAACTTTACAACAGAATAAAGTACATGAGATTGGAGGATCATGGACCACGTCTCGGTGAAGTGACGGACGACAACCCATTAACAGAACCATACTTTACCAGATTCACTGATGCTTCAGGAAGAGACTGGGCATTGGCAAATAACGGTTGGATCTGGGGTGGAAACCCTCTCGTTGATTTCGCGTCCGACCAGTCCAAGTGTTATCTAAGAAGGGAAGTGATCGTTTGGGGTGACTGTGCGAAATTGAGGTACGGAGCTGGACCCGACGATTCGCCATATTTGTGGTCCAGAATGATTGAATACTCCAAATTGCTGGCTTCTCTTTTCCATGGATTCAGAATTGACAATTGTCATTCTACTCCATTACACGTCGGAGAGGCAATGCTCGATGCAGCTCGTCAGGTGAATCCAAACTTGTACGTTGTCGCTGAGCTTTTCAGTGGTAGTGAGGAGTTGGATATCGTTTTTGTTGAACGACTGGGAATCTCCTCGTTGATTAGAGAGGCTATGCAAGCATACTCTATCAATGAACTTTCGAGACTGGTGCATAGACACGGTGGACCACCAATTGGCTCTTTCAAGTGGCTACCACTGGACGAGCTTGCTTATCCAGTGCACAAAGAATTGTTCGAAACTAGATCAAGCGAGAGTTTCCCGAAGAAAAGTGAAATCCCAATACCAGAGCCCGTTGTTTCGCAGGCTCCACATGCCCTGTTCATGGATTGCACCCATGACAATGAGACTCCAAACGAAAAAAGAACTGTTGAGGATACGCTTCCAAATGCCGCATTGGTTTCATTTTGCTCATGTGCTGTGGGTACTACTTTTGGCTACGATGAATGCTATCCCAAACTTTTGGATGTGGTCAACGAGGCTAAGAAGTACACTTTCGGACCTGGTATTGGGTCTGTGAAAGCAAAACTCAACAAGATCAGGCTTGAACTTGCCAATCAAAGTACTGATGATTTGGAAAGCAATGAAATGCATGTTCATCATGAAGGTCAATTCATCACTGTCCATCGTACAAATGCCAAAACAGGAAAAGGATACTTCCTCATTGCTAGAACTAAATTTTATCAGGATGGTGATCAGTCACTTGCTCCCATTCGTCTGAGTGGAAGTAAAGTGAAGCATTTGTTTGCATACACACTCGTCAGAACTGGGGATGACCCAAAACCAAGTGAGAACTTTTTAGAATCTGTCCCTGTTGATCTTAGAGAGATCTCGCCTCTAAATGTCGACGTTGATGGAAATGATAGCCTCATTAACCTTCCAGTCGAGTTTCCACAAGGATCTATCGCTGTCTTGAGCACAGAGATTCCTGGCTGTGACGACAGTTTGGATCACTTTGTCCGTTCAGAAGCCTTGGAGGCTGCGAAGAACTTGACATTGCTTGATATCAACGCAATCCTATACAGATGTGAGTCTGAGGAAAGAGACGCCAGTGCAGGAACCGAGGGTGTTTATGATGTCCCCGGCTTTGGTCGTCTGGTGTATGCTGGAATACAAGGATGGATCTCCGTTTTGAGAGACATTATCAGACACAATGATCTTGCTCACCCATTATCGGATCACTTGCGCTCAGGAACCTGGGCATTGGATTACATCCCCCAAAGATTATCAAAATACGAAAGTTATGGTAAAGGAGTGTCAGAGTTCAAGCAGTGGCTAGAGTCTCGTTTCCAAGAGGTCAAGAAAGTCCCGTACTTTTTGGTTCCTCGATACTTTGCGCTGGTTGTGGGAATAGCATATGAAGCTTTGCGGTTCCAGGCTCTTAGCCAAATGAGTGTCAAAATTCAGAAGAGCACTCAGTTCGTCCAGAGTCTTTCTTTGGTGTCTGTTCAGATGAATGCTTATATGAGAAGTGCTTCTATCGACCCGTATAAGATTGTCCCTTCGATGGCAGCCGGTCTTCCTCACTTCAGTTACGATTACATGAGATGCTGGGGACGTGATATCTTTATATCGCTTCGTGGCCTATTGCTGGTAACTGAACGATATGAGGAAGCTAAAAATCATATCCTCTGCTTCGCAATGACTTTGAAACACGGATTAATTCCTAACTTGCTTGGATCAGGCAAAGAGCCAAGATACAATGCTAGAGATGCAGCATGGTGGTTTCTGGAATCGGTTCAGAACTATGTTCATATAGTCCCTGACGGAGAAAAGATTTTGGATTGCAAGGTGAAAAGACGGTTCCCACTGGATGATACACATGTTCCATTGGATGACCCACGCGCTTTCAGCTATGAGAGCACAATTAGAGAGATTATCTACGAAATCCTCAGTCGGCACGCTGGAGGACTTGATTTTAGAGAGGCTAACGCTGGCCCGCAAATCGATTCGCAAATGAAAGATGAAGGGTTCAATATCTCCATCAGTGTTGACTGGAACACTGGACTTATTCATGGAGGCAACCAGTTCAATTGCGGAACATGGATGGACAAGATGGGAGAAAGTAGCCTCGCAGGAAATAAGGGCTACCCTGGAACACCTAGAGATGGCGCGGCTGTTGAGATAAATGGGTTGTTAAAGAGCACTTTGCGGTTTGTGTTGGAGCTGCAAGCTAAAGGAATTTTCGACTACGATTCGGTGAAGACGCAAGACGGCAAGAGAGTGACGTTTGAACAGTGGAACGACTTGCTCCAGAACAACTTTGAGCGGTGTTTCTATATTCCTGAAGACAGCAGCAAGGATTCTGAGTTCGAAATCAATCCTAACATTGTCAATCGGCGTGGAATTTACAAGGATCTTTACAAGTCTGGCAAAGAGTACGAAGATTACCAGCTGAGAGGCAATTTCCCAATGGCTATTGCCGTCGCTCCAGAATTGTTCACGCCGTCGAGAGCTTTGAAGGCTATACAGATCGCAGACAAGGCCATCCGTGGCCCTATTGGGCTTGCTACATTGGATCCTGCCGATTACAACTACAGACCGTACTACTTGAACAGTGTGGACTCCATGGACTTTGCTACCGCTAAGGGCCGGAATTACCACCAGGGACCGGAATGGTGCTGGATCTTGGGATATTACATGCGCGCATTCCGGCAGGTTCATCTTGCAGATCATCCTGAGTGCTCGGATAAAGGCTCTGCGACCGAGTATCTGCACCAATTACTGTCCAGAAGACTTTCTGCGCACAAAAGGTGGTTGGACGACAGTGTCTGGGCGGGGCTGACGGAACTCACACAGAAGAACGGCGAGTTCTGTGGAGACTCGAGTCCAACTCAGGCATGGAGTGCGTCATGTTTACTTGATCTTTACTTTGACTGCTGGGAAGACGAAAAAAACTAGTTAAGATTCAACAAACTGGGAGCTTTACCTATTTCTCATCGTCAAGGGGGTAAACGGTTGGGTCCCATCCGGTGGTGAAGTACTCGTTTGGTTTCTCCAGGAGAGCCAGATCTTCCTCAGACAGCTTGATGTCGAAGACCTCGAGGTTAGGAACCAGTCTTGCCTTTGTTTCTGTCTTTGGAAGCACGACATAGCCCTTGGCTAGGGACCATGCGATCAAGATCTGACCGGCAGACTTACCGAGCTTGGAGGCAAGAGTTTGCAAGTCTGGGTCGTCGAATTTGCGGGCCTTTGCCAATGGCGAGTAAGCTTCAATCAAAATTCCTTGTTCATGGCAGTACTTGCACAACTCCGAGCGCATCAGCCATGGGTGGACCTCAATTTGGTTTACTGCCGGCTTGATCTTCAAATCCTTGTAGGCGAGCAGCTCGTTAAGGTGCTTGACACCGTAGTTGGACACACCGATGTTCTTGACCTTGCCCTCGGCAACGGCCTCTTGCAGAGCTTTCCAGGACCCGTGACGCTTCTCGTAGTCGGATTTCGGAGAGTGCATCAACACGAGGTCGATGTAGCCGATCTTTGCGGCTTTTTCCAAGGACTCCGCAACAGATTTCTTGGTGAGCTCGTAGCCGTGGTGGTCGTCGTAGACCTTGGTGGTGTAGAAGAGGTCCTCACGCTTGTTTGCTGGGTCCTCGGCAAGCCATTTGGCGATTCCTTCACAGACTTCCTTCTCGTTCTTGTACAGAGCGGCGGAGTCGACATGGCGATAGCCGGCCTTCAATGCCTCGTAAACAATGTTCTCTGCAACTTCTGGAGAAGTCTTGTAGACCCCCAAGCCAACCTTGGGGATGGTGTTGCCCGAATTTAGAGTGTACGAAATGGAGCCAGACATGAAGATAAACAATTGTCAGCAAGGTTTTTTTTTGGAGTGTCGGAGTTATCCAGAATAGGTAGTTACGTTGATAAATATTATAGCTTTGCGCAACCCGCTTGAAAAGGGTAATATTACCATAGATATGAATAGTTTTCGTCCAGATGAGGGGCTTCGTTAGGGTTGATTGTGTTGAGGGAGAGGAACGGATCGTGTTCCTGGAAGTCGGACAGGGCGTCAGGGAAGTCCAGATCCTGGCTATGGTCTGAGGTCTCGGGCACTGCCACCGGAACGGGCAAAACGTCGAGCTGTTCGGCTTCTCTTTTCACAGGCAAGTGAATGCGCCGGACCGTGGTGGTAGCCTCTTCGGGCTCCTGCACCCTGAGAAACTCCCAGAGCAAAATGGCCCTCACGTTGTTCTTCGGGACGTTGTCCAGCGAGATCCGTGGCTTTGTATCTGCCACCAGCTCGTTGTCGTTGTTGACATTGACTATGACCTGCTTCATGGTAATACCCTTGATTGCGCGCGCAAGCAGGTCTGTATGGATGTGGTTCGTGTCTGGCGACTTCATCAGCCGACGAATACTGGCAAAGAAGTCGGCCCAGTAGTTGGTGCCGAGCCGAATGTCTAGAGTGACCTCCTTGTGGTCGACCTGTCTCTTCACCGCCTTGCTCTCGAGTTTCTCCAAGGTGGTGACGATGATTCTCCCGTAGGAGTAGATGAGTGTGAGACAGGCGTACTTCCGGTCGGAAAGGGGCAGGTTGGCCAATTGCAGGCTCGAACTGACGTTGAAGTGGCCAGTTAAAAATTCCTGGCTCTCGTCAGGAGCAATTAGCTTCACCATTCCATGCAAAATTGGGACGGGGGGCAAGGATGAATGCATTTGGATAGGCTGTGGGGCCTGTGTGTCCTGTTTAATTTGATCCACAAGCTCGAACAATTGGGGGAATCGGTGGCTGAGGTCTGCGTTGGTTCTGATCCGCAATGGAGGCTGGGTAAAATCCTGTGGCAACGAGGTAAACATTTGAGACGCGGCCGGTTTGTCGAAGTCGACAAAGTTCATCACAAACTTCTTGAGAGTCAGGTCGATTTTGAACAGGTCGCCGAGACCGATTTCCCGAGGCTGAATATTGCTCACCGCTGGCACCGGTGCCAACGGGTATCTCACTGTTTGTATTTCTGCCGACGAGGTCTCCTTGGACGCAGCCGAGATCTTAGCCATGGATATCTGGCCAAATTCCTGGTCAAACAGCCGCTTTGTCTCCTGGTCGCAAGGAGGACCGTCCACAATCAGTTTTGTAAGTTCGGGACGTTTCTTCAAGTTCTTCACCACCTGGATGTGGGAAGACACCTGTTTACGCGACCGAACCTTGCCGGTCTTGGCAAGAATATAATCTGAGATCAGCTCGTTACGGCCGCAGGCCCTTCCGTTGATCTTGATCTTGTACAGTCCTTGTTTAGGGATGATGCGCAAAGCTTTCTCGAACGCTTCCTCAACGTCTTTTGGCCATTTCTCCTGCTCCTTGTTGCTCCGATGATTCAGTTTGTTGCGTTCCGTGTTTTCTGGCCCATCAAATGGCCGTTTTCGTGGCAAAGGCGACCCATCGGCCAAAGCACTTTCGTCGATGCTGAGATCAGAAGTGTTGAAGCTGTCTTCCGAAAACTCGTCAAAAGACTCTTCCATCTTCACTTGGGCGAGCCGGTCCCCCACCGAGTGCGAAGGCTCACGGGCCTGCGTACTCGGAGGAGTGGGGATGGCACTCTTCCGAGGTGGCAATGGAGTCTTAAACATGGCTTGGAAACTTTTACAAAATCATTTGTTTTTCCTTGTAAACAAACCAACCGTGTTTCGCACGGCGGTGCGGCGGCAGTGCGCGCAAAGAAAAATAAAAAATAACAAGCGCAACCCTTCCACCGCGTTGGAAGGAGTGCTCTCTCGCTTCCAAAAAGCTTTTTTTAGGTCTACTCCTCACACCGCACACAATTATTATTACAGGATACTTAGTACTCGTCGTCAGAGGAGTCCAGGTAGTTGGCGTAGTCGTCGGCCGACGCAAATGTTGGCAGAGACTTGAGCTTCTTTGACTTGCCGGCGTTCTGCTTCGACCGTTTCTTTGTGTCTGGTTGCTCCTCTGTCTCCTCTTGCTGCTCTGGCTCTTCGTCAGACTCGAGCTCCGATCCGGAACCAAGAAGTTCGCCAACATCCGAGTCGGACGAGTCGCTGAACTGCGCTGGCTCGGCATCTTCCTCCTCTTCCTCCTCCTCCACTTCTTCTTCCTCTTCTTCTTCGCCAGATCCCAAGTCTTCCACTGTCTTGAGCGTAACCAGTCCTTCCTCGTCCTCGTCGTCTTCGTCGGCTTCTTCCTCGTCCAGCTCCTCTAGATCCTCATCACTGATCTCGCTCATGTCAAAGTCTGACAGATCATCATCGCTAGGACCTTCCACCTCGGGATTGCTCTTCACCAGAGCATTCCAGACAGTGTCCTCATCGATATCGGATTCCTCCTCGTCATCGTGCAACTTGCTATTGAGCTCTTTATCCATTTTGGAAGCAAGGGCTTTTTCCTGCTTGGTGCTGAAATACTCGTAGAAGAACCGATCCTCCGGCTGGATCTCGGCGGCCTTCTTGTTGATCCAGTCCTCTGTGTTGGTAGGAAGCTCTCCATAAGCCTGTGTCTTGACCAACATGGAGCCGGTGTGAGCACCGGCTAATGGTTGCATGATAGACTGTCCACGAACAACGGGCTTCATCTTGGCCTTCTTGTATACGAATCTATCCAGGAAATGAGCCAGGGTGAACAGACCAAGATTAGGCTTCTGCAAGTCCTTGGTCTGGTTGTTGAAGAATGCCTCGGTGTAGTGTGTCACTGTAGGATGGTAATGCTGGCTGAAAATGTTCAGCTCCCATAACGACGAGAACTGCGCATTGGAGAACTGCGGGTCTCTCTTACGAGAGTCGTACTCCGGCTTCTGTTCGCCGTCCTCAACTGGTGCATTGAAGATCAGGTTGCGGATCTCAGGAACGTCCTTTTCCAGCTCAATCAACAAGAACATCATTCCCGTAACCGACCCAATATTGATCCAGTTCAAACAGTTCTGACAGATACGTTTCACAAACGCCATCACACGATCCTTGTTGGTGTCCTCCTTAAGAGACTGGAACAATAAGTTCAAGTAAATTCCCTGTTTGGAAGAAGTGACAACTCTCTCGTCCAGTAAACTCTCGTAAAGTGTTCTGTAGTATCTGTCTCTGTTGATGTCTTCCTTCTGGACAATCCGATGGATCAGCATCAGAGCTTGAATACTGGTGTTGAAGTTGGTGCTGTGTGTGATCTGGAAAAGCGTATCCAAATGGGCCTTGAACACAGATGCTGGCAAGTTGGAAAACGGAAATGCTCTGTTGAGACCAGTCAAAATGGCAGCAAACATCTTACTGTTGCGCTCTTCCAAGGCCTCCTCCTCGGTTTTGTCCATCTTGACCGACTTTCCACCCTTCTTACCGCGCTTGAAATTTCTCTTACGTCTACCATCCTTTTGATGCTCCGCTTCCTTCATCTTCGTGGTGTTAGTGCTGTCAGTCTCGACCAACAGCTTCTCAAACAATTTGAAATAAGCGTCCATCAGCTTGTTGGCAAGCTTGTCTTCCTTTCTGGTGAGGATGGTCTGGTTCAATGTCAGCGTGGAGTAGTAGATGGCATGGTGGTCGTTGTTCTTTCTGAACAAAACGTCAAAGATACTGTCAACCACAATCTCCTTCATTGCAGGGTGTTCCTGTTGCAAGAGCAAAACATGGTAAGAGGTCTTGGAAGCGACCTTGTTGTCCTGATCACCAAGCTTGTTCACACCAATACGCAGCAAGTTGGCCTCCTGTTCTGGCTTGGCCTTGAGCAAAGAAAACACATAGCCAATCACCTTGGTACGAACGTGCACAATGCTGTCTTGGAGAAGTTTCTCCAAAGTTCCAATGAATTGGAAGTACTTCTTTTTCAAGTAGTCTTCAAAGTAGAACACGATCAGCTCTTTTGGACTGGAATTTCTGGTCAATGGTTGTTTGTTGAAATAAAGCAGCTTTCTGTCGGCAGGAAGAACACCGTTCACAAACAAATCGGCCAATGCCTCAATACACTGAAGAGCAGCAGTACGAGATTTCTTGTCGCACATGGCGAACATGGTCTCCAAAGCTTTGTGGTTGTGCAAGGGGGATTCTTGGATCAAAAGAGTGAGCGCAGAGATCTTATCGTTCAAAGTACCGCCAGTCAACACTTGCGAAAGGAATCGTTTTTGCGAGGACGATTTGTTGAACTCCTGCATGTACGTTTCCTGCTCCTGTCCAAATAGCCGTTTGGCGTCGGTGTAGAGTTTCTCGATCTCAGCAGGGTTAAGTGCGTCTCCTCTGTTGTTGGGAAGAGTCTCGTTAAACCAGTCGTTCCGGGGAGTGACCACAAGCTTGTCGGAGACAACTGTCTGTAGACTCTGGAGCTTGGACGACTTGGGTTTCTGCTGGGGTTCTTCCATCTCCTGTGCTTCCTCCTCTTCTTTTTCTTCCTCGTTCTCGGCTTCCTCCTCTTCCTCTTCTTCTTCCACCTGTTCCTCATCCTCCTCTTCCTCTAATTCTTCTTCTTCCACCTCCTCCTCAGCCTCAGCCTCAGCTTCGTCAAACTCGAGCCCCTTCATGTACTTTGACAGCTCCTTCTTCAGCTTGTCGTCGGCTGGAGCACCGTCAAACTCCTGCTCGCTATCCTCATCATTAATACCTTCAAGGAGCTTGAGATCTTCGTCGGTAGCACCCAATGCAAGTGCTTCCCGTCTAAGTACATCCTCCTGCTTCTCGGTGTTTTGGTTTTCTTTCTTGGTGAACTCTTTTTGAGAATACTCTTTCTTGGGGTATTCTTTCTTAGGATAAGCTTTCTTAGGGTACTCTTTCTTGGTGAACTCTTTCTTAGGGTACTCTCTTTTGGTAAATTCTTTCTTAGGGTACTCCTTTTTGTTCGGCACCTCCTTCTTATTATTTCCGCCTTTCTTCTTGTCTGGCTTTGCCTTATTATCTTTGGCGCCTCGCGCAAGCGATTTGGTCACCTTGTCCTTGATGGACCCCAAATTCAACTTCGGAAGCTCCATACTGTACTGATCTAAAAATTTTTGAAATAATTTTTTTTTTCACGTCTATCGCCGCGTCGAAAAGATAACCGTGCAAGTGGCTCTTTCCTACCCGCCAGAAAGCATAGCAGCAGGGCTGAAAAACAGAATATCTAGATGCTGCAGCCGTTTCTATAAATTGCATACCAGCCACAACTTCCTCGAACACATGGCTCCTTTTTCTTTGGACCCTGTCCAACAGACCGTCCCGTTCGGAGAATACATCTTCCGCAGAATCGAGCTTCTTGGAGTCAAGTCTGTATTTGGCGTTCCCGGAGACTTCAACCTTGGGCTTTTGGAACACATTTATTCCACCAACGTCCAGTGGTACGGTGGATGCAACGAGTTGAACGCCGGCTATGCTGCTGATGGCTACGCTCGAGCATCTCACAAGTTCGGCGTTCTGGTTACCACGTTTGGCGTTGGCTCGCTATCGGCCATGAACGCGTGCTGCGGTGCATGGTCTGAATTTGTTCCCCTGTTGCACATTGTCGGTGCCACATCAACAGCGCAACAACTGTCTGGCCAATTGATCCACCACGTTGCTCCCAAATCGACCTTGTCGAGACCAGTCAACCACTCCATCTACGCAGAGATGGTCGAACCAATTGCTTGTAAAGTCGAATCCATCATGAGTCTCGACAAAGCTCCTGAGAAGTTCGACTACCTGCTCAAAGAAATCATCGATACCAAAAAACCAGGCTACTTATTTCTGCCTTGCGACCTGGTGGATAAACCTGTTGATGCCTCGAGACTGGAAACTGTGGACTTGTTCAAACCAATAGAACCAGTTCCAAACGGTCTAGCGTACCAGATTGCTTCGCTTGTATTGTCCAAGCTGTACTCTTCCGCCCGTCCAGTCGTTCTTGGCGATATCCTAACCGACAGATTCGGTCTCACAGAAACCCTGAGAAACTTTGTCCAAGCTACCAAAATACCAAATCTGTCCACTTTTATGGGCAAATCCATTTTAGACGAAACCTTGCCGTGGTACGTTGGTGAATATAATGGGAATGTCTCCAATCCAGACTCTCAAAAGTTCGTCCAAAGTTGCGACCTAATGCTCCATGTTGGAAATTACCCAAATGAAATTAATTCCGGCCATTACACTTTCTACCAGAACATCAATGACGTGATATATATGAACCACGAAGGAGTCACTATAGGCGGTCGTCGAGTTAATGTCAGTTTCGTTTATGTTCTTCCTTTGGTCCTGAAAATGTTGAATGTGTTCAAGTTGAAACCGTTCCGGATTCCGTCATTGAATAGAGAGATCAAGCAAGTGCAGTCAAACACGCCAATTTCACAGACCCAACTGATCTCCTCGCTGCAAAAGATGGTCAAGGAAGATGACACTTTGGTGGTTGACACAGGAACAGTGATGTTTGGATTACCCGATCTCCAATTACCCAAGAATACCAGACTGATCGGGCAGCATTTCTATCTGTCTATTGGAATGGCTTTGCCATGTTCGTTTGGAGTTGCAGTTGCACAGCGTGAAAATGGATCTAATTCAAGACTGATCTTATTAGAAGGGGACGGAGCCGCTCAGATGACAATCCAGGAGTTATCTGCCTTCATTAAGTACGGTTTCTCGCCCTTGATTCTTGTCCTGAACAACAGTGGCTATACAGTGGAAAGAGCTATTAAAGGTCCAATGAGAGAATACAATGACGCTATGCCTAATTGGAAGTGGACCCGGATTCTTGAAGTGTTTGGATCGAATGATAGCGAGTCTGTTAAAGTGAGAGAGGTGGCAGATTTGGAAAGCGAGATAAAGAGCTTTGGCTTGAAAATAAAGCTTATCGAAATCGAACTTGACAAAATGGACACTCCATGGAGATTTGATTCCATGTGTAACTAATTCATATGATAGTCAATAAAGTCGTTCACACTTAGTTTGATGAAGTCGTTCAGATGAGGTAGTAAGTAAATGTTGAACATTTTATTGTTCAAAACCAGACTCAAAAACCGCTTGAACTCGATTATCACCTCGTCAGACCGTGCGTCTGTTTCTTTGTAGTAGATCGATGCAATTATCAAAAGTTTCTCAAAGGACTTTGGACCATCTGCTTGAATATAAAGAGCAGTCAGCAGTCTCTCAAAACATTCTGGTCCTCTGGATTTTAAAAATTGGTTGATAGTTCTGAACAGCTGATAAACCTTTCGTTTGGCTAAACCAGAATCTGTCCCTCTTTCAATTAAAGAGGAGACAGTTTCAGCAAGAGCACGCAGGTCAAGTTCAAAACAACATCCATTGAGCCAGTAATACGTGGGTGGTAAAGTCGGTGTGAACTTTTGATAAGTTGGGAACAAATTGGAGTTTCCTTTGACTATAGCTTCGTAATGCTCGAAAAGCGGTACCTTGGCTGGAGGAGCAAAATCTGGCTTATATGGGTAATCAACAGCAAGAGGCAGTACAATGTGGTTGTCTCTAATGAAGAGGAGAAGTTCGGGTTCCAACGTGTAGTCTTCAAACTCGGTTTCGTCTAGCTTGAGGATTGCGAACTGACGGTAACTTTTTAGCTGTGCGGAGTGTAGATGAAGTCTGAAAGCTTGGAAGACCACATTCTCAAGTTCATAAACGTATCTTGTTAGTGTCTGGTAGATTGTAAGGTCTCCATGATGCTCGGAGATTAGGTTGTCAACAGAATTATTGAAGACTGCATGGAATCGAGGAATCTCTGAGCTTGGAGGAACTGATGGAGTGAAATTGAAACCTAACGAGAAATAGTTGGTTTCCGTTGGTGGAGCAAAGAATTCGGCAGACTTTTCAGGATCGACTTTTGGGAATGCAGGATTCCAAGAGTCGTCAAGATTGAGCTTCTCGATTGGAAGTTTCGGGGTTGAAGACTGCTGGCTGCTACTTCTTCTGAAGAGCTGTTTGATCTTTGAGTCTGACGACGATCTTTTGCTGTTTTTTTTCTCCAGTGGGATTATTTCATCGTTGCAGTACAGCTGGTTGGAGTCTATATCGAGAAACAAGTCCCAAGAGAGTTTCTCTTTGAACAGCAAATTCGAAGTTCCAACAATGTAGTGGGGCAAAGTGTAAACCAGATCGATCGTGGATAAGTCTAGTAAAGGATAGCATGGATACTTGCCGTCCACAATTAGGAGAAGAGCATGAAGAATGTCGACAAGTTCGTTGTAGCACGAGTCGTACGAGTAGAGAATGATCTTCTTTTTGAGAATGACGGCGTTCAAAAGAACATGCAAGGGTCTGACGTTGTGGTACGGAACCAAAGAAGAAAGGTGGTGGTCAGCTAGTTTCAAGTCCCCTGTCTTGATTAAAAATTGGCGCAACAGCTGCTCCCTTTTCAAGTCAATTCCGTACATGGCAAATTCAGATGAAACGAGTGAGTATGCTGGGATCTGGATCGGGAACTTTGTTTTGCCCAATTCAATATGGGTCTTGACCAGATGACCTGATTTCGAAAACTGGTCGAGCGATTTGGGCAACGGCACGTTGAACTCCTCGAACCTGCTAAACAGGAACCGTGCGTGGCTACCTGTATGGTATGCCTCGAGCAGCTCCGCAAATTTGAGCTTGTTGAGTTCTTTATACACCTGCTTAAGGATCGAGGCATTGTTTGCCCCGGTGAGTAGGTTGTGCAACAGATATGTCATCAGAGGCTTGAAAACGTCGAAAATAGGAAGTCTTGTCAAGATCGACAAAGCCATAGCTGTACCGTTTCTGTAGGTGTCATCTTTTTGGAAGTAGCTCAGTGTATATAGATACACTCTCTGAGAATTTGGATCTGAAGAGTCCCAGTGGAGTTTCCCCGTGGAAACGTCGATAAAAAGAGGAACCCAGGTGTAATGGTTTGTGTTGAGATACTTGTGTAAATTCAGGGGCATCAGAAGATCCACCACATTGTCCAGCTCGTCTATGGCGGGCTCTTGCGGGACCTGGTTTCGGATCTCGAGCCCTTTCGACTTGTCGAACTCCGAAACAAAGATACAGTCAAGCGTTGGGACCATTCACAGGATAAGATAATACGCACGTAATTTGTACCTTTTGGGTAACTGAGATTTGGACAGTTGACGCGAACAAGGGTTACCCGGACTTGGAACTCTGCTCTATTTTTCCGTCTCCTTTCGCCATCCAAAAAAAACCAGCACTTTTCTTCGCCCAGCAGAACAAGACCAAGAACTCATGTCGTCGTTAGAACAATCATTGGATGCGATCATCGCCTCCAACAAGAAGCCTGCTCCAAAGAAGAAGGCCGTCAAGCCGGTGAAAAAGGCCGTCAAGCCTACCAGAGTCGGCAAAGCTGCTGCTGGTAAGACTGCCAAAAAGCCTATTGTGATAGCAAAGCCTGCGCCATCTCCGGCCAGTGCTGTTGACTACGCGTCAAAAGTTGTTGTCTACGGATTGCCTAAGGACATCAAGAACGATGCTGTCAAGGTATGTTGAGACTCGGGGAAAAGACACGACCATGAAGGTGATGACATGGAAATTAAGCTGTAAACGGACCAAATGGATCTGGGCTACCGAGCCCCGGGGATCCGATATGTGCAAGTTACAAGTTGTGGATCGCGGATACACTATTACACGTGTTTGTGGGTTCTTATTATTGTTCTGGATTGTTCTGATTGTTCTAACGACGACCCCGATCGCTTTCTGAAAAATTTGCACAGCCTTGTCCCATGCTTAACTTCTCTCATCGATATTACTTCCGCCATGCTTTCCCTCAACGAGTGTGGTTTACTAACGTTTTTTTAGGAATTTTTCCAGTCGCAGGTCGGTGGTGTTAAAACTGTTTCGCTTTCGTACAACGAGAAGGGTCAATCCAAGGGTATTGCCACTGTGATTTTCCAAAAGTCCAAGCAAGCCCAAAAGGCTGTTGAATCCTACAACGGAGCTCCTATTGACGGAGGAAAGACCACCTTGAGACTCGAATTGATCGTCAACCCGGCCCTCAAGCCACTGGCGTCCAGAATCGTGCCTAACCGTGTCTCTGTTCCAACCAAGAAGGCGTCTCCAGCTAAGGCCACAGTCAAGGGAGCCAAGGCCAAGCCTGCGAAGGCCGCAAAGCCTGCTCCAAAAAAGACCAAGCCGGCCAAAAAGGCAGCTCCAAAGAAGAAGAAGACTATCGAGGAGCTTGACCAGGAGATGGCCGACTATTTCTCTACCAACGATAAACAGTAGTGTATTTTTGTATACTATATTCAAGAAAATTGTATTTTATTACTTTAATCCCGGCTTCTGCCCCAAAATGCAAGCTTGTCGCCCTGTTTCCGGCTCATGTAACTGCTTCCAGCTCCTTCAAACTCGCTCTTACGTTTGTACAGTTCCTGGTCGCTGCTCTGTTCGGGGAATCCGGGCTTCACGTCTGCAATCTGTTTCTTTTGCTTCGAGTCGAACGAAGATGTCTCCTTGATGTACTGCTGTTTCCGACGAATCGTCACTTTCGACTTCACAAACACGGCAGTGCCGACCGCAAGAGTCGCAAGAAACAAAGTCTGCTTCCAAAACTGTTTCAAAGACGGAAGAGTTGGTGCAGAGGACATGATTTAGGAAAATAAATTTGTCAGTCTCCGTATTTGGAAATTTTATCATTACCCGATCGTGATTAGCCTATCTTTAATAACTTAATCAACTTGGTGATTCACTTTATTTGCCCATGTCTAAGGAAGTCGATTCTCTTGCCCATGGGATTGCCGGTGGGCTTGGAGGGCTCATCTCCATGACTCTCACGTACCCATTGGTCACGTTATCTACAAAAGCCCAGGCTTCTACTAAAAAAGCCAAAGACCCAACAATCTCGAAAGAAGCGCTCAAAAACCTGTACAACGGTCTGGAAAGTGCATTGGTGGGCATAACTGCAACAAACTTCGTCTACTACTACTTCTACGAGCTCACCGGATCGAAACTGAGGAGAGATAGGTCCGTGTCGCTTAAGAAAGGCCTCACTGCCACACAAAGTATCGTGGCTGGCCTTGTGGCTGGTGTCATCTCGAGAGTAGCTACAAACCCAATTTGGATAGCAAACACAAGACTTACGGTGCTCAAGAGGTCCGCAAGGAAGTCTGCCCCATCTAACACAATCCAGGTGATTTTGACGATTTTGAAAAAAGAAGGCTGGCGCAGTCTATTTAGCGGTCTTGTTCCTGCTCTGTTCTTGGTCTTGAACCCAATCATCCAGTACACCATTTTTGAGCAGCTAAAAACTTTGATTGTCACCAGACGCAAACGGAAACTCAGTCCTTTTGACGCGCTGCTATTGGGTGCGTTTGGTAAACTGATTGCAACCATCGTCACGTATCCTTATATCACCGTCAGATCCAGAATGCATCTCCAAAACATCAAGGATTCTCAGTCCCAGCCGGTTACTGCCAACTCGGAGGCTTCAAGCAACCCGGCCGATAGTGTCCAGTCGCTGCCGGACGACATCGAGTCGTCGTCGCAGCTCCCTGATATTGAAAAGCCAGAAACCCCAAAAAAGCAAGGAATGGTCTCTTTGATGTACGACATTGCGAAAAACGAGGGAATTGCAACGTTCTACAACGGACTCAGTTTGAAGCTACTCCAGAGCATTTTAAGCGCAGCGTTCCTTTTCTATTTTAAAGAGGAGATTGTCCTAAAGACGGACTATGTCATCCAAAAGACCAAGCGTGCGAAGCGTGGACTTTCAACAACAGAGAATGCTATCTAGTTAATTCCACATCCTTTTCAAATGCTCGTAAGAGTAGAACATGGCTGCACTGGCGGGAATCGTCTTGACAAGCGTGATTCCCAGTCCAGAATAAAAGCCACGCAATCCTCGCGCAGAGTGCACGGCCTTGATCGCGCTCGAGACCGATTTGTGGTGTTCGCTGGTTTGCAAGACGTTCTTGACCGTGTCGGCAGGAAACAACGAGGCGTTGTACCCAACTCCAGCCATGGCTCCAGCTATCAGCAACTCGTGCGTTTTGTAGTTGTAGTCGGGGCCCTTGTCGCCACGGAAACACTCGAGTGTGTACTCGTAGCACCCGAACCACGCAGCGGTCCCGCCGGCCTCGCGCACCAGCGTGGACGACTGCCCTTTCCAGAACCCTCGCAACCCGTACTGCGTGCGGATCTGGGAGATCACGTGACCCAGGGGTGTGCGGGCTGTTTTCTGAGATTTGAGGTTATCCACCTGTAGTTGGCACTTTACAAGCTCCACAGGGGTCAAGATGAAGCTGGTGACCATTCCACTGGCACAGCCGCAAGCAAGTCGGTACCCAAAGGGCAGTTCTGTGTTGATTTTGTTGCCCTGATACAGATTAATCAGATCTTGTGCCATCTTGTAACTGAAAAAAAGTGAACTAACTTCCATGGAGGCTCCCATCATTGGCGACAAAAGACCTTTCCAAAAGCCCTTGAAGACGCCTTCGTTATGGTACGTTTTAGCAATACAGTCCCAGGTGGAGGTGAACAACGGTTCAGGCAGAGTCTGAGAGTACTGGAGTCTGACCTTGACGGTATCGAATGGGTATTCGATAACCTTACCAATGGCCCCCGATACCGAGCCCACGACGATCTCGCGCAGCGAGTCGTTGAGCATGGACTCCTCAGTCATTATTCGATCTTAATAATTCCCCGTGTTAAACTTTAGCAAGAGCAGGGGATCACGTGATGTCTGCAAATTTTTTTGTACCCTATATCAAAATTTTTCATCACGAATTTAATTCTTCACAGAACTAATCAAAGGATAGTCTGCTGAACCAGCTTAAACGTGATTATTCTACAGTTCCCGAGAAATGAAGTACTTAGCTGCATACCTTTTGTTGCAACAGGGTGGTAACGCCTCTCCTTCTGCTGCCGATGTCACTGCTCTCCTTGAGTCTGTTGGTGTTGAAATTGAACAAGCCAAGCTCGACTTGTTGATCTCCTCTGTTGACGGTAAGTCCGTTGACGAGTTGGTTGCTGAGGGTGCTTCCAAGCTTGCTTCTATGCCAGCTGGTGGTGCTGCTCCTGCTGCTGCTGCCGGTGCTTCTTCTGGTGCTGCTGCTGAGGAGGCCGCTGCCGAAGAGGAGGAGGCCGCTGAGGAGGAAGAAGACGACGACATGGGTTTCGGTTTGTTCGACTAAATGTATAAATCAAGCGATGTCATTAATTCTATCATATTCACTGCGTAGACAAGGCGACGTTCTATTTGAGGTCCACCTTGAGTTTTTCCTGTATTTTTTCCGCAAACTGGCCGTCTTGCAGCTTCTCTTTCACCATGGCCAGCAGGATCCTGGTCTGCGACACCTGGTTCACCAGCTGGTCGTTTGTGTTGAGCACCAGGTTCTTCTGGAGCGTCGAGTCCGGGTCCTGTGTTGGTTCCGTCAGTTCCTCGAGCTTCTTTCTGGTTTCCCGGTAGTATTTCGTCTTGCCTTGCAGTTCAAGCAGTCTGGCTCGGTTCGACGACAGCTGCGCCTTGACCAGTTGATATTTCTCGAGCAACTCCGGATCTTTGGCCGTCAGCCGCGTCGATTCCGGAAGCTCGTCGATCATGCCCATAACCTCTTCCTGCTTCAGGTCCACCACCCCGTTGATGTTTATGTTGCTTGCTCCGCGCTCGTCATTGTAGTTACCGTTCAGGTCCACCAATCCCTCTGGTTTGAAGTTGATCAAGATCTCGTTCAATTCCAGCAGTTTGCGTTTTTTCTCCAGGTCCAGTGCGTGTTCGTTGTTCAAGACCTGTTGGATGATTTGCAGAATCGCTTGTCTGTGGAAGAACTGGCCGTATCTTTTGCTTAAATACTTGTTTGTGGAATTGAGCACGCGGATAATGTTGGTCTCTGTCACGTCGTCCTCCTCCACGCTTTTCACAAACTCGCGCACCTCTTTATCGAAGGCCAGCGGCTTGCTCACGAGCTTGGTCTCGTGGTCTAAAACCTTTTTGAGCTGTTCGTACGTCGCCATACGCGTAATAATTTACTTTTTATTTATCAGTGATTTCACGATAAATAGTTTGTAAAGGAAGGTGCAAAAGATAGGCCACTATATGGACTCTCCCAACACAGCTATACTATGCGTAATACAAGTTTAATAGTTAGCCAAACATTCTGAACAGTTGAAGTCCGCCTTCTACAACGTCTCTGCTGACTGCTCCCAAATTTAAAATACCCAAGATTTAAATATTTCACGAAGTATATCAATTAATTGCAATCCGATCGGAATCAAACGTCCAATCAGAGATTTCGCCCATCGACTCATCGGACGCTTGCAGACCCAGAAGACGCCAAATCCAAGTCAACCAGCTCTCAGCAGCTTGCTCTTTCACCAAAAATTCCGTACTGGACTGATAGTCGCATTCGGTTGCAAAACTTGCCATTGCGCGAACATGGCGTGCCTCCATCACATGCTCACCCAGCGGCAAGACACGATCAACGGTATTCATGGTGGAAATAGAGACAATACTAGATTTACGGAAAATCATAAACAAATTCGCAACGGGAACAGTCTATTATGCCTAATTATATGTGACACATCACTTAGTGCTTCTTCATGGGAGCAATGACACTGCCGTGTTTAGCAATCACCTTTGGCATGGTGAGCCGCTGGTGAGTATCGCGGCTGGTCCACTCTTGCCCAATCGGTTGTCTCAGAGACCGCTCGTACTGCTCCATGGTTTCAAACGGATATGGAACAGCTCCGGCCTGGTATTTAGCATTCTTCTTGTTGACACGCTCATTGATGATCACCCCACGCTTGTTCTTGTCCTTTCTCTTTTCTATTGGAGCCACACCATTCACCTTCTTGATAATCTTCTTCTTTTTCTTCTGGCTACCACCGGCCCAGTCGCCCCAACCAGGAAGACCAACATCAATCTCTTTGTCCCCTTCGAGCTCCTCGACTTCGTGCTTCTCTTGCTCAAACTCGGCCACCACATCGTCACCGGCAAACGCCTGTTCGATCAGGTCTTTCTGTTTGAACACATGGACATCTTCCTCCTTGTCACCCTCTCCTTCGTACTCGTCGTCCAGTGTATCTCCCAGAGAAATCTTGACTTCCTCAACTTCTTCTGCGCGAGCTCTCTTCTTCAACTTAGCGGCGTTCTTATCTATTTTGGACGATTTTTCGTCAATAACGCGAACCTTCCCTCCCTTGCGTGTATCATCGCTAACCAACCAAGGGTTCTCCTCGGCCTGGGTCTTGGTCTTTTGCTTTTTGGGTTTTTGCATCCGGTTCTCAAGACTCTTTTCGTTATCGTCGTTGGCCTCTTGCTCGGCCCGTCTCTTCACGGTCTGCCACTCCTCAGCAGCAGCAGCGGCTCCTGGAGTGTACACTCTTCTTCCGGCGTTCTTGACCACATTGGCAACCTGCTCATCGTCACTTTCGACACCGTAGCGCAACTCGTCAGCAAGCCGTTGGTTTTCTCTGCGCTCCTGCTCCTCTGCTCTTTTCATAAAGTCCATGGCCATTAAACCTTTACCAAGCTTCGACCGCAGCTTCTCTTCGGCTTCAGATGGTTCTGCCTCCTCCACATCGATGTCGGAAACACCACGGTCGTCAGAATCGTCTTCCTGGTCGCGTCCAAGCTGTTTCTGACGCAACTTCTCGCCCTGACGGAGCATCTCCTCTATCTCGTCTCTAGTCTCTTTATCCTTGGAAAGTCCGCTCTTGATCATTGTCTTGGCCCACTCGGAGTTGTTCTTGTGCTTGAGACTCATTCTTTCTGCGGCCCGCTTGTAGTCTAAGTCTTCCTCGTCCTCGTCGGACCCCTCAACAAGGTCCTTGTTGCGCTGTCTCTCCTTCCTGAGCTTCTGTCTGTAAGTCTTGGACTTGATCTTCTTAAGTCTCTTGGCGTCCTTCTGTCCTCTGTACATCAGTTCTCTCATCAAACGGAGCTCATTGGTTCTTTTAGCGAGCTCCTCTTTAGTCATTTTGGCGGTCTCAATCTCTTCGAACAGATCCTCAGACTTCTTGCTCTCAATATTCGAATGTTCAAGTAATCCATCGAGTTTCGAATCCAAGTCGGTCAATGGAACATCGGCAGGCTGGAAAGACGACGGATCATTATGCTTCACACTGTCCTTAGCAGGGAACTTGAGCACCTCAGCACGCCGGTTGGCTTGAATACTGTCTGTCCATTTCTCAACCTCCTCCTTTTGAATATCGTAGGCAGCCCGTCTCTCGTGTTTCTTTTGGATGCTTTGCGGGAGCGGAACAGCAAGCGGTTGCGAGGTTCCCTTTTCAAGTAGCAGCGGCTGCTCGGTCTCGATATCGCCCATCATCTCGGCAATACTCAATTTCTGTCCAGAAGTCGGCACTCTATAAGAATTCTCTTCACTCTTGTCGTTGATTAAAACTTTGTGCGACTTAGCAGCGTCTTTACTGCGCAGCTGGCTCATCACTGTGGAAAGCTCGTCATTTTCGTCATCAACCTCATCAAAAACATCTTCGCTGTCCTCTTCATCCTCAGACTCACTTTCACTCTCGTCAGAAACAATATCATCGTCAAGAACAAGCTCGGATCCTCCGTTCTTTTGCGCATCGGCGTCGTCTCTGGCCCAAACCTCAGACAAAGGAATCAGCTCGCTTTCGTCTATACTGTCGTAACCGGTATCTTCTTCGCCCTTGTCCCGCACAGTTTGAGAGAACTTGGAGTTCAGAACGTCATAGTCGTCGTCGGAATCCAGCGCCTCGTCAGAGTCCAGTTCCTCGTCCTCGAACTCTTTCCCATCCACAGTCAAAACACCGGACTTAAACTTCTGATTTTCCGCTTCTGATCCACTGTCATCACCATCAATTCCGTTGGTCTCCTGCTCTGCAATCTGCAGAGCATCCAAAGCTCTGTTCTGAGATCTGCGACCTCTTCTAGCCATAATTGCAAATCTGAATATTTTTCAAATATTTTTTTTTCCAGGCCGTGCAAAATCCCGTGGCAGAATATATTTTCTGTTGATTATCTAATATCGCACCATCTCCCACAATATTAGGTAAGCAGACAGAGGATGCCCCATGTATAGTCGGCGCCTGTATGCATTCGCGGCCAATTTGAAGCATGTACATGAAGCCACACCTTGGCTACTTTGTAACAGAATCTTATAAATAGCCATTGAGACCCCAAACACATTTGACACATTTGGGAATTTAAGTATATTTTCTACTTTAAATTCCGTACCATCAATTGTTCTTGCAGTTGACTCACTAACCTTGATCCTTCAGGTTTGATATATAGCCCAGCAAAAGTTTTAGATTACCGACCCAAAAGATGACTGGTTTGAACACTAAGCTTATCCATGGCGACGACGACACGTTCAACAGGGTGCCAGACATTATCCAGCCAATCAATGTTGCCTCTACATTCGAGTACAATTCAGATCCAGACAAGCTGGTGAAGGCTAAGGATCAAAAAATTTCTGAGGCCAGCGAGGTCCATCCCTTCTACTCGCGTATTTCTCACCCAAACTCACTCAAAGCTGAAGCTGTCCTGAGCACTGTTTTAGACGGACATGTCGTGGTTTACAATTCGGGCTTATCTGCCTTTTTTGGTGCATTGACCCACTTTAATCCAAAGGTTTTGGCTATTGGAAACGGATACCATGGATCTCACGGGGTGGCCAACCTGTTCACCAGACTCAATGGTCTAAAGCAAGTTTCGTTGGAGGAGTACGACAAGCTTGGTCCTGGAGACATTATTCATGTGGAGACCCCTGAAAACCCATACGGTACTGCCCACGATCTTAGTTTCTATGTTGCCGAGGCCCACAAGAGGGGTGCCATTGTCATTGCTGACGCCACTTTTGCTCCACCTCCTCTACAGAATCCGTTTGAGTTTGGCGTGGATCTGGTTCTACACTCCGGAACCAAGTATTTCGGTGGTCATTCCGATTTGCTTGCGGGTGTTCTCGTTACCAAAGATATCAAAGTCAAACACGCATTGATTGGCGACAGATCCTACTTGGGAACCAATATCTCAAACCTGGACAGCTACTTGTTGCTGAGATCTCTCAGAACTTTCGAGATCCGGGTCTTGAAGCAGAGCAGCAACGCTGAAAAGATTGTGCAATACTTATCTGCTAACAAGGACAAATATCCTGTCCTCAAAAACATCTTCCACTCGTCTTTGCAAAAGGAGGCTTTTGTCTCCAAACAGCTGAAGCATCACGGTCCAGTGTTTGCCATTGAGTTGACCTCTTCAGACTCTGCCAAGAGACTTCCTTCCAAGCTGAAATATTTCCATCACGCTACTTCCCTTGGAGGTGTTGAGTCGATCATCGAGTGGCGTGCAATGTCTGACCCTGGAATAAGCGAGACTATCTTGCGTATCAGTGTTGGAATTGAGGACGTGGAGGATCTCATTGCCGACTTGGACCACGGTCTATCTAGCTTCAACTAAGGGTTTACACGATTACATAATCAATACTAAATAATTAGTTTTCCCCTAAAAAGTAAACATATTGACAATGTCCGAAGAGACGACTCCAGAGCCACAGGCGACGTCGACCGCTAACGCGACGCCTGTGAAGAGCTCTCAGAGCAGAAAGGCAGCGAAACAGACGGCCGAGAAGCTGCTCCTATCGTTTGCTGAAAAGAAAACCGAGTCGGAGTACGAAGAAGAGCCAGGCAATGATCGCGTTATACTGGACGAGGTTCCTGTGAAAAAAGAGACGCGGGGCCGCAAGCCGAAGAATTGGGTTCCACCTGAAGGGTACACGCCGAAAAAGAGCAAGCCCACACCGAAAAAGCGGAGTGTCATAAACGACGAATTTTACCACCGGCTCGAAGACGAGTATTTCCAGGAAATCACGCCGCTGGTCTCCAATCCGTGGCGTCAAAAGGCTGGGGTCAAATCCAGTCACCAAGGAGAGACCAAAATATTCCATTTCCATGCTCTAAATGAATCGTATGCTCGGAAATTTCAGCTGGGACGAGATCTAATGGCTCCTAACGTGTTCCACACTAATGACAGGTTGCTTAGCAGCTACCAGTTTGCACCATTGGATTGGTTTCCAGACTCAATCACAAGACCAATTGAGCATCCAATATCGGCCGACGAAGCACACTCGCGTGTTTCTTTAACCCAACCTGTGAGTTTCGCATTTGACAACAACGAACCAAAGCCATTGAGAGCAGGAGGTGTTGCCCAATATCCAACGAACAATCTGTACCGCCAGGGATTTGTGGTAAACACTGGGGGGCTGCCACTGGTGAGCTCCTTCCTGAATAAACCCATCAACGGGAAATACTATCTGTTTGTGTCGGTTATTGCCAGCTCAGAGACAAACAACTCGGTGCGCAAGGAGCTGTCTCTTGGCCAACCGGAGATCTATGACGCGGCAATTGAAGTCTTTGAGATCGATCTTGGCGGCAACGTGACCTCATTGAAAAAAACACTGGTGATTCCATTTGGAGCTGTCATTTCGTTTAGATGGCTCCTGTGCTCCAATCCCGAGGAAAGTCTTCTTACCTGCGTGTGCAAAGACGGTATTTTGCGCATATTGCGAGTGAATGCGCAGTTTCTCGATTCTCCAGACGTGGCCATGCTGACGGCTCCCTCAGTCACGATCAATATCCCCGACTTCGAGATATTGTCGTGCGACTGGACCTCGTCTTCGTCGCTGGTGCTGGGTCTCACCGATGGCCACATCGCAGAGGTGGATATCAAGGATCCGGAACACCCGTTCTACGTTGTGGGCCTCGATATTGCGAACATAGCTTCCATCACCTCTACTTACTCCGACGCACTATACGAGGCAACCTCGCGCATAATTCTTGTCTCGGCAACCAACTGCTACAACTACCTGATCGATCTTGACAACCTACGCGTGATTGCGGAGTCCCAGAAGTCTCGTATCCCCTGCTTCCAGATCCAGTACTCTGCTCTGCTTGACGGGTTTGTGGTTGCAGATTCAACAAAAACACCCAAGTTTGTGAGTAAGAAAGACGTTCAGAGCAACATTGGATTGCACCTGTGGGACGAGAACCAGGTGTTCTCCATAGCAGTTTCGGACTACACGCCTTTCCTGGTTTCTGGCTATGTTAATGGCACTGTTCGCTTGTACAACGTGATCAGAAAGGTGCACAGTTCTGCAAAACTCAAGGTTTCACCTGCTTCTGCAAAGCTCTTCAAGATGGATATCAACAAGGACGAGTTCCGACTGGACCTGAGCTACCAAGTGTCGTCCGATTCGAAGGACGTGGAAAGCCACTCAATATACGACAACAGGATTAACGTGACGAGCTGTGCTCTTGCAAACACTCCAGCGTGCTCCGGGTTACTGGCGGCGTCGTACGCCAACGGCTTGGTGGTGATTGAAAGAATCATGAGCGCAGAGTCTATTTAGTATACAGGGAATAGCGGGTCTATTTTCTGGGACCACTGGTTAAGACCGCCAATCACATCAACTGTGTTTTCATAACCAATTTTCTTCAGGTGTTTCACGGCGAGTTGGGAATCGTTGCCAAAACGGCAGATCACGTACACTGGCGTGGATTTCGGAACTTCCAGAGTTTCGAGCCGCCTTAGCGCATTAAGCGGAATATTAACGGAATTTGGCAGATGCACAATGGAAAACTGTTCCTTAGCGCGAACATCAACCACGAACGGCTCTTTCAGCTCGGCAAAACGTTCCACGGGGATGCGCTCGTCTGCGGAAAGTACATTGTACTCCATCTTGCCACACCACACGGCATAGTCCAACTCGTTCTGCACAACGTGTTTGGTGATTTCCCGAGTTGCAGGGTTGCAAACGCGGCATTTCGCAGATCTCCCGCGCATCTTGAACGTTCTCAGACTCTGCAACGGGTTGTATCCGTTGTACATGCTCAAAAACGGCTGGAACTCGGCCCCCTCTGTGTGGTAGTAGCCAGAGATGATCTTGATGGCTTCCAGTGACATCATGACCCCAACAAGACCGATCACCGGGCCCAGAACACCACCGTCACTGCAAGCCGTGACCGAGCTTGGCGGCGGTGGGGTGGGATAGAAACAACGGTAGCATGGCCCAACGTTGTCAAAGTTCAATATCGACAGTTGGCCCTCTGTCTTGAGCCCAGACCCAGAAACAACCGTCAGTCCAAGCAATACAGCGGTGTCATTGATGAGGTACCTTGTTGCCGGCGTATCTGTGCAGTCGAGAACCAGATCGTATTGCTCAAAGATGTCAAAACTGTTATCTGTGCTTAAAGCTGTTGGATAAGTGACGATCTCCACCAATGGGTTTATTTTCTGCAACTGTTGCTTTGCAGACTCGCACTTGAGCATCCCCACCGTTTCTGTGGAGTGGAGGATCTGACGGTGGAGGTTGGAAACGTCAACGGTGTCCGGGTCCACAATGCCTATGGTGCCTATACCTGCTCCAACAAGATACTGCAGGGCGGGACATCCGAGTCCACCAGCACCAACTACAAGCACACGGCTGGACTTGAGACGCAACTGGCTGTCGAGCCCAAACTCAGACACAATGAGCTGGCGGCCGTATCGCGTGTACTCGTTCAACGACAAGGACATGAATAAATAGTGAAATAAATTTTTAGATGCTGCACAGCCTTATTAAACATACTAAACCACCTTCTGCTTGACGAAGAAGGTCTTGAGGTAGGTGAGTTGCCAGGCGCACGTGGCGACAAGCACAACCACCTGGAGAATGGTCCACTTGACGGTACGGTAATTGACGGACTCGGACACGTCTCTGAAAGCGGCCTCTCTTTCTCTAAAAAGACTCTGTTCTCTGCGGATCTCTTGCAGCTTCTTGACGAGCTCGTTAGATTTCTGGGTGAGGAAGTTGATGTCGCCTGTTCTCTTGGAGTCGACGAGTGGCTTGGCATCACCGATGACCAGGTCGAAGAAGACTCTGTGTCTTGCTCTCTTGGACCAGTCGGTGTGTCTAGGGGTCAAACAGAATTTGTGCTCACCGGAGTCGTAGGAGGTGAAGGTGAACTGGCCAGTTGGGGCGTTCTTTTGCGAAACAACACGGTGGTTGTTATCGAACGTCTCGTCCACAGTGATTTCTATTTTCAGGTTGTCGGCCGGCACATAGTCCTCTTGCTTAGAGTTCCATTCGTACGCCTCGTATTTGCCCACGGCAATGGTATCTTTTGGCAATTCTTCGTAGAAACATTTTGTTTCGTCCGTGTCAATGTAGAAATGCAGCGCTTGGGCCACGTTGGCGGCAATTAGCGCTGGAATCAAACTCCCCAGTTTCATGTCAACGCGTAAAAATAGATGTTTTTCGACAAAAAAAAAACAAGTTGCACGGGATTTTAAAGTGGGACCGAAATTTTGGCTTTTTTATTAGTGCTTCTATTTACGACGCTTGATCTTGGCAACCAAATCGCCCAGTTTTTCTGTTTTCGAGCCTCCTTCCTTACGGGCACGCTTCTTCATTAATTTCTCCATGGTAGACGTTCTCTTGAACTCTGAGTGTGTAGGATCAATTGCAAACGCGTGGTCCTCGAAGATCTCGTTGAAACGAGTATCGTTCTCCTCCAAGTCAACACCAGCAGTCTCCTCCTCGACGGCCTTGCCCTTCTTCTTCTTCTCCTTACGCTTCTTCTTCTCCTCCTTCAACATCTGCTTCATGTCGAAATGCTCGTGCTCCTTCTCTTCGTCCATCATCAGCAGCTCCAGCTCGGCCTTGCTCTTTTCGTCCTGCTCGTGCTTCTTCTGCTTGACAGCCTGTTTGGCCGCCCTCTTCTCCTCCTCGGTCGCCTTCTTCAACTCCTTCACCTTTTCCTTTCTCTTCTTGCGCCTCTCCTTTTCCTTTCTCTTGATCTTGTCGATCGTACTCTCCTCGGTAGCGTCAGTCTTTTCCTCAGAAAGACCAGGGTTGAACGACACCTCCATGTCCACGTCGTCCTCCTTCGACTCCAACGCACCAGCAACAAGACTCTTGTACTTAGCAGCGGCCTCGTGGTCGCTCTCCTCCGAGTCAGAAGCAAGATACGCCTTGAAGTCCATGTCGTCGATCTCTTTCTGCGAAAACGCTCTTGAGGCCATAGTCACTCGCTCCGCAGGAGTCTCGTCCCAAGTTAGCTTGACCTTCGAGTGCTGCAACGCGTCTGTGGTGAACGCATTTGGTCTGTACTTGGCAGGGATCTTCAGACACTCGTCGCGTGGGGCGTCGTCAAACGTCATGTCTTCGGGAACATACCGAAGATCGAAATGGTTCGCCGTCGACTCATACTCTGTGCCGTCACAGCTCTCGTAGATCGCACGCGAGGTGGCCACAGAGTCGCATTTCACAATCGCATAGTAGTATCTGAGCCGCTGGAGCTGGTACAGCCGCAGAGCTTTCGAGTTGTAGTCTGTTCCGTCGTCTTCCTCGTACAGTTTCTTGGCAGCCTTGGCCATGTCCAGCTCGTCGTCGTCGTCCGAGTCGCTCTCCACCTTCTTTGATTTGAAAAGCTCTTTTGGCGGACCCTCGATCTCCTCCTGCTGCATTCGCTGCTTGCCGTATTCGGAAGGATATATCGAAACAGACAGAATCTTTCCGTCTTTTGGAACAAACCCAATAAAGGTAGCAAACAAGTCTGCGGACGTTATATGGTCCCAGTCGAGATTCACCACTGCAAACGTACTTGTAGGCTCTCCTTCTGGAACGCCCTCCTGGGCCTCCTCGTCATCCTCCTCGTCTTCGCTGACAACCTCGCTGTCGCTGTCACTCTCCTCGGACTCGGAGTCCTCAGAAACCAGTCCTCTGGCCCGGTCGAGAACGCTCGTAGTGGTGTCGCTGGCCTCACTCTCACTCTCGCTCTCACTTTCGTCCTCCTTCTTGTAGTACTTTTCGAAATCAGACTTCTTGTCCTCCTTGACCTTGCGTCCAAACTTGTCCAGCTTCTTCTTCTTGCCCATCTTGAGCTCATCTTTCGAGAACCGGTCATCCACAGCAACCTTCAGGTCCTTGCGTTTTGGCACCTTGAACCGCGGGTCGCTGTAAACCTTGGCGAACCGCGGATCTTGCGTGACAACCTCTTTCTTCTTGTCTTTAGACATGGGGCTAAATTTTTCTGAAATATTTTTTTCTGTCAAACTAGATCACGTTACAGTAAATTGTTATCAAATATATCAGGCAAATGGGCCAGACTACCAGCACCGAGTCTGACGGCGAGGTGAAATACACCAATGGCAAGCTCTCGCGCGCCGAGCTGGACCATCTGTTTGTGCGCGAGGCCACACGGCTCTTCAAGCCCATTGAACTGATGTCTCTGCGCTCAAACCTGGGGCTCCAGGAATTGCAAGGCTCCAAGCTCGTCACAAGGTCCCAGCTGGTTAATGTCTTGAAACTCGTCCAGACACCCGCCACAGACGACTTTCTGGATTGTCTGCACTTCATTGCCAAGTTCCCCAACTACCGTGACTCCTCAGACCTCACAGTTGCTGGTCTGATTAAGGCACTCACCATTTTGGACTCGGACAAGTTTGTGGACTTGTTTGGTAATAACCGGCGCTACTTTCTCATGCAGATTTACCTTGCGTTGAGTTTTGGCGCCCAGCTGGACGAGCCTAGTGAAAAGTCGGAAAAATCACAGCCCGTTGAGGACCCAATCGATGTGGTGTACTCCAACGATAAGCTGCAATGGATTCTTATTCCGCAGGTGCAATCGTTTGACGGGCTTGGGGTCTCCAAATACCAGCTATCTGCGCCGAAGTTCCTGCGTTTCATCGCCTTTCTGCTCTTCGTCTCCCCCGTTAGCTTGTCCTTGAACCCAACGTTACCGTTATCCGAACAATTTGAGTCTGACGACCAAAACTGGTACAAATACGAACAACGAGCCATGAACTTGCTGCGATCGTTTGATCTGGACCTGTCCAAGTCGAACTACCATACAAGGAAGATCCCGTTCAACGCTTTCGAACGAATAATAGGAACGTCTCTTGCAAACGGCTCCATGCCCCACTTGCTCGATCCGCTCCACCATATCCTGGACTCGCTCTTATACACCACGCCGGTGGCCCTCCGCCGTCTGGACTTTTCAGAGTCGCGGATCCTCACCCATTCCATGCTCGCAGAGCTTGCCACCATCCTGCCCCCAGATCTGGTGTACCAGCGGCTTCGCAAACTATTTGTGGGGGCAGAGTCCGGGTTCAGCATGCGGTCCATGGAGTCCAAAGTGTTCAAGTGGAATGCGCCAACAATCCTCCTGGTGTCGGGTAAAACCATCCAGATCCAGCCGTCGTCAGAGCCAGCTCCCCAAAATAAAAAATACACAGCTTTCATGTCTGAGTACCCGCGTTTCCACGCATCCCACGCGGACTCTCCAAAATTGCCTGCCCCAGACAGCGACCAGTGCGTGTTTATGGTGTACATGGAACGGCCGTGGAGAATCAGCAACGGCGAGTGCTTTGGCGACGAACACTGTTTTATTGCACAGCTGTCGCCGCGACAGATCCTGTTCCCGTCGTCGAACAACGCCCAGAATTTCGCATATTTCAACACTCTCGGCGGCGGACTGGGATTCGGAAGCAAACCGCCGCTCGTGAAGAACAACGTCCGGATATACAGACCGGGAGAGGTGTCGCTCACCATTGAAGCTGGTATGGAGATTGCCAGTTTCCGGCACCTGGCCATTCCTGGCACGTACCGGACAGGGTCCGTGTTTTCATCAACAGTGCCCGAGTTTGAACACAGCTTCGAGATCACCAATCTGGAGGTCTGGGGATGTGGATCCGAAAAAGAGCTGGCGGAGCAGAAAAAACTCTGGGAATGGGAGAACAGAGAAGCAGAGGCACGAAAGAAGCTCAATTCCATGAACTGGGAGGACGGAAAGGCTCTTTTGGAGATGGCCGGCATGATCGACACCAAAAGAAGCGGCGGAAGTGTCTAACTTTATGGGAATTAGGGACGTTCTATACATGTTATTTATGGGTCTTTTTGGTCAATTTCTTCTTGACATGCTTTTTCATCTTGGTTTTCCGTTTTTCTCGAGCAGCTTCCTTGGCAAGCTTCTTGCGTTCCTTCTTGGCGTCCTTGTCCTCGAACTTCTTCCCCTTTGGAGAGTCATCGTCGTCATCGTCGTCAGAGTCGTCAGAATCGTCATCAGATTCTTCCTCTTCTTCCTCCTCATCCTCATCCTCTTCTGCTTCCTCCGGCTCCTCCTTCACAAGGTCTCTCAGAGTATCCACCTGCCCGGTCCTGAACTTGTCGAAATCGCGCTCCTCCAGATGGTTCAGCGAGCTAACCAGATGCAGCGACCGGAACACAGCGTCCTCCTGGTCGTCATCGCTCTTATGAGGCAATATATTCAGATATTTCTCCAAGAGCTCGAAATCCTCCGGCTCCTCCATCACAGCCTGTCTGTCCTCCTTGTTCGGAATCAGCTCCGTCATCAGACTCGTCCAGGTATCGATCACAAACCGGAAAATCAGTCTTTCAGGGAAAACATTAATCTTCTTGATCCGTGAAAAGAAATCGTTCACGTTCTTAATGTCCATGCGCAAAAAGTCCATGGACATCTGATGGTCCGGCTCCACCGACTGCGAAACGTCAAATATGTACAGCTCGCCCTGGTGGACAATCGTGTTGTACTCACTCAGATCGGCGTGCACTAGACGGCACTTCTGGTACAGCCATCTCATATAAATCAGCATTTTGATGTAAAAGGATGCAATTTCGTCGTCGTCTTTGAACTCGTAGTCCTTCAGTTTAGGAGACGGCCACCCGTCACCTTTACTAAGATATTCCATCACCAACACGTGCGACTTGAGATCGACCGGCTCTGGAGACGGTATGCCAACAGAGTGCAATCTTTTCAGGTTTCTAAACTCTTTCTCGGCCCATAGCCGCACCATCTTGCGCGGGTTTGACTGGTTCTTTGTGTTTCTGAACCGAAATTCACCGTCAACATACCTTTCCCGGTCCTTGAACACCAAAATAGACGTCTTGTAGATCTTCACGGCGTACTCTTTACCTGTGTCTGCATTAATAGCAAAATAGACGTTTGCTTCCTTTCCCGTAGATATGCACCCATTGATCTCGGTGATGGTTCCATTTTTGAACAGTTTTGATAAGAATCGCAATGTACGTGGATCCAACACCTGCTCCACGGTGGCACGCTCTGCTTTGTCCCTGGTTATTCTATGCTTGATATGGTCAACCTTGATATTGGCTCCATACTTGTCTAGAAGAGCTGTTTTTTCTCGCAAAACGTGGTTAGCAACGTTCTTCCGTGCAGAAGTGTTGTTTCCCCCATCGTCAGAGCTGTAATCCGAGTCGGAAAGACTCAAATCGTCCAAATCTGGATGGCTCATTATACTCTCTTAAATGTCTGAATTTTTTTTTTTTCGCTGCCCGAATTCTGTCTGACAGCAGAATTTTTATTTACCTGATTTATTATCATCAACTAAATGGCTCTTGTGAAAAGCCTTCCGCAAGTACGTTGCCGCCCGCCGTGCGCCACGCCAATACTAACCGCCTAGACCTTTGTGGGGTTCCCACTCTACGTTGGAGTGGAGCTGATCCTGCTATACGCCGTGATTAACAAGATGTGTGGCGTATACGGATTGCTCTCCTTTTTAACGGGACATCCGATCGATGCGGTTCAATGGCTTTACTACCTGTCGTCCACGGCAATCATGGTGTTGTACATCCAGGGGTACCGGAAAGTGCAAAACCCGAACATCAACCTTTTTTCGCTTGTGACATTTGTGTATCTGATCGACACCGTTGTTGGGTTCCTCTACACTGCATATTTTGCCCAACAGTGGTTCACCGAACAGGATGACGGCAGCACCGCCCAACTGGTGGCTCGTGCAGTCACCGAGGAGCTGTCGTCGCAGTCTGCATCCGAGGCTTACGAACTTTTCGTCACCGTTGCTTTGACACTGGTGACCAGTATTTTAAGACTCTATTTTACGTTGATCATGCTGTCATTTTTCAAAGAGATGCGTCTGGCGTCGAAATTCGACGCCCGTTTCCGCATCACCACTTCCACATCGTCATCGCAATGGTCGCAGCTCGTTGCAAAACTACAGATCCAGTCTTGCAAGCTACTCAATAAAATTGTTTAAATAGGCTTGGGCGATACTACCCCTCGAGCATAATAGCTCTATGCAATATATAATACGGAGTACAGCCTACTTGTTTCAGGCACACAAATGCTTTCTGAAACTTGAACGAGTTTCGTCTATCAAGTGTCATTTTTCTCGCTCGCAGGTGCCAATGGGCCAAATCCCACTCATTCAGCTCTGTGTCTCAGTAAATTGAGGACCGGAAAAAGTTCGGCAAAAGGTTTTCGTTTTTTAAAAAGAATAGATTCACCGCTATCGCAAACTCGCTTTTTCTGGAACCCTTGGCCTTCCATCTTTGAATGCTACCAACATGTTGTCAGAAGAACCAGTTTTAGAGCCCAAACCGGACGACAGCAAGGAGGTTCGGGAAAAGGAACAGAAAAACTCAAACACTTCCTTCATCCACAAGCTATATGCTATGCTCGAGGACCACGACCTGGATCACTTGATTTGGTGGCATTCCAACCAGACATCGTTCTACGTGTTACCCTCGGAAGAGTTCACCAGAGTTCTGAGCAATTATTTCAAACACGCAAATGTGGCCTCGTTTATCCGTCAACTCAACATGTATGGGTTCCATAAAGTCAACGACAACTTCAACAACGAAACACTGACAACCACACCTCCGCCTTCAGAACAGGCTGGCTCCAGAAAAGGCTCGAATTCCTCAAATAATTCCTCGTTTGTTTGGGAGTTCAAACACTCGTCTGATTGGTTTAGACAAGGGAATGTGGAAGGACTCACTCAAATCAAGCGTAGATCGTTCAAAAACGTCACTTCCCAGAAAGAAGTCCACAACATCAAGGTTCCTCCCATTGAGGGCGCCCCTGAGCCCCAAAACTACGTCCCGTATAGATATCAGCCAAACAGTCCTGGAGACATGAACGATACTACAGTTCAGGAAGAGATGGACATGAAGTCACGAATGACAAACTCCTATCTCCAACAGCAGATGAGCACCTCTGTTCCGAAGACAGACGCAAAATACATGGAGGTGGCAGCCCAATATAGCGAGCTGCTTCGCTCCTACGACATGCTGAATTATCGCTACGAGATCGTCAAAGAAGACCTCACAAAGACCAACTACGATTGTGTTTCGCTTATAGATGTTTTGAGAGACGTTGTTGGATTGGTGCCTAAGGACCCGGTCAACGAACAAGTCACCTCCAAAGTGCTTACCGAGCTGGAAAAGTTCAAAACCAACGTTTTGCAGCGCTGTGCAGCAAGAGACATGGCGTTCAAGCAGCTGAGTAACGGACCGGGATACTACGGCGACTCTGGCATGTTGTATTCAGAACCTCCAAGCTCATTGGCCGGCCCAATGCCTACTCCACACGTCTCGATCTCTCACTCGCACCAGCCGGTGGGACGCAACCTTTCTGCGTCCTCGTTCCACCCATACGAACCGTCTCAGATGCCGTACAAGGACATCAGATACAGTGTATCGTCCAACAGATCCAGAAACCTGTCTGTTTTCGACCCGTTGCAACCTGCTACCCCAGCACTCATCCCAGCTGGCCATCCTCCGCAGGGACCTGAGCAGTCGCCCGCAGTGCTGAACCAAGCTCACGAGGGAGAGCTTCAACCGATTCATCGCGACTCGAACGTGATGATGCCATTTTCCGGGTCTCCAGGTCCTCCAAGACGCTCGTCGCCCGGCCTGGGCAACCCACCAGTGATGCTCCAGTCTTTGAGCACTGTTCAGACGGACACTCTCAAGACCAGATCGTCGTCCACGAACTCACTGCCGTACTTGCACAATGCGACCTCGTCTCCAACGAACAATCTCAGAAGAGCAGGCTCGAACCCGACCCCACCAACCATCAGCGACGAAAAGCGAGGCAGCCAGGGCTACTCGCTGGCCAACCCGCCACGGTCGCTTCCCCAGATCAATACGCCTCCGGTGCACGAGCCACAACGGAATAACTCGACCGCATCGACTGGCCCCACCAATCCTTCCTCTACTGCTGTTTTTTCCCTTTTGAATCCGTCCAAGAGCCATCCCGAAGACCAGAAAAGAGATCTGGACCAAGCGGACGAAAACGTGAAGCGCGCCCGCAGCCAATGACCTGCCGGGCCCAATGTATATTACTGTTACGTAGTTCCCAAGGACAGCTTGCACCGCCCTAAATTATTTTCGAATAAATATAAACAACTCTTTTCCATGAACCATCAGAAGATCGCTGCCCGCCACAAACGGGTGCTCAGATCCCGCAAGCCGCTCAAGTACAAGCAGAAGAACATCGACCTCCTACTATACCTGAACTATCTGCGGTTCATGAACGCTCTGATCAAGAAAGCCAACGAGGCTGCCGAGCAGGACGCGAGCTCAGGAATATTGGACCGCCATTTACAGGACGCCCAGCTGGAGTTTATGAAACGGTTCAGAGGCTAAGGTTTTCATTAATGTACATTCATTCATAAAAGAAATTGTTTATGTGCGGTTGCTTCAGGATGTCAATGTTCTGCAGTGCCACATCAGGGCTCTCTTTGAACTGCACAAACAGACCTTGCAACTGAGCCGTGCTCACGTACGGCAGCTCGAGCTGTTTCAGCTTGGCCAAGAACTCGTCTGCCTTGTCCTCCGCGTCAGGGAAGAACCGCAGGAACATGCGCTTGATCTGGTAGTCTGACGCGTTGTCGATCAGCACCTTATAGTCGATTCTGCCCGGTCTGAGCAGCGCAGGGTCCAGTTTCTGAGGGTGGTTGGTGGTCATGAACGTGAGAATCTCGTCCGCCGAGGCGACTCCGTCGATCGCGTTCAACAGGCCACTGAACGTGACTCCTGCAACGTACCCCTGCTCTCTATTCTGTTCACGCTTGTTGAATGCCGCGTCGATGTCCTCGAGCAGCAGAATCGTGCGCTCCGGAATGTTGTTCATCAAGTATGCCAATCTGTCGTCGGTCAGGTTCGGTTCACTGATGTTCATTATGGCAATGTTATAGTCAAGCTCTCCGGCCAATGCCTGGATAAAACTGGTCTTTCCCGACCCTGGAGGCCCATAAAGCAAATACCCCCGTCTATAAGGAATACCTCTATCGTGGTACCATTTTCCAGACTGTAAGAATTCTTTAACATCGTTGACAATTGATTCCTTGACTCCTTCGTCCAGAACCACCGACTGCATCAATCGCTTCTTCCGGGGCTGTCCAAACGGCCGCCAGTCCTGGCCCCACGACTTGAAGATCACGGTCTTTCCCTCGGCTAGCTTCATGGCCATGGCACGAGCCTCGTCCAGAATCGACGCCAGCAGAAACTTGTCTTTGAACAGTGTAGTGAGCGTGATGGTTTCCATCGGTATTCCCGAGTTGTGCACTCTTTCAGATCGTTCGCGCTTCACGTAAAACCATGCACCATTATACTTGAGCCAATGATTACCGGGTCCGGGCACGAACGTGAACCCTGTGGAGATAGACCCGTTAGGGTGCTGGACAAACTTGGTCTGGACGCTCAAATGTCGAGACGAGGTTTTTTTGTAGTTGGACATCCAATGTAGAAACCAGTCGTAAGATTTATCACTGCTTCTGAGCTCCAGGTCGACAAGCATTCGACGGTAAGCCAAACTTGCAAGCGATGAGACCGATTTCCGCAGAATAGCCAGTGAGCCACCAAGTATCATTAGTCCTCCACCGGCGGCGAAATAAGGGTTGGAGGTGACTGCCGCGGGAAGGAAGTCAAAATCTAGCTTGGAAGGGCTCCGTGAAGGAGCACCGGTCTCCGTGGGGATGTCAGCAGGAACCGGAGACGTCATATATCACGAGAGAGTTCAAGTTGAAAAATTCCAGAGCTCAATATTCTTTTCGACACCTCACACCGGCAAGTCGTATCAGTATTACAAACTTGTTTAAATATCCCATTCTTAAAGCAAACGGGTCAGTTGTGCTGATTGTTGAGCAATTGTTGTTTTTAAGCATTTGATCACGATAGAGAACATGATTTCCGAATCTGATCCGCCTCCCGACTATTCGGAGTCGGGAAACATACCAACCAAATCCACCGAATTAGACGAGCTGTATCCCACTGGACCACAGAAAGGCGACGAGTTTTCTGCTTTGCGGGACGAGGAGCTGATTGTTGCTGACGACGAGCTCGACTCGGACATTAGCGACAACGAGCCTCCTTATCCAAACGCGGTTCCTCCGTATTTGGAGGAGATTCCTCCCCGTCTAGTTAGAGATACTTATAATTTCAACGAGTCTAAGTTCTTCAAGACCAGTGAGCGAATCCTGGACGATCTGAGGAACGATCCGTTCTTCTTTTTGAGTGGATTCGATTTTGAACAACGACTAGGCGAGGGAATTTTGAATGAAGACACCGTTTACTATGCCGAGAGGCTAAATGGATTTATTAAGAACTCCGCTAAAAAGTACCAGGCTCAGATCCCTGTTTCCGCATTTGATCCGCTGAACATCGCCAAGCCTTCGGAGTTAGATGACGGACGGAAGCTCTGGACCATCAACGGGATCATCACCCCGTCACCTCAATTGACCATATGCAAGCACCCACTTTTCCACTTCAGAATCAAAATCAAAGGCAAAGGAAATACAATGCACGTCAAACACAAGTTTTACAGCTTTGGAGACAACCAGCTGCTAGAAAGCGATAGAAATGACCTGCTCTTGGACATTGCGAGAATCAAGTCATACACAGCAAACGCCTCGGATCCTGAACAGTCATACAACAACCAAGTTCTTCTCAACTCCATTCCAACCGTGATTGATTCTGCAAACTACATTTGCGAGGTAACAGGAACAATTCTAAGAATTGAGGTCTATCCTTCCATCATGAACTACGACGATTTGAAGCATTTTGAAAAGGAAGAAATAGAGCTCAGATTCTCCTCGTTCATATCACAGTTACCTGCCGAAGCGGCAGACCGTCTCAACGTCCCGTCTACCCTCGAATGTCTCAATACTCTATTCAAAGTGCTTAAGGGACCCCTCACGAATCTAGATACAGACGATATCAAAACTTTGAAACCCAACAACTCTCCTGTTTTGAGGCTTCATCTGCATCTTGATCTACTTCCAGCAAAACTATTCTTCCGGGTTATAAACGAGGAACTTCAGCCACCGCGGTTTTCGGATCTTGGAGAATTTAAACAGGTTGGTTACGATTACTATTTGAGAGTTCTGACCGAAGTGTTGTATCTTGGATCAATCTTCTCGCCGACTTCGGAGTTTTTCAAGCAAAAGACTACTTTTCCTACAGACATGCACCCGGTTTTCCGCATTTTGAACGAGCCCGATTTATCTAGCCAGCTCCAGTACTGGGACAAGTTCCAATATGTGACCGCTTTGACTACGCTGAGTGTATGTCCATACTATTCTGATAAACTGATCATTGACTGTTACAATACAATGACAAGTATCAATCCAGATAGTACACCTGAGCTGTTTGATGCATTGACCTACTGTGCAACCTCAAGACAAGGAAATGACTTGGCCATGTTCGTGGCCACTTTGAGGTCAAGAGGAGTGGTTGGATTTTTGGAGCTCAAGAGCTGCTTCCAAAAATTCGGATTTGACATTACAAACCCAGAAGTTGCAGAGCATTTGACCGACGAGCAGCTCATCACAGCATACAAGAACAATTTGATTGTCAGTGGAAGTAAGTACGAACGGTCCACATTTAGAGAAGCGTTGGAAAAAGTTGGAAAGTTCCGAGAAAGTGTGAAGATTCGTGAGTTTTTGGAAACCGAGCCATTCTTTGACATTTCAGAAGCTTATGAAACTTTGGAGACAGATCCATCTGTTGATGATGATGTTTTGATCACTGCTTTCCAACTGAAGGCAGAAGAGTCGTCTTACTACTCTTCCCTATACTCACGTGCATTGATGACAATTGCTCTTCAGCGGAAGAGTTTGATGCTTGTGAGCTACATTTACTCCAATCTTCCACAGTTTTCTCATTTTAATCCATCTGTGGAGGAGGCCTACCGTTTCATTGGTTGCGATCCTTATGCTGACGACTCGTCCGTGGTTCGGATTTTCCAGGAAAGAGCAGCCAAGGAGGTCAATATCGACTTCTATGAACTATGGATCTGTTTGAAAACTATTGGCGAGACCAAGAAATCCAAGCTCATCGAAGGCTTTCTGAGCTCAGGTGTTTTAGATTCGAGATTGCTTTCGATCGAAAAGACACCGGCAGGGCTGAACAATATTGGAAACACATGCTACCTCAACTCTTTGCTTCAGTATTATTTTGTCATTGAGCCGTTGAGATCGCTAATTTTGGACTTCAATAAGACATTTGCAAACACTAACATCGAAACGGACACAAATTACCAGGTGAGAAGAATTGGTGGCAGAACCATCGGATACAAAGAAACGGAAAGATCTTATCAATTTATGTATCAGTTGAGAGATCTCTATGATAAACTTATTCATGAAGATTCGAGATGTGTTCAGCCAACCAGAGAACTTGCCTATCTTGCATTCAGTCCAATCAGCGATGAAGTCGAGTTTGATGATGGGAAAAAGGAGGATGATGTTCAGATGGAAGACGCCGAGCCGAGAACAGAAGTTCAAACCCATGGGGAAGTCAAGGTGGAGCTTGTCGAGTCGGCTCCAACAGCAGAGACTAACAAAGTGACAGAGCCTGAAGAAACTAAGATGGAGGTTGACGAGCCTGTCGAGGAGACTCTAGACTCACCAGGCTTCCAGACTGCAGCTACAGCCAAAATCAGCGCCGACCAGATCGAGAACGCTTTAGAGATTGGTCGTCAACAGGATGTCACCGAATGCATTGAGAATGTTCTCATTCAGATCGAGAGCGCTCTGGAGCCAAGCAAATTGGATTCGGACAACGAACAGATGGATATTGTGAAAGAGCTGTTTTATGGAAAGACCAAGCAAACTCTTGTTCCTGTTGATCCGAAGACCAAAGAGGAGGTCGAGTCTGCTACACCACGGACAAAAGAGGAGAGATTCCTGAACTTGATTGTCAACATTGGTGACCATCCAAAGGATATTTACGATGCCTTGGACACCTATTTCACTGAGGATTTGCTGCAGCTCGATAATGAAGAGGTGAAGCGGTCATTGACAATTACTCAGTTGCCAAACATTTTACAGATTCAAATTCAGAGAGTCCAATTTGACAGAGAGAGACTCATTCCTGTCAAATCCATTGAACCACTTCCATTTGAAGAGAACCTTTATATGGACCGGTACATGGAGACGACGGACCAAGATCTCATCTCAAGAAGAAAGGAGGTGTTTATGTGGAAACATGAGATTTCTGAGCTCCAGGAGCGTAGACGCAAGTTGTCTCAGCCAAACGAACACGGACTGCCTTTGAGAGACGCACTTGAGTCTACTCGTCAGTTTTTGCAGTCCCAAGCACTCAATGATATCGGGCTACTAATTGACTCCAACGTTGTGGAGGTTTTAACTGAGCAGATCGAAAAGATCGACAAGGAGCTCGCCGAGATCAAGAGCGAGATCGAGAGACTTCAGTCGTTAATCTCCGGACAATTCAAGCATCTCACCAAAATCGGCTACTCTGTCTTTGCCATCTTTATCCACAGAGGACAGGCATCTTACGGTCATTATTGGATTTATATTAGAGATCCAAAGTCGAACCTTTACAGAAAGTACAACGACGAGATTGTGAGCGAGGTGACTCTCGAAGAAGTATTGAATTTTAGCGAGAACAACAGTGCAACTCCATACTATCTCGTTTTTGTGAAAAACGAGTTATTGGACGTCATTCAGCCATTGAAGAGAGAGGTTAAACCGCGTGGGTCTGCTGACCAGACTCAATAACGTTCATCAAAGCATGGTCGATATCTTTGATGATATCTTCATAGTCCTCGCATCCAATACTGAATCTGAGCAGGTTGCTGTTTGTTGATGGATTGATAAAGTTGGCGTTCACAGCGGTCAACTCGACCACGGTTTCACCACCTTCTATGTTTGGGTTGTTGCTCAAGAAGTTGAACTTTGTGAGGATGGTTTGTGCGAGTTCTTGCGAAGCCAGTTCGATAGCAAGCACGGGGTTGAAATAGCCGTTCAGCTGTTCTTTGACAAACTCGTCCATTTGCAAAGAGGAATGATGGATTTTCGTGATGACAGAGGAATACTTGTCGAGATTAGCACGCAGAAATCCGACGATCTTTTCTGTGTTTTGGCACTGAGTGAGAATTCTCATCTTGTACGTTCTTAACGACCGCAGCAGAAGAAACGAGTCGAAGTTTGCGATGGTGGTTCCCAAGGAGTGTCTTTCGTTGTGGAGATTGGCCTTGTCGGATTTCTTCCTACTGACAACAAATCCTGCACCCAGATCAGACACTCCGGCGAGATACTTGACTGCGGAGTACACGACGTAGTCTGCGCCGTGCTTGAAGGGGAACTGCAATGGTGGTGGGGCGAGTGTGGAGTCCACGATCAGGAAACAGTGTTTTTCGTGTGCTATTCTGGCAAACTTGGCAATGTCGAGCAGGTATCCTTCTGGGTTCATTGGAGTTTCTAAGAGAATGACCGAATTAGGAGTGAGCTGGTCGGTTTCCTCGAGAGTGAGTTTCTGCAGCCCTGTGAGCTTCGATAGCAGTTTGATCACGCGATGGGTTCCCTGGTAGCCGGAATTATTGATGCAGATTCTAGACGGGTTGAGATAGGACAGAATTCCCATGATAGCAGAGGTTCCAGAGTTGTATATTGTAGCATAACCTTCTGTGATATTTTCAAAGATCTTTTCGACCTTCTCCGAATTGGGGTGCGAGCCCTTAGAGTGCGTGAAGTTCTCCAAGACGTATGTTTTGCGTGGCTGGTGGTTGACCAGCGGATTTTGGAACGTTGGGTAGTATGGAAGATTATCTGCTGGCCGGGGCAGGATCTGCGGGACAGGCTGCACACTGACCTCGTCCAAGCGCTCTGGCGGGTTGACCGGCTGCGGTAGCGGCGTCGGCGTCATGCTGTTGAGGAAGTTGTCAAAGTTATCGTCGGAATGGATAAGTCTGGTGTTGAAACCGACAAGCTGGTTATTGAAGATCTCGTCGTAATTGATGGCGAGCGGGGGGTCCTGTGCGGGTTCCGGCACCGGATCGGGCGAGAGCGTCTTCTGCTTGGAGCTGTTGAGCAACAGGTTGCGTTTCTTGAACGCATAGAGCCAGCCCTTGCTGAACCGGAAATCTTCTGTCGGATACCCAAATTCCACCATATATTTGATGAAGAGGCCGGAAATGAGTCTGTCGGTGATCGGTTCCCCCGCGGCGGCCAGGTGCTCGAGCTCCTTCTCGACGGCCTTGGTGACGTCGGGGAACTTCATCTGCGGCTTACGGCGGTACTGTTCGTAATTGGGGTTGTTGTTAAGCTCTGCACGGAGCTCGTTCTCCTTCACAGACCAGGTAGAGAGAGTGGCCTGTGAGATGCCGAACTGGGCGAGCTGCCGGAAATGGTCGAGCACCTCTTTCTGGGACCGGGCCGGCGGGCCGTGCAGATAGTCCAGCACCTGGATCTTCTGTTTCAGAGTGGCCCTTGGTAATCGTTCAGCCATTTGCACCAGCAGAATATTCTGTGCACAGCCGTGGAATTTTTGCTAGGTGCGCCTAGTCGTGCGCGTGGCCCGAAAATCCCTTGGGCTTTTTCAAAAGAGACAACAAATCGTCCTTTACTGTGTTGAGCAGTTGAGTTTTTTCCGTACTCCCAAGACAGGACGTGGTAATAAGGCATTTCGCATAACTGAGCAAAACAATGTCGTCGGGACTTTCAAGACGGCGGGGCAAACAGTCGACCGCTGCAGAAGACACCTCAGGAACTTTTGAGGAGGCCGGAGAACACAAGATTGCGTACGATCCTAATGACGTTGCCGACTCGAGCAAGAACAGCCAGGTGCCGGTGCTGACTCTGATGGAGGAGGTGTTGCTTATTGGATTGAAAGACAAAGAGGGATACTTGTCGTTTTGGAATGACAATATTTCGTACGCCCTGAGAGGGCTAATTATCCTGGAGCTGGCCTTCCGGGGCAAGATTCGGATGGTGAACGACCCAGCCAGAAAGCGGTTTGAGTTCCCGGACCGGCTGATCGAGTGCTGCGACGGATCGCTTACAGGAGAGACCTTGTTGGACGAGGCCTTGAAACTCATCAAAAACGACACGCAACACCTTAGTGTTTCGAACTGGATCGACCTGCTTTCTGGTGAGACGTGGAACCTGATGAAGATCAACTACCAGCTCAAACAGGTCAGAGAGAGACTCGCCAAGGGACTCGTGGACAAGGGAGTCCTGAAAACCGAAAGAAAGAACTTTTTACTATTCGACATGGCCACGCATCCTATCCAAGACCCTACTCCCAAGAGAAATGTAACATCACGGATTCTGGCCCTGCTCACAAACAGAAACTTTATTCTCGAGTACGACGAGAAGTACTTCCCACAATCGGTCAAGTACAAGTACCTTAGAACCATCTGTCTGGTTACCGGGTGCTGTGCTGCCAACGTGTTAGAAAACATACTCATGGACCTCAACTTTGACAGCAGAGACAACGCTTTTATTCGAGCCGACGAGATCCTCAACCAATTCAGCGAGTATCCGTTTGTCGATAAAGGGTCTTCTGTAGGAGTTGGAATGAACCTGTTTACGGAGATTAATAAGGAGATCGACACCGATCAGCCTGGTGATCTTGTGTTGGAGGTTGTTGCCGCGGTCGTGAGCGTGTTCAGCAAGATGGATTCCATCATCTAAGCTATTGGTAGCATATATAATAGATTAGTAAGAAAACTTGGCCGATAATTATATTTGGTGGAAAAAAGTTATACCATCATTATTCAAGTTATGGAGTATTTAGTTATCGTTTACGACAAGCCTGGAGCCGTAAGTGCCAATTGCTTTCTCTAGCTAACATTCTACAGGACCGGTTATCTGTTAGAGGCGAACACCTCGCCAACATCCCGAACGGGTTTGCTAACGGAGTCACCAACTGCGGCGCCATTTTCACAGACGAGACAAAAACTAAGTTTGCCGGCTCGTCCTATAACATCGTGGCCAACTCCAGAGACGAGGTGATCGAGTTCCTCAAGTCCGACCCTTACTACAAGGCCGGCATCTGGTCGTTGGACGACGTTCTGATCTACCCGTACGGTTGTGCAGGCAGAACCGCCAAGGACATCATCAAGCCTTAGCTGGTGTTACCCGTGTCTGGCATTAGCTACCACTACATATTGCTAAGGTTCCAAATTATTCATTGTATGTCCTAATATCCTAATCCAATCAAGTAGTCTGCCAATTGCTCCACAATCTTGGCTGCCTCACCGGCCTGCACACCGGCAGGGTAGTGTGCAATCAAGATGGCCTGCTTGGTCTTGACACAGAGCACGCCCTCTGCGTCGTGCTTACCATAGATCGATCTTGGATCTGCGCGAATGCACACGTTCTTCTGGCCCTGGATGTGCAGACCAGACGCGTACAGCTGCGAAGGGTCAGAGAACCCTTTGACCAGCTCCTGGATCTCGTTTGGCTGCAATTGGAAGTTGTTGGAGGTGGCCCACAACGAAGAACCGTCAGCTCCATAAATAGAAGCCTTGTCCAGCTTCTGGGTGGCAAGCAAGTTGTCGGTGTATGCTGATTGGTTAGTTTGCTGTCGAATTCAACGTTTTGCTCAATTACTTACCGTTCCAAGACATCGTTTAGTAGATTCGCCTTAGTGTCTTTATTATTTACCTGTTTGAAAATTAAACATACGGAAAACCTCTGGTGTTTTTGCCAGGGGAAATGGGGAGTTACCCGGCCGCCAGTAAAATAGTACATGCAACTAGTCCTCGTCGTCGTCCAGAACAACACGCCGTTTCTTCCGCGAAACAGTGCCCTCGTCGTCGTCGTCATCGTCGTCCCCAGCAGGCTCCGCAGAACCCTTGTACAGCGCCTCGCCCGCGCGCTTCACGCTCCGCAGCTTCTCGGCAGCCTGGTCCAGCTCGTCGTCGTCCAGCCCGGAGTCTTGCTCGTTGTCGCTGACCACAAAGTCGTCCTTCTCGTTGTACTCGTTGTCGTCCTCGTCCTCATCGTCCTCGCCAGCGTCAATCGAGTGTACCACGCTCGTGGTTCGGGATTCCCGCTCCTGGCGTTCTTCTTCCTGGGCCAGCTTTGCGAGCTGTTTCCGTCTGGCCTTCTCTATTTCTCTCTGCGCTTTCTCCACCTCTCTGGCCTTCAGCTCTGGGTCCTCTGTCGTCACTATTGTGTTGATCTTCTTTGATTTCTTGTACCGCATGTTGGATTGCAGCGTGTTGGCCAGAATCTTGTGTGCTCTGGAACTTGTCGACGATGGCAGCACCTGGATCGATCTGTCCAACTCCTGCACAGGAACATACAGGTCGCCTTGCTCTATCACCAACAAATCGTCCTCGTTCTTCTTGACTCGTATATCAAAGTACTCCTCGCCAATCTTCAACGACATGGAGCCGTCCTCCCATTCCACAATGGACGAGTTCGACTGCTTGTACAGCTCGTCCGAAGCGGTCTTGGCATATCTCCATCTGATCGTGTTTTGGATCTCCAGTTTCTTGAACTCGAGCGAGTCTTGTAACTCCTTGTTGGTGCTGGTTTTGTGCGAGTCCTGCACAAACTCCTTAAGCCCCGACTCAAACGTTGCTGGTGCAAACGGCTCCGGGTCGACAAACAGGTACCGAGGCAAATTGAATCCAATCGCACCACCCTCCGGCACGTGCGACCGCGGGTGTCTTGGGAACGAAACCTCCAGCTGGGTGGGCTGGTACTCTTCTTCGGCCACCTCTTCGTCGTCGTCGTCATCGATCTTGGTTTCTTCAGCGACATCGACGCCGGTCGCCTCGGCTGCGTCGCTCTCGTCGCCAAAAAGGTCGTCAACGGCTTCCGCGGGCGAGTCCCCGGTCTTCTCCAACTCCTCGCTGCTCATGAACAAAATAAAAGGCTTGTGATTTTTTTTGTCAAGTGGGTGCAGGTTATGTGCCCGGAAAAGTGGAAGCAGAGACGGAGTGCACATGGTGGGAGCAGCAGTCGTGGGGACAGAACTTCGTGGGTGGTGATCCTGGTCACTACCTAACCGGTCTCCACACCTCAAAGTCCACCATAGCCACCTATATTAAGCTCCTTGCTGTAACCCCCCCTAATAGACGATCGTCGCGTCGAAAAAGTTCGCGTTGTTTACTTTCTCACCATGGCTGTTGGTGCGTCGAGATCGGAGCTTCTGGAGTGGATCAACACCACATACCAGCTAAACTACACAAAGATCGAGCAGTGTGGCAATGGGGCCCTTTACTGCCAGGTTTTCGACTCCATTTTCGGAGACTTACCGATGGGAAAGGTCAACTTCAATCCCACCTCCGACTACCAAACCCTCACAAACTACAAGATCCTTCAGAGCGGGTTTTCGAGACACAGGATCTCCCGTGAGGTTCCTGTTGAGAAACTCATGAAATGCAGACTCCAGGACAATTTGGAGTTTCTGCAATGGATGAGTCGATTATGGTCAGAGAACAAACTAGACGACTACGATGCCACGTCCCGCAGAAAAGCGGTGGTGAGTTCTGCCGGGTCCGTCACCACGTCTGCTGGGCGCAGGGTGTTTTCGAACTCGTCTTTGAATGGAACAACTCCTGGTAGCAGAAAGACGTCTCTTACTGGAGTGACACCAAAGGCCAAGGATCCTCTGCATCCAAAGCCCACGTTGAGTTATTCTGGAACACGAGTGTCGTCTGGACTGCAACAGGAGGTGAAGGTTGCCAAGGCAGAGCTCGAGGAGATGAAAATGGTACAACAGAGTCTCGAAACAGAGAGAAACTTCTACTTCAACAAGCTCCGGGACATTGAGATTCTCACGCAGAACATCAACGGTAAGCTGCAAAACTCGGAGCAACTTGAGGTTTCTGTGGACCAGTTGGTGGCAGATATCCAGGAAATTCTATATAGCACCACCGAGGGATTCCAGATCCCAACGGAAGATCCTCCTTTGGAGACCCCATTGGACTCCGGCAAGGAGAACGATGTGAAGATGGTCGACGAGGAGACCTTTTGATACCCTACTTGATTAACTACGCTTGCATTTAATCATCGTATGCCTATCTTGTGAAATGTAGTTACCCGGTACTTCGGGCTCTCAAAAAATATTTGGTGGCGAGCACATATTAACTTATTCGGCCATGTTTGTGAAAGGATCCATGGCAAGACTTCGACCTGGGCTGGCTCGAATGCGGTTGCAGCCGCTGGCAGCTGGTCGGGTGGGTCAAAACAGATGCTTCTCAGTGGCAAGACCGTCGCTTTTCCAATATAGTGGACGTAGGTTCAATGAAGAGCCCGACAAGAACAAGAACAAGAAGGACAAGAAAGACGAGCAAGATCCCAACAGACCGCCTCAAGATCTCTTCAAAAGAACAAAATGGACCGACTGGATATTTCCTGGACTGGTGATTACTCTGCTTCTGAACAGTTACTCGGGCGAGGAGAACAACCAAATGACTTTCCAGGACTTCAAGGTGAATTTCCTTGAGAAAGGTCTAGTGAAGAAGATTAATGTCATCAACGGGACTTTTGTTGAGGCCGAGTTGGTGACACAACATCCGAAATCCATTGCATTTTCCATCGGATCTGTCGAGTTTTTCGAAAGAGAAATCGACCAGGTCCAGGACAGACTAGGTATTCCAAACAACGAGCGCATCCCCGTGTCGTACTTACGTCGTTCCAGCATCTTTTCATACATCATGCCGTTTGTGCCTACATTGATTTTGATTGGAGGCACCTACTACCTTGCCAGACAGTTCCAGAAGAGAGGTCCTAATGGCAAGGGCGGAGGTCCTTTGAACAACATCATGGGATTCGGCAAGTCCAAGGCCAAGCTATTCAACAAGGAGACTGACATCACCGTCAAGTTCAAGGACGTTGCCGGTTGCGATGAAGCTAAGGAAGAAATCATGGAGTTTGTCACTTTCTTAAAAGAACCTCAGAAGTACGAGAAACTCGGTGCCAAAATTCCAAAGGGTGCCATCTTGTCCGGTCCCCCAGGTACAGGTAAAACGCTTTTGGCCAAGGCCACTGCTGGAGAGGCCGGTGTTCCGTTCTTGTCTGTGTCTGGTTCCGAGTTCGTCGAGATGTATGTTGGTGTTGGTGCTTCCAGAGTGAGAGATCTCTTTGCTACAGCTAGAAAAAACGCTCCGTGTATTATTTTCGTGGATGAGATCGATGCAATTGGAAAATCTAGAGAAGCTGGCCCGATGGGATCCAACGACGAGAAGGAAGCCACGTTGAACCAGCTGCTGGTTGAGATGGACGGTTTCGAAGACACAGACCACATTGTTGTTTTGGCAGGTACAAACAGAGCAGATATCCTCGACAAGGCCCTGACCAGACCTGGAAGATTTGATAGACACATCAGTATTGATAGACCGGACATTGAGGGCAGAAAGGCCATTTACAAAGTTCACCTGAGACCGTTGAAGCTTGCCGAGCCGGTGACCGACGAGTTTGCCGGAAGACTGGCTGCTTTGACTCCTGGATTTTCGGGAGCTGACATCTCGAACTGCTGTAACGAAGCCGCACTGATTGCTGCCAGAGAGGATTGTGACGTTGTTGAGCTTGTTCATTTCGAGAAGGCCATTGAAAGAGTGATTGCCGGTTTGGAGAGAAAGAGCCGTGTTTTGTCTCCAGAGGAGAAGAAAACTGTTGCTTACCACGAGGCAGGTCATGCGATCTGTGGCTGGTATTTGCAGCACGCCGATCCGCTTCTGAAGGTTTCGATCATTCCTCGTGGCCAGGGTGCTTTGGGATACGCCCAATATTTACCTGGCGACGAATATTTGATTTCTCAGGAACAGTTTGAGCACCGTATGATTATGGCTTTGGGAGGCCGTGTTTCCGAGGAGATCAACTTCGACGACGTTACTACTGGAGCTGCGGATGATTTCAAGAAGGTCACCCAAATGGCGAACGCCATGATCCTGCGTCTGGGTATGTCCAAGAAGCTAGGAACCATCACGTTTGAGACGTCGAACCAGCAGGCACAAGTGCACAAGCTGTTCAGTGAAGAGACGTTCGAGCTTATAGACAATGAGGTCAAGAGAGTGATCAACGAGGCCCACGGCAAGTGCAAGAAGCTTCTGACCGAGAAGATCGATGAGGTGGAGAAGGTGGCCCAGGAGTTGCTCACCAAGGAAGTTTTGACCAGAGACGATATGATCCGGTTGCTAGGACCGCGTCCGTTTGAGGAGAAGAACGACGCGTTCAAGAAGTATCTTCTGCCGAAGGACTCGTCGCAAGATACTCCTCATCCTGACCAAGGAGCCCAAATGGCATGACATGTAAATATTTAAGGCTAATGCACGAACTTTTATAAACTAAAATTATTTGTTTATGATTGAAGACGCGATGAGTTCACGCGTAACCAGCGGCGGGTCGATGGTTTCGGGCAACTCGACCGACTTCGGGCACATTGAGGCCGACAAGGAGAATATCCAGCCGTTAAAGCAGGGCCGTTCTGCCAGTGGGCTCACTAAAGCACTGTCTCTGAACAAAGAGACCCGCAAAGAGGTTCTTTCCCGCGACAGAGACCAATTGGAGGCTTCGATCGAGGCGGCTGCACTGGATGACCTTGACGACCCACTTGAGCCATATCTAAAGTACCTTGAGTGGATCCACACCCATTTCCCATCAGGAGGGTCCACCGAGTCTGGATTGATCCAGCTTTTGGAGCGGATCACGCACGATTTTAGAGACGACCAGTACTACAAGAACGATATTCGCTATTTCCGTGTCTGGCTGGAGTACGTCAAGTTCAGCGACAACCCACGCGACATTTTTCAGTACCTGTTGAAGAAGAAGATCGGAATGGGGCTTGCTTTGTTTTACGAGAGTTATGCCAATTTTATGGAGCTGGAGGGAGATTTTAAGAAAGCCGAGGAATTGTACCAGATGGGACTCGACTCGCAGGCCCGGCCGATGGGGAGATTGACGCGTTCGTTTGAGAACTTCAAGATCCGCAAACAGCAGTCGGCAGCAGGACCACAGAAACGCCAAGGTCTGGGAGCTCTGAACAATCCGTCTGGTGGGGGGCTGGGAACGACGCGCACGGCCTCCTCGAGACCATCTTCCAAGTCGTTTGCCGTTTTCAATGATGCAGAGGCTGGAAGTTCGTTAGCTTCTGCCGGTATTTGGTCCCATCTCGACACGATAGGTAATTCCAAGAAGGAGAACGTTATACGTCCAACGTCTTGGTCTGGCGAGAAATTGATCCAACAGAAGGTGCCATTGGCCAACAAGACCTCGTTTGAGGTGTTCAACGACAAAGACGCGCGGTTCCCTGTCACCAAGATCATCAAGAACCCGGGCAAGCGCACCGAGAAGTTTGATTTTAATTTCGACCTGCTCTACTCCGACGATGGAGAAAAGAGTTTAATGGAGGTTCTTCTGCTCAGTCGTGGAGTCTACTACTCTGCGAAGAAGCGCAAGGCAGAGGCAAAGCCACTTACTCCCTTCAAAAAGCATACTATCACCTTGGAGAACGACAACGAGACAAAACTGCTCAACTCGCCCACACTGACCTATTTCTCCAAGGAGTCGATGAAAGAGGTGTACCAGATGATTAACCAGCCCCTGACCGAGTCGAAGCCGTTGGTCGACGAGAACCCCCTGGATGAAGGACTCAGCGACTTTGTCACCGAGACAATCGAACACCACAAGCCTGTTACACCGCAGAAACTTGTCACCGAAGATACCGGCATGATGAGCTCGCCGTTCGTGGAGGAGCCCGTCCACAGCACTCTGGCAACTGCAGACGTGCTGATCAACCCTTTCGACACCAAGCTGCAGCGCAATCTGCTCGCCAAAATGCAGCACCAGCTCTCCAACGACACAAAATTCCACTTTTCGGGCTCCAACGCGCACAAGCTCGATACCTTGAAAAGTCTGCTCAAGCCCCGCGGTGCGCCTATCATGGGTAACCGCCATTTGATGATGAATTTCGAGGACGAGACGTTCTGCTTCACCAAACAGCTAGACGATTCCAGAAAGCTAGGCGTGTATCTAAGCGAGAAGTCCGACGGAACACAGGTCGCGGTCAAGGTGAACTCTCCCCCAACGGAATGGGAGTTCTATGTGCTTCTGCAACTACAGAAAAAGTCCAACAGCGACTTTGTGCAACCGCTGGGCTTCTACAAGTTCGAAGACGAATCGTACATGATTCTTCCGTACTATAAACACGGCACAGTCAAGGACCTTGCTGCCCTCGGCTCGTCAACGACACTCAAGATCGACGAATCGGTCTCCATCTACCTGTCCGTCCAGGTTCTGCGTCAAATGTTGAAGATGCATGCATGTGGAATGGTCCATGGCAACCTCAAGCCGGAAAACTGTGTCCTCACTTTCACCCCACAATCGAAGCCGAGCTTCCAGGAGCTAAAACTCATAGACTTCGAACGGTCGATCGATCTGTCCTTGTTCCCAGAAAACGTCCGCTTCTCTGCCCAGTTGGAAGACGACCTGTTCCCTGCGGTGTGTAACTGGGACGCGTGGAGATACGAGCCAGACTACTACGGTGCCGCCAATGTGCTTCACACGATCTTGTTCGGCCACCAGCTCGACCTGGTTTCCATTGGACCAAACACATGGGGTTTCAGAGAAACCGTTCGCAAGTACTGGCAAAAGGAGACCTGGGACGAGATCTTCCATGTGTTGCTCAACTCGCACAAATATGAGAACATAGAGCTGAAATTGAAGAGCCTCACGGGCAAACTCGAGAGCTGGGTCGCACTCAACTGGGGATCCTGTGGATTGGCCAGACAGCTCGCCAAAATTAGCGACTTCTTTGAAGATCAGCGCAAAAGAAATAAAATATAGTCATGTTTAGCGTTTGAACACATTTTTGACGGATTGCACACGTTGCTTTAGTCTATCGCGGATTTTCGAAGATGCAGACTTGGCCTTTCTTTCGGCTTCTTCCTCTGTAACCGTTCTTTTGATTAGTAGGTTGAAGATCGCTCCAAATGCAAGGGACATCACCGTTGATGTCAAGATGATGACGTTGTACGGCATGGAGAAGTCGGGTGTTGGCAAGGTCAGCAGTGCAGTGGTGGTTCTCATTTGGTAGACAACATCGTTGGTATCTTTATCAAGCACAGAGATCACCGCCGGCTCAATCTCGAACCCGTGGTTGGCATCTGGTGGATACTCTGCGTACAGAAGCATCGACTTGTCGAACTGCAATGCCAACTTGACTTTTGTATGTGCTGGGATGGTCACTAACAGCTCGAGATGCGATGGCTTCTTACGGTCAATGGCTGGGTTGTAGATGATTCCGTTCAGCAGTGTATCGAACTCCGGATCGTCAACAGTGTATGTGTTGGTTGAGTTGACGGTGATGGTCAGGGTATGGAGGTATATCCGCACGAACCACGGAGTGGATTCAAAGATGATGATCTTGGAATCCTCGTCGGTTGGGTTAGTCAGATCGATTCTGAACCCTCCTGAATCTTGGGAGTAGCCAGACAGCGACCGAGAAGCATAGATTGGAGGAGCAGGAAGCGGTGCTATTTCCGAGGTGTTGGACGACTTGAAGTGAATGTTGTAGTTCTCTGAATCCGTGATGGTGAAACACGTCTTACCGTTCTCGTCGTGTAGGTCCACATTGGTACTGGAGTTGACGTCTATGTTCCATGCTTTTTTATTGATGTCGGCACACACTTTAGTTGGAGTGTTTGAAATCAGAGCCCCTCCTTGTATCTGCTTTCCAAACAAGTCCAACAACGAGTAGTCCAGTTCAGAAACCTCATCCAGCGGGAAACAGTGGTATGCGTCAAAGAACTTTGATGGATCGCATTTAAGCTTGGAGCCGGGAGTAGGTTTAGGAATAGGCATCTCGTTTCTCTCCAAAGCCAATGGGACGTTGAGGATCAGTTTGATGGACTGGTCCATTTCGTAATGGCAGCCTGTTTCCGAGCAGTGAGTGGTGATATCGATGGACATCGACGACCATTGCGAGTTGAAAACCTTATGGCCGGTTAAAAGCGACGAAATACCGGCCTTTCCCTTTGTCGGGAGCAGTTTCAAGAACGGCGTAAGGTTCTCTGTGCAGACGGGTTCTCTTGGTAGAGCACTGCGTAACAGGTACAAGTCGTTCTCTAGCGAGTTCTGCTGGAGCAACTGAGATTTGGGCTGGAACACCGTCACCGGATACGTTGTGGAATCGGAGTCGATAAAGTTCAACGAGGCGCAAAACAACCCGGAGAGCGAGTTTACGAGCCTGATCCAATCGTGGAATACCGATTCGTCGTCGGTGCCCTCAATCACGGACCATAGTTCGACACCGGTGCCCCCACTCTGACCACCCTTGGCCGGTAGTTCTCCGTACACCTCTGCGTCGTACCATCCCTGGCTGAAGCGCAAGTGTAGTTCTCTGGTGTTGGTTTCCTGCAAAATTGGGCCCAAAAGCTTGGAAAACACCGAGTAGTGCAAAGTCTCACCTTTTGGCTGGTACAGTTGGAACTCTGACGAGTTGAGTTTGAAATTGAACGACGCAAGCAGATTGTTGCTCTTCAGCGGCTTGAACTCAAGCGATTCTTCAAATGGGTAGCTCAGAGTCGCCGAGCATAGCCTCACTAACAGCAAAACCACCAGTACCGCAGAATTCATAACAAGACCCTAGAAGTATTTTTTTCTTGTTTAAAATTTCTGTCAATATAAGTTAGGGAACCGTTTGGGAACAAAACGCGTATGTTTGACACCACGACAATTGGCCGGCCGGGGCTTTTCGGCAAGGTGTATAACAGTATATTTGGCGCGTCGCCCAGTCCGCTGAACACGGAGGTCGTTGCCGGGGACCAGGATTCTATTACTGAGTACAACACATATTTAAACAGTGAGAGTCGATTCCCTGATGAGCCGGCAAATCTGGACGGATACGACACGATTGGGAGTCGACGAAGCTCTGTGATTGCTCCTCCTATGACGCCGTCGCGCGCGGACGACGACTGGCGGATCAACGACACTCTGAACCGGATCAAGATGAGCCGTGCGCGTTGGCAACAGGCTGACCCGGTCCCTGGCGAATTCCCGCGCGAAGCGGAGCCAAAGGTGGCTGGCGGGCTGGCGAACAAGATCGAGAAGAACAACGAGCTGATCTCGCAGCTGATCAGCGAGTTCGATCTCGTCACAGACAACGTGGAGCTGCGACAGCTGCGTTCCGACAACTACGAGCTGGATCAGAAGTACAGGAAGCTGCGCGACGAGTTCAAGCGCGAGCTTGACGCTAACAAGGAGATCTTTGACGGATACTACGATTTGCACAACAAGTATAACGCAATCAAGCAGGAGCTGAGCCAAGTGAAGCACGACGCGAGCGACAAGATGAGCGAATTGGAGCTGGAGAACCAGCGGCTTCGACAGAGTCTGCGCGCGAAACGGGTCGACTCTGACGACCAGAATCTGTACTACAAGAGCCAGTACGAAGAGATGAAAACGGAGCTCCAGGCAAAAATCTACCAGGAGAAACAGTACCAGCAACGGATCCAGGAGCTGGAAAAACAGCTACAATCTCCAGTGCAGTCTCCGCCCTCGTCGCCAACGATGCATAATTACACACGATCGAACATACTTGACCAAGACTCGATCCAGCTTCTTCGCGAGCGGTACGCGGATAAAGTTATTTCTGTACCGCAAGTGGACTCGTGGATTAGCGAACCTCGTATTCGAAAAGCAGCATAGCTCGTATTTTTTTTAGCTTGAAAATTATTGTAATTATTATAGGTCTTCATTAGATCCACTTTTAGTTGCTAAATGAAGAGTTTGGAATTTGTGTCTTCCAGCCTTCCCGAGAGCTCGGAAACTGAGTTGGAGAACTTATCGTTCACGCGAACGCATCCGGTGAGCATCAATGTGGAGAAACTGTGTATTTCTGCGCGCAAACGAGGAAAGTCCCTGTTCGGAAGCAAGAAGGTGGACCCCGAGCTTGCGAACGAGAATGTCAAGCAGATCCTCCACCCGGTGACTTTTTCAATCCCGGAAAACTCATTGGCATGTATCATTGGAGGGTCTGGGTCTGGAAAAACCACTCTACTCAACAGATTAGCCGAGAAGCACTTTATGGGGTCCACTCTTGTTCAATCCGGTACTGTGACATACAACGGGGAACCAACGCTTTCCAAGATTCGGCACGCTTATGTTATTCAGCAGGACATACTAATTCCGACTTTGACTTGTTTCGAGACGCTGATGTTTGCTGCAGAGCTGAAACTGCCCAAATTGACGTCGCGGTCTGCAAGAGCACAGCTTGTTGACGAGATCATCCTCGAGCTGGGTCTCAAGGAGTGCCGCAACACTCTGGTGGGGGACCGCGTCAATAAAGGTTTGAGTGGTGGAGAAAAAAGACGGCTGAGTGTTGGTATCCAGCTGGTTTCCAACCCATCCATTCTGTTTCTGGACGAGCCAACCACGGGTCTGGACAGCTACAACGCCTACTTACTATGTGAATCGCTCAAACGGCTCACCAAAAGACTGAACAAAACAATCATCCTTAGCATCCACCAGCCAAGAGCCGATATTTTCAGATTGTTCGACCAGGTGTTTATTCTAAGTAAAGGAAGAATGTGCTACGGAGACACGTACTCGCGCATGTTTGACCATTTTGCATCGCTCGGCTATCCTATTCCAGAAACCGTTAACCCTGCTGATTTCCTCATAGACCTCACCAGCGTGGACACGAGGTCGCCAAAGCAGGAAGAGGAGTCTCTGCAAAGAGTTACCAAAATAGCACACAATTGGGAACTCCACATGCACTCTCTCACTCTCCCGTCATACGAATCAAAAACCGTCTCTCAATCGGACGACATGTTCCAACAGGTTGGTAAAGCTCCGTTTTTCAGAGAGCTACGCATTCTTGTTCGCAGAAACCTCATCTTGGAGAGAAGAAACCCTCTGGGCTACGCTGCATTATTACTAGAAGCCGTTGTGCTTGGTCTCATGACCGGCTGGCTCTACTTCAAGCCAGGAAGCACCATTGTCGGAATCAGATCCATCGAGGCCTCTCTTTACACAGTCTCGTCCCTACAAGCGTACCTGTTCCTTCTCTACGAAAGCTATCGTCTTTGCTCGCTGGACTTGCGCATATATGACCGCGAGCACTCGGAGAACTGTGTTTCTGTGGCCGGGTTTGTGCTCTCGCGACGGATAGCCAAGTTGTTCACCGAGGACCTGATCATTCCCCTTGTGTACTCGCTGTGCACGTACTTTATGCTTGGCCTCAGGACCGACTCCGCGATCTACTTCTTCCGCTACTTTGCCGCAAGCATCATGTTCCACCTCAACTCGATGGCATTTGCCATGGTTGCGTCGGCGCTGTCACGTGACGTGGCCATCGCGACGCTGATCTGCAACCTCAACTTCACGTTCCAAACAATGACCAACGGTATGTACGTGAACGCCAAGCAGATGCCTGTGTACGTGCGCTGGTGCAAGTACATTGCGTACCAGTGGTATTCGTTTGGGCTGTTGGTGTCAAATGAGTTTACCGGGTTCAAGGGAGACTGTTTCAAGCAGTACGCTGGCAACCCGGACGTGGACTCTATCTGCGAGGCGTTTTCGGGGAAGTACATCACGCGGACTCTTGGGTTTTGGGAGAATTGGATAGCTCTGCCGTTTGGAGTGCTGATTGCATTTTTTCTTGGGACGTTTGTGGTTGCAGGTTTGATTCTCAAGTTGAAGCCGGTGGATATCAGCATGGCCCGTGAGGTCAAGTCGGGAGACTCGTCTGAGAAGCTGAGCCATTCGGAACCTGTTATTGTGGAGTCCAATACCGACCCGTTGGATATTACTCTCACCGATATCAACCTGGCTGTCACCAATAAGATGGCCAGAGAAACGAATAAGACCATTTTGAACGGTGTGAGCTGCCGGTTCAAGTCGGGCAAGCTCAACATCATCATGGGCCCGTCCGGATGCGGCAAGACTTCCCTGCTGAACCTGATCAGCGGCCGACTCAAGTCGAACCTGTTCACCAAGTACGCCTACTCGGGCTCGATCTATCTGAACGACTGTCTCACCGACTTTGACACCATCAAGCCCATTTGCTCGTACGTGGTCCAGGAAGACTCGCACCTGCTGCCGTCGATCACTGTTCGCGAGACACTGCTGTTTTCTGCGCGGATGCGGTTGTCCAAGTCGAACTTCTCGCGCTCGCAGATTAACGGACTGGTGGACCAGCTAATCCTACGCGTGGGGCTACGTGACTGTGCCAATACGCTGGTTGGTAACGACCTGATCAAGGGTATTTCCGGCGGAGAGAAACGGCGACTTTCTATTGCCATTCAGCTGCTCTCGTCGCCGAAAATGCTGGTCCTGGACGAACCAACGTCTGGCCTCGACGCTTTCACGGCCTCCTCGATCCTGGAGTGCCTGGAACAGCTGGCCAACTCAGGGACCACCGTCGTGATGACGATCCACCAGCCACGGTCGCTGGACGGGTTCGGCTCGATCCTTCTGCTCGCAAAAGGCGGCTGGGTCACGTTCAACGGGACGCAGCAGGAGCTGCTCCAACATTTCACCAATATCGGCTACCCTGTGCCTAAATTCACCAACGCAGCAGACCATATCATTGACACCATCTCCTACAGCACGACCAACGAGAAGATCGAGCACGAGACTCGCAAAAGGGTCGACTACATCGTCCAATCCTGGTCATCTCCAGACTACAGCATCGTCACCAGAAGAACGCTCAGCTCCAAAGCAGACCTGCAGTCAGAGTTCCATGCATTCGTGAAACAGCCCGTCAACTTCATGGTGGGTCTGTACGTGAACACGGCGCGGCAGATGCTCACTCTCGTCAGAGATAAAAACGTGCTTATTGCTAGATGTACACAGGTTATAGGTATGGGGCTGATTCTGAGTCTGTTTTTTGCAAGACTCAAACACAACAACACCAGTGTGCAGAACAGGCTTGGGCTCATCCAGCAGATCGTGTCACTGTACTTCACCGGTATGCTCAACAATATGGCTGCGTACCCAAGGGAAAGAGACTTCTTCTATGAAGAATACAGCGACGACGCTACCAACCTGTACGCGTTCTTTGCGAGCTACACGCTGATCGAGATCCCGTTCGAGATCCTCAATGCGCTCGTTTTTTCTGTGCTGCTCATGTTTGTGGTTGGGTTCCAGTACGACGTTGGTTTGTTCTTTGCCATGGTGTACACTTCGGGCCTAGTGGTGAACGCGGGCGAGTCTGTTGGGCTCTCTTTCAACACGGTGTTTGACCATCCCGGGTTCGCGCTCAACGTCATCTCCATCATCTGCTCGGTCGGTGTTGCCATGGCCGGTCTGCTCGCTATGACTCTCGACGATTTTTTGTCTGCGCTCAATTACCTCTCGCCAGCACACTACTGTGTGATGACCGTCAGCAACCTCGTCTTCACCGACAAGCTCAAGCTGTACTGCACAAAGGATGAGCTCGTCAACAACGGCCAGTGTCTGTTCAACACCGGCAAAGACGTCATGGACAGCTACAACCTCAAGGTGCACTTGAAACTGTACCTGGTGCTGATCGCCGTGGTAACCGTGTGCCACCGCCTGATCCCGCTCGCCCTACTGCGGATCAAGCTCGTGAAAACCTCGCTAATTAGACTTGTTCATAGCTCGTCATAACTCTTTCTCATCGCCTTGGGGTTGCCAAACACAACATGCCGTAGCTCTTTAAACCGCTCCAGCTGCGGGGCCTTCTGCTCACGCAGCGTCTCTATCTGCGTGTTGAGCCAATCCAGAAACTCTGGCGTGGCCTTAAATAAGGACTTGTCCACCAGTTTCACCTTTTCCAGCTGTCCAAGTAGATCCAGAACGTCTGCAGTCAGCTGGCTCTGCTCGCACAAAGTCGCCTGCGCGAGCACAGCAAACTGCCGGTCCAGCACCTCGTCCTCCTCCTGGCCAAGGACGTCGGTGATTATATGCAAAATGCGTTCCTTCGTAGAATCGTCGCCAACATGTCCATACAGTATCAGCAGTTTCAAACGGATCACGTCAAAATGGTCTGTGAAGATATTGTTCGTCACCAACGAGCCCAAAATACCCAATCTTCGACGAACAAGCACCTCATTGACATTGGACCCAAGTAGTCGTAGAATGAAATCTTTCGGCTCTAAAAAGTATCTCACAAACGTCTCCTGCGCTTGAGGATTGTTTCGCAGAGACGACGACAAGATACTCGTGCTCAGTTCAGAGACTTGCGACAAAACCTCGGAAGAAATCACCCCAACAGACCTCTGGTCGTACAGTCCTGACAAGATTAAAATATCCTGCAAATAACCCATGATATCTGCACCGTACTCCAGATCAGAGCTCATCTCCGAAAGAAACTCAAGCTTGTCAACCAGAACATTAGATTCTCCGGCACCATTTTCCACAAACCCGGCAATGTATCTCAACGACTCGCTTACTGTATCCTCAGCGGCGTCAGCCATCACCACTATACTGTTTTCCTGAGAAAAACTGTCGTCTGACGAGAGCTTTGCCTCTCGTTCCAAAGTGTCTATATTAAGACGAATATCAAGGCCTGCGGGGATAACTTGGCCCTCTTTCACCGGTTTCCAGTCTAATGACGGCACAAAAAGCTCCGGATAGCAGTTCAATGGATTGGAATCGACACAGATCAGCCGACAAGCCACAACACCAATAAATGCCAATATGGCTAACATTTAAAAATAATATTTTGTTTCGTAACTAAAATCATATATAAAAAACCAGAGTTGGTCATGTTATGCGGTGTAATGTCAAGTTTTGCCCTACAAATAACACT